GAGAGAGAGAGAGATAACTTATTGAAGCTACTCATCCAAAATAAAGGATGCATGACTAATCAAGGAAGGAGTATATAATAGCTTTGACAAATTTTGATTTTCGAATCGAGACATTGCTTGCCTCCTTTTTTAAAAAGAGATATTTCTCTTTATTGCAAATCACGGTTTGATACATCTACAAAAATAATTTACGAAAAACACAAAAAAAAATTTATACACACATGACAAACTGTAATCGATAAAAAAAATAAGAATTCTTTGTTCCCGAAAGAAAAAGGAGACAAGTATTTTCCTTCACTTAGTGAGAAAAAGCAATAGGCTACTTTTCAAAGATTGAAACTTCTATCCATTTATTGCATAGAGGTGGACAACTCATAACCTTGATATAGCACTTATCTCTAGCTAGTGGAAGCATATTAATATCATTGATTATTACAAGGCCATTTGCTACTTTCAATCTAGACTTGACAAACTCCTGGTCATGCTGGCATCTTTCTTCGAAAACGATATATCATTGTGGGTGGGGGTGTCAATTTTTGGGATTCAATTAATTATAAGAGTTTGACGTGTCACATAATTATTAGAAAGATTCACTATTATATCTAATATAGAGGTCTAAATTATAAAAATACCACATATGAAATGGACTTTAGAAACACACCCAAAGCTCATTTACAACATAACAAAAAAGTTTTTAACTTTTTATAAATTACAAAACTGTCATCAATTTTTTAAAACAATTATTATCCATATACAAGTTGTGGAGCGGAAAGAGCATACTTAAAAAAAATAACCGCAACAATTATTTTGAATCACTTTCGTGCATGCTTCTAAGTAAAGGTATGATAAGCATGATCAATTATGTACATGATGGGTCTGCTGGGATATGTTATAAGCATGTAAGGTTGATTTCCATGTGCACATGCATGATGCATGTCACAGTCATACTTTTTGGACGGGTTTTTTTGTTTTAAGACGTTGTTTTGGGATGTGACCGAATGTAGTTAATTAGGGCAAAACTATAGTTTAGTGATTAAAGAGTGAGGATTAATGTAGTAATTAAATAGTGATGATATACCATGCTCATGCTCTCTTGTGTGATGATATGCCATGCTTGTAGTTGATATCGTTGTCTCAATTTTAAAAAATTAAAATGGAACTTTAGGAGGAGAATCATGCCGGTTAGCAGCAATTTGGGGAAATTATGGTAGTTGAAAGGGGTTAGAGAAAAATTGTTTTTGAGAGTGATTCTCTCCACATTGTTTCAACTTTTCAACTGGCTTAGGTTACTAGGGAAGTTTTACCCATGTCAGTTATATTGTTATTAGAATAACTTATTTACAGTATGTATCATTTGTACTCTTTATTTCTATTAATCTAATAAAATTCAATAGCCTTTTTATAAATAAATAAAATGGATCTTAACAGCTTCATGACTTTCATTTTGACTTTAAACATATATAGCATGCTGATGAATTATTATAAATTATTAACTAGGTCCAGTAGAATGAGAAAATGTCAGCAGCTAGACTTCATGACTCACGACTCATTCATATACATATGTTTAAATTTTAAAACCTTTCGGCGTTGTTTGGTTGCTTGATTTGAACTGGAAATCATTTTGAATTAAATTAGCTTAATTGAGCAATAATTCAATATGTTGTGTCCCATCTAAAATAATATGACTCATAAAAATTGACTTCAACCAATCGCCAAACAAGGCCCCAAGACTAGCCATTGGCAATAGGTCTAGATAGTGGTTCCCTCTAATGCATGTGTAGATATAACCCACCAACAAATTGATGCCTCTATTATTTGGTCAAAAGTTTAAGGGGCGCTTGAAAAAGTTAAGCAAATTATTTTATCATGTAGTAGGGATAACTTTGAAATCCACAAATATTCAGACTAATGTCAGCAATGACCAAAAAACATATACCTTTGAATAATTCAGTTGAAAGCTCCCAAGCCTCCAACCATGTGACTTAGTCCATGTTACCAAAAGTACTAGAGTATCTGACCGTTTATTTACTTAAATCAAAATCCAACTTTAAAAAATACATATATATATATATATGATTAAGATTCAATTTGGAAGTTAGAATCTCTTTACCCATCAACTTATTTTGGAAGGTTTTTTTTATTAAAAAAAAAAAAGTGATAGCCTACATTATAAGGGGATGTGAGTTTCTTACACATATACTACCAAGGTGCCAAGGGCGGACTTAAGCCTAGGCTGAAGCCTAAGGGAACATTTATAAAATATTGAACATGGTCTCATTATTATAGACTTATTCCTACTCAAATAAATATTAGCCCATTGCACCAAATAAATATAGCCCACACATGCATTGTTTTTTAATTTTTTTAATAAACTAATAATAGCCCAATCAAAATAAAGTAAACAATAGCTCAGTCCTCTATTTAAAATAAGCACACTCCTGAAGCATATAGAAAATAATAAATATCAATCCAAACCTATATAAATTTGATTAGAAGCAAAACTCACGCTAAGGCTCTACCAACTTGAGCTATTCTAATCGTACTTATATTGGGCTACACCCACAGAGCACAAACATAAAAAAATTTCTTCTAGCCACCCAAAACACCATATTTGAACCTTAAGAGCCTAGAGGAAATAGCTCTCATCTAAAAAATTGTACCAACCTATTTTCAGTGGATTCTTCAGGTAAGTTTTTCTCTCTTTTTTATATATTCAATTTCCAATTTTAATTGTTGTTGTTAAGTTTTTATGATTTAGGGTTTGAGTGAAAATTTTTGGAGATTGTTGATATGTGTTTTATTTTTGCAACTTGAATTATTAATTACATATATGATTTTTGGTTTCTAGTATTTCTTGTTAGGATATCATATCACATGATGATAATAGACCGGCAAAGAGAAGAAAAACTATTTATTCATTCTTCAAAAAAAGTGGTAATGATAACAAGGATATATCTTCTGCATCTAATGTTGCTACTTCAATTCTTGAAGAACTTACTGAACTCATATCTCAATTGAACTCGGATCTCAAGTAGTTGAACCTAAAGAGTTTGATATTGCTTCTTTAGAACGAGATCTAGGGAAACACATTCCAATTTGTGAACACCCAATCAATCAACGTGATGAGATTCGAAGGGTTTATATCAAGTTGGGGCCTTATCAACCTAAACTTTTTGAGTATCCAATGACTTTCTTTGTGTTATATTTGCTCGTAATGTGGCTTTTGATTTATAAAATTTTATTTACATTTTTGTTTCAAGAGAAAAAAGGCTTATAATATATCTCCCCTAAAAAAAATAAAAATTAGCTTACCCCTATAAAAATTCATGGGTCCGCCATTATAAGGTACCATAGAAATTTGAACTTGAGACCACTGATATACAAGTTAATGTTATTTTCTACTCAACTAGACCCTATTGCCATAAAAGGTCACTCGCATTCTTTGCTTACTCCTTTTACAATATGTATAATTTGTACCATTGATAAAAATGTGCGATTGTAACATCACGTGATATGCTGACTTATCATTTTAAATTACAAAAAACCCCTATATATTATCGTTCATTAAAATTTGAGTAAATTGATAACACTATATATCAATAATAGTGACCCTAAAAATGGCTAGCGAAGAAACCAAGTCAGCAATGAGTAAGAAAAGAATGCGAGTGACCTTTTTTGGACACTTTTTTTGACACTTGATAGCGTGGGATTTTACACAAACCGACGATATATAAAGTACGTGGCGCACGGGCCTCGCATTTCCCACTCACTATAATACAAAGGCAACCTTCTCTGTTTCTCTCTCTTTGCAACGAGCATATTCCTTAGAATGTACCATTTATATTCTTCTCTCACTTCTATATGCGCGATATTTAAATTAATATAATGTTTCATTATAATATAAAGTTATAAAACCATTTTATTCTTGTGAGTTTGTGAGGTTGTGATTGATCATTGATGGTGCAATTTAACACGTCCGTCTCATTGGACCATCGATTGCAAGTTTGGAGCATTATCAATATTCTTAGTATCCGGAAAAAGCAAGTATCGTCTTTATTAAATTAGTGGGTTAATTCATGATTGGAGCTTTTCAGGTATAATTTAACAAGGAAATAGCCTAATGGGGATGGATGATCAAGTAAAACTAATTTTAGTTGGGACCTCAAGAGAAGTTAAAAAGGATGGAATACTTGTTCTATATGTTACTTTGAATGATGTTCCATTTGCATTATTCATCTATAAGTTCTCATATGTATTCGTCTTAAACAAAAATCATTCTACGTCAACGAGACCAATTTCATTTGTGTACGTTTATCATTAAACAAAGTTACTCACGTAATGAAAAATATTCAAATCACATTTGCTAATTGCATTGTTAATACATAGAAATGTGATATACGCAACACAAGTTTTCTCACATTACATTAACATTGAAAAAAAAATAATTTCATCTAATCCAATTGTTGATTTTGTTTGGATATGTACAAAAAAAAATAAATTTAAGACTTATGTTGGTAAAAACATAATTAAGATGGTTACGCGCCCTTTCCGTAAGTGGCGTCCAAATAAGAAACACGCCGCTCTGGCTTCGCTCATTTATCTTATTTTCTTCAATATTTTATTTATTTTTCATGATTTTATTGACCTAGATCCACGCAGTTTATTTTTCTTTTTATTGATTTATTATGCCAAACACAATTTTCTCACTTTGCCTCTATAAACACAGTTACCATGGAAGCAATCGCACACAGCTCATTAACATTTTAACAACCTGCGCCACCTGACCTTTCTCTCTCCTTTCTTATCTGAGAGAAAGCCCCCCTTTTCAACTGCCTGTCACCAAAAAATGAAATAAAAAGAAGAATCGCAGCCCGAAGCAAAAGCAAAGGCTATAGGAATATCCTAAGCGATCCCCAAGCCAAGCCCCCGACTTTTTCTCTCTATAAATACCACGCTCTCTCTGTCCTCGTCTGTCCTTCTTCTTCTTTTATAAGCTGGATATGAAAGTGGAGCTCAATCCTAATCATCACCATCAGGATCAAGGGACCGAGACCGAGATGTGCAGGACTATCGAAGTCGTCGCCGGAGGCGTTGTGCTCTCTCCGGCGAAGCAAGTCGCCGGCGCCGACGACTGCGCCGACGACCTCTTCATTCCGCCGCTCAACTTCTCCATGGTCGATAACGGCATTTTCAGGTCCGGCTTCCCGGAGTCCGCCAACTTCTCCTTCCTCCAAACCCTAGGCCTCCGCTCCATCATGTAAGCCGTTACTTATATAATAACATCATCGTGATTCATATATAAGTGTTTGATATTGTTTTGATTATTATTTTTTTAAAAAAAAAAAAAAAAAAAAATAAATTGTGTTTGAATTATATTTTTATGTGATTAATTTATGTTCATGTGTGTATGCAGATGTCTGTGTCCAGAGCCGTATCCAGAGGCGAACGTGGAGTTTTTAAAGTCCAATGGGATTAAGCTCTTTCAATTTGGGATTGAAGGCTACAAGGTATGTCTACTTTTCTTTTTTGAATTCCATTGGATTGAGTATCGTCTCTTTAAGCTATGTTAAAAAATTTCTGCTTAAGTTGATTTTTGTGAACCGGTGACTACTATGTGCTGCTTACATTCAAATTGAACTTTTGAAATGGAGGAAATTGATGAAAGTGTGATCTTTTAGAAATTACTTTGGTAATACGAAGAGTTAAGCAAGTGCGGTTGGATATATTTACCAATGAAGTAGACGTTTGGAGGCTTCTGCGCTTCCTGACATTTGGGGCACGTATCATAAATAATATCAATACTGTTTGCTAGCTAAGATATATATGTATACATACAGAGAGCTTCTATTGAGGGATCCCTCAATAGAAGGGGACTGTATATATGCATATGTTGAATAACAGCGAGAGAGCTAGTGGTTTAGTCTTGTACCTATATGGCTCGATAAATGAATCAAATACCACATATATTCTTCATCCTTGATCAACACTCCTTAATCCTTATCAAGTTGCTTTGGTGGTTGAGTCATAATGGGTCATTTATTATGATCGTCCTTGTTTTTGTTGCGTGATAGGTTCAATGATATGATAACTACATGATTTTGTTAATAATGAATTTTTTTAATTTCTGTGGGGTATTGTTGGTTTGGTTTTGTATGGGATGGCAGTTATCTTGTCTTGGCATATCTAACTAGAGGGCCAGGATTTCTGTCATATATATAGAAACAATGTTTCATGGATTCCTTTCAGTTTCAGACATAATGTATGCGTTGTGTTTCTGTGATCTACATTGATCACATGCTTTTATTCTTTCTATTGTTTAATACCCTTTTTGGTTTTGAATTTTATCTAAATTATATTGTTCCTTTTTGGTTTTGAGTTTTGCTGGAAACAAGTGACGTATATTTCTTTAATACTGTCTGATTTCAATATTGACACTGAACTGTCGGCCAAGGTTCCCTTGATTTCGTTAGTTTGACAGAAGAAGCTTGACAGAAACTAGCTTTAAAAACTTAATAGATTTTGTCTCATCCCAATTGTTTTAAAATTCAAGTATCCTACTTTGAGTATTATTGTCTGAAGTAAAGCTTTTACTGTTTTACACATTCAGGAGTTTGTGTCCTTGCCAATGTTGTTACACTGATAGGTACCGTTACATCCGTCTTGCTCCAATCTAGAATCATTGTTATAGTATTATCAAATGTCTAGGATCAGTTTTAACAATTACATATCTGAACGTTTTTTGGTCTGAGTTTTAGTGGATGCATCTTAATTTTAGTCATCATGAAACAGATTCAGGATCAGTTTTTATTTATTTCTAGTAAACAATGATAGAGTCCATGAATCCTTCGTCGTTGTACATCTTTAGTTACTTGATTGCATGAATGTTGAACCAAGTTCCTAGTTAGAACATGAATTCATATTCAAAATTCTAACCTGATATTCAAAATTTCATTGTGCATTCAGGAGCCTTTTGTAAACATCCCAGAGGATATAATCCGTGAAGCGCTAAAAGTTGTCCTTGGTACTCAAGAAATTAATCATTTTGCACTTAGTTTCAATAAGACCAGAATTACAGCACTGTTGTATGCTTAAATTTATTTACTTTTCTGCAATGCAGATGTAAGGAATCATCCTGTCCTAATTCATTGTAAACGAGGGAAGGTATGTGCACCATTGATTGATCTCTTACAGATTCATTGGCGGATTTTGAATAATCCGTGACAGTTTTTAAGTTGTTATTGGCTGCTAACTTCTTTGATCGTATTTTCAGCATCGAACTGGTTGTCTCGTGGGATGCTTGAGAAAATTGCAGAGGTGGTGCCTGACATCTGTTTTTGACGAATACCAGCGGTTTGCAGCTGCGAAAGCCAGAGTTGCAGATCAGAGGTTCATGGAGATGTTTGATGTTTCTAGCTTGAAACATCTACCGATGCCATTTTCATGTTCAAAGAGGTAAAATCAGCCAAGTATTATTGAATGGCTTTTGCTTCTTCTTTTGGTCAAAGAAGAGAATCCTAGGTCCTTTCTACTTTGTCGAAATAAATAGGAAAAGGTGATGATGAGTTCCTGGTATGCATTTCAGCGGAAAAGGAATTATTTCTTCTCTATTTTTCCTTATTCATAAATAATAATCAGCCTATATATAATCTCATTTTATGTGCTTTAAGTGTTAGTACCCTTTTTCCCTCACATCTCACCTCACCCCACCTTCTCTCCTTCTTTTCCCATTTTTTTTAAATAATTATTTTTAGTTCTCCTTTCACTTTTATTTTCATTAAATTACTAAGCTGATGCCGAAAACGTCTTGACTCTTGGCATTACAAATCAAGATGGTCCATGAATCTTGTACTGGGGGTGACTCAGAATTGAGAGTTGATCTAATTCCGTCATAATTAGTTGTAGGATCCAGAATTGGAATTCTAAAAAAAAATTCAGTATTAATATTTGTATTTGTATTTTATTGAAAAGTAAAATACAGTGCAAATGTAAACTGAGATATCAATAGTACATGGAAAGCTGTATATTCGAGCAGAGTGAAAAAGATTGATGATCAAAATAAAATGCTTGAGGGAATCTGAGGGAAGGTTCAGTTCAGGCGTATGGTACGTACTGTAAATTCGTGCTTTTCCAAATTACGCAAACCGTCGTTTACTGCGTAATGTCTTGGAAGTGATATTTTTGATAGCGCCAAAACGCTTTTTGGGTGTTCAGTGTTTGGTTCACTTTTGACGGTCAAAGAAGCACTTTTATGTTTCTTTTAGACCACCCTGAACCGGGTCTAAATTCAAATTTCAATTCTTCAAAATACAACTATTCATGTATTTTTAGGACTCAAAATTTAATTGTTTAAGAATAATCAACCCCTAATTCTTGTTATCGTTAATTTTTCTTAAAATTATTTTTGTTTCAATTTAATTTTATGAACATCTTAACCTAAAAAAATTAAAATTCTAAAATATAATATAATTTCACTTAAAAATAAAAACAAGCACAACAACATATTATTTCATGGACTTCGAAAGAAAAACAAGTAGCACACAACTTATATTAAAAACAATGGAACATAACTTATTTGGTTAGTTGCAATGCGGTCACAACATCTACATCATCCTAATCCATAGCCCTTGCAACAACTACTTTTGCGTATGCCGAGAATAATTCGAACCATTCTTTGAAGTCATTGTCATAATTATCTTCCATTTTTTTCTTTATATTGTTGTAGTATTAAATGAATTGTGTCATTGCCACATTTACGAACTACAAATTTCCCTATGATGATCTTGGTGTTGGAATTTTGATATAGCTTCTCGGCTTGGATTTATGAACTTTGAGTGGAGTCGGACTCTAGGAATACTTGTTCAATGCATTTCTTCATTATTACAGGAGGTGAAAGTGGATTGCACCTAGGATATGGCCATCACCAATCAAATGTTAGGTTCCATTGGTATGGTTGATTATGTTGCATATGGAGGTAGATATTTATAGGCAAATGGATGAGTATTTTGGCTTTTTTACTTTTACTTCATTAGATTCCTTTATCCTTCTTCAATAATGTTTTGAACTCTTGCCTACCTTCACTTGTCTTCTTCAATTATTTTCTGAACCATTTCGCATCTCTTATGGTCTTGTTTCAATCATGTTATGAATCATTGCTCATCTTTGTCCATCTCACTTTATTGGATTCCCTTCTCTTTCCCTATCTTCATTTAATTATTTTCTAAACTCTTTCCAATCTCATATTGTCTTGTTTCAATAATGTTTTGAACTATTGCTCATCTTTGTCCATCTCACTTTATTGGATTTCCTCAACTTTCCCAATCTTTTCCTATCTTCATTCAATTATGATCATATATGTAGGTCATCTCGTTTTGTCATCTTGTCATTATTTCCTCTCTTCCTCCTTATCCCTTTATATCTTATCATGATTTCCTATCACCTTCATTTTATCCTTTTGTCTTTTTAAGAAGTGTTATTCTATCCAATTGAATACACAATCTCCTTCAATCTCATTTTCCTTCTTACAATGAATTCATGTGAAAAGGCTATACAAAATTTCTTTGGTTGAGATAACCTTCAACACCTTTCCCTTTCTTTATTTTTCATCCTTCTATTTATCTCGTTCGAGTGCCCTTGGAGTGGGCATGAGCACATCATCCTCATCTTCCTCCAACTTGATTGTATTGCCACTATGAGAAAAATCTCTGAATGTTTGTGTGGGAGATTCACATAGCTCGTTCTACTTTGGGCAATCTTTTAGGATTTGCCAAGCAAGATACAACTTGAAAGACCTATTCAAAGGCTTATTATCATCAAGAAAAGTGTTTTTGCATGCATATCCTACGCACGAAATAAAATAAAAAGCAAGTTAATAATTGAAAAAAATTAGAATTGTAAATTTAAGCGTTGAATAAAATGGGTACTCACCACATCTTCAAGATGGGAGCCGCCCAAATGCCTTGCATTGGCCTTTGGGGTGTTCGCATCTCGGCTCCAGCCATGCTCAGATAATTTTCCAAAAACTTGTGGTACACACGCAACCAAAATGAGTCGTTTGATTGATTAGTGCCAATAACACCATCTTTAGAGACAGAAACCCACTAATTTGCACAATGCCTCATATTTTTGTGGTTTCCAATTCACATATCTTTAGGGTTTTGGGGTCATTCTCAACAATAATGAAAAGAGAAGAGAATGAACAAATATAACAAAGGGAAAAAAGAAAAAATTATTTTGGGTGGATTATTTAACAAATGAATGACTATTTATAGAGTTTGGGATGAGTTTTGGGGTTGGATCTGATTTAGATTAATTATAAAAATTATTTTCACCATTGGATTTAAATTTCAGCTGGTTGCAATGAAATTTTACCGTTGAGATTGCCTAAACTTATCATGGCCGTTGATATGCTGATATAGTCGTTGTATTAGAAAAAAACAAAATAACTTAATCTTTCAAATGGGGTCGTTAGATTCCAACGATTCATTCACCATGTGCTCCCACATGTCACGCGGAAGCAAATGAAGAGTAGTTAGCTTTCTGTCACGTGCGGCCCGCTCCCTTTTCCTCTTCACGTGGGCTGTGTATCATGGGTTGTGCTCCACACAAAATTATTAGTCCAAGCAAAACCCATATTGGAATTCCGCCCAGAATTCCACCCCCTAAAATACATGGGTTGGAGACGGATTTTGGACACAAAACTCAAAATTTGAGTTTCCAACCCTTGGGTTGGAGATGGTCTTAAGAGGTGCTAACATTGCAGACCTCGACTTAGAAAAGTTAAGTTAGAGTGGATATGCTCCCCATTCTGCATCCAAGTTCGAATCCCCGTAAATGTTTTTGAGAGAAAAGCGATAATTGTATACATAAATTAGGCATAAAGACCATCAGTCACAAGGGCAAAATAAAAATGCCCACAAAGGGGTAATACAAATATGTAAATATAGTAACCACATAGAGGCCACAAAAGGCCAGAGAAATTTCGACATAAAAATCGCATGCCTAAACAAACCAGACATGAATCACAACGGCCAAATCTACCAATACAACTACAACTTTTAACTCTCATAAGTACAAAATATAATATAGACTAGAAAACAATCAAACACCCAACTCACAAGGAGTTGATGCAATTATTACAAAATAAGAAAACTGCAAACAAACAACCAAAAACCAACAGAGCCTCTACCAACATTGTTGCCACCGCCACCATAGACGTCGCCGCCGCCTTAGAGACAGAGAACACACCGGGATTGCAGCTAGTCATTTAAATTAAATTAAAGTAGAATATCGCTTGTATAAAAAAATAAAATAAAAAGATGTGCTAAAATTGTAGAGACACTTTTAGGTTTTAATGACGACTACTTTATACTTCACTTTTAAATTTTTTAAAGTTATGTCTTCAAATAAACTAAAATTGTCCTCATTTAAGAATTTCCAAAACACAACTATTCTACTTTAAATAGACAAATACGTAAAACAATAGTCTATTGACATGCGTGTTAATAAAACTAAATGGGCAAAAATGCTAACAAAAAAGTCTAAAAAACACTCCTAAGGATGCCCTACACAAAACAAGGAAGGATTCCTCTTCTCGAAATCATGATGGCAGGTGTGTGGTATGTCTGGTTCGTGTCCTTTAATTATATTGTCTCTGATTATATTACGATGTTCTACTTTGCAAGACAAGGAAACAAAAAAGGTCTAGTTGGCTGTTTTTAAGGTTCTTGAAGGTGTAGTTATCAAGCTTCTCTACAATGACATAAAATTAGCAGAAAACTTTGATTTTATATAAATGTTTTTTTCAATAACCTTCACTTTAGATTATGAATTGGATCTTTCTTAGATTCTGAGATGCTTTCAGGTTCCCAGTTATGATTAAAACTTGAAGGTAGGTACTTATTGGACGCTCCACTTGCACAAGTTGAACCCTTTTGTTGTGTGGATGTTCCAAGTTACTCATGATCATGTTAGGGAATGATTTTATATTTCAAAATTCTCTAGATGATTCTTTGCTTGGTTCAAAAGAAACTTCTCATTGTATGTCCTACATGCATTGACAATCATGAATGCTAAGGATATATTGCTCAGCTCATGTGTGCGCCAGTGTGGGTGAGAAACTTACATGATCCGGGGTATATGTAATCATTATCTATTTCTTTCTCACGTGATATCTCGTGTTATGAGAGAAATAAAGTGTAGGTTTGTATTCTCGCATTTCATGTAAATCATTAATTTATTACAGGGGATATCATTCTATGGAACAGCTTATCTTTCCATGACCCGTAAAGTAGTTTAAGCCAAAATAATTTAGTTTTGGTGGCAGATCCTGATATCATTGGCACACAAATAGAAAGGTCTATATGGTGATTTTCCCATCTTGAAAGCTTGTTTTATAATTTGGTTTTATGCTTTTGAAAACTTCAGCTTCAGATGTTCACCATTTCGGCATGGCTGCTGCTATTTGGCCACAGATTTTATAGCCCTTGTTTTCTTTTTTCTTGGTTGAAGAAGTCCTTGTTTTCTAAGGTGACAGCTTGGTTCGTTGGCCTGGAACTTAAGGCCATCATAGAGCTTCATATAGTCTTCGAACACGAATTTCAGGTAAACTTGATTCTTCTCCTCTGCTTCTTTCTCCACCAGTGTTGGTGCAGGGTAGATGACAGCAACACTGCCAGGGTTGTAGAAGGAAGCTATTGACATTCTGGTGCCATCAGTTTGGGCAATCACTCTGTGCACCACACTCTTGTACTTCACATTAGTGATCACCTATACTACAGGGGAATTCAAAATTGTAAGTTTATTATATATGTAAGCAAATTGACTTGGGCATGAAGTAATATTAATTTGGAAAGTTGCGTTATTTGGGGTGACTAATTTTAATACCTCAAGTTGGTCAAGGATGATAACAATGGAGTGGCGCATGGGGGGCACATCAATCCATTGGCCATCTCCACTGACCTTGTCATCTTGGAAGAGCAGGATCATACTGCCGGCATTGGTGTGTGCCCGGAGACCCTTGATCAGCAAAGGGTTGGGACATTGAGGGTAGTTGCTAACCTGGGCGCCAAACGCTGGCCCATTTGTTCCATAGAAGGCCTTCCACTGTGTCTAAAAAATCATGACTCACTAGCTACAATATTTGTGGACCCAAAACTTTAAAATTAATCAGATGAAACGGATATTAATGACAATTGAATTACAACAAAAATATGTTGATAATATATTCAGTAAAACTTTATGTGGGGGTATTTTAGGGATCTGAAAATATAAAATCTGACACATGAAGCTTAATTAGGTAAGAATAAATGAGTTTAAAGGGGATAAAGTCAAATTTTCTATAAAAATTATCATATAGGCTTGGTCGACCAAGGCTTGGCTCCTTAAAATTAAGGAGGCGTTCCTCCTTACAACCATTGGGGTTTTGGCACTTGTTAAATTCAAGCAACATTGACAAAGTTTCAACAAAAAAGAAAAAAAAATGTTATAAAAATTTAACATTTGTCAAAACCCCATTGATTGTAAGGAGGAGCTCCTCCTTAATTTTAAGGAGCCAAGCTTTTTCCCATCTTTGTTTGGTCATTTTGCCATGTTCTGCTTTCTAGCAAAAAGAAAAAAGAGAATCTCAATTTTCTCTTTAGATTTACTAACATATGGATATTGAAATGATTCTAATTCACGACGATTATGCTAATTAATACCTAAAATCTCAAAAAATTAAATCAATTAATGGGATAGGTAATTATATATGTAATTAAGTAATATCTTAGCCTTTTTGAATTATTTTAATTATTATTTAATATATAAAAATTATAGAAAAAGTCCACAAAATAGTTAATTTCTATTTATTAAGTATTTTGTGAAATCATTTGGATGTCTTAATTAAATTTCTCAATAGCCCAAGAGCCATATCCATTTCTATTAGGCCATTACTCGAGTATCTATTGTCCCTTTTTGATTTTTTACTTTTTCAGAGTTATTACCCGTACAAAGATTCTAGCACTTTCACGTTTAATAATGTATTGTACACGTACAAACGTATTTCTCATGTTTAATATACCTATTTTTTACAAAAATTTTAATAAGACACACAAAATTCACGTATTATACACATAATTCTGACATATTATTGAATAAAAATAATATATATTTGGCTATACTCAGTTTTTCCCTAATTGTCTTTTTAAAAATAGTATAGTTGTTCGGCTATACTCATTTTTATTTATTTATTTTTAAAAAAAGCATAGCCGTACTGCTATACATGTTTGACATGTGGCGCATAGGCGCTGGACATGTCTTTATACACATGTATAAAATGTATAGCCGCTCGGCTATACTCGATTCTTTTTTGAAATTATTTAAGAAATTGTATAGCCGTCCAGCTATACTCGTTTTTACCTTTTTTTTTAAAGAAAATTGTATAGCCCCCGGATTTATAGTTTTGACACGTGGCACCTATGTGCTGGGTGCGTCTTTTTTTAATATATAAATAGTATAGTCGGGCGGCTGTACTTTTTAAAGAGAAAATTTAATCCCGGAAATGTCGCTGGCGTAGACCTGTGCTGACGAAATTTCGTCGGGACAAGTTTTTTTATAAATTTTTTAAAATTTAAAAAGAAATATAATTAGTTTCTTTACTTTCTTTTTTTTGGCCTACTACTTTAATTTAATATATGTAATTAAGTAATGTCTTAGCCTTTCTGAATTACTTTAATTAGTAATTATACGTTAATTATTTTTTAATATATATAAAATTATAGAAAAAATTCACAAAATAATTAATTTCTATTTATTAAGTCTTTTTGGAAATCATTTGGGTGTCTTAATTAAATTTCTCCATAGCCCAAGAGCCGTATCCATTTCTATTAGGCTATTACTCGAGTATCTATTGTCCTTTTTTAATTTTTTACTTTTTCAAAGTTATTACCCGTATAAACATTCTAGTACTTTCACTTTTAATGATGTATTATACACATACAAACGTATTTCTCATGTTTAATATACCTATTTTTTTTAAAATTCCAATAAGACACACAAAATTCACGTATTATACACATAATTATCACATATTATTGAATAAAAATAATATATATTTGGCTGTACTCAGTTTTTCCCTAACTGTCTTTTAAAAATATGAATAAAAATAATATATATTTGAATAAAAATAGTATAGCCGCTGGGCTATACTAGATTCTTTTTGAAATTTTTAAAGAAATTTTTCCAATTCATTTATTCATTTTTGTTATAAATAGTATAGCCGCTATACTCTTTAAATATCTAATAGGTGCCGTTTTGTTTTTTAAATTTGTTCTCCCTGATTTTTCTTTGTCAATAAGACTAGTCTAGAGCATTATCCATTACGTTTAGGCCATTACCAAGGTATATCTATTGTCCCATTTTGATTTTTTACTTTTCCAGGGTTATTACTTGTATAAATAATTTAGCATTTTCCCATTTGATACTTGTATTATACACATATGTACGTATTTTTTTAATGATACTTATATTTTCCGTATACATCTTAAAGACTCGGTATAATGAAAGAAAAAGTATAATACATGTATTGTACGCATACACACGTATTTTAAAGATTATTTAATATCAGAGAACAAAAAAACAAAGTCCACAAAATAATTCATTACTATTTACCAAGTAATTTACGAAATCAGTAAAATACTTAGGGCATGTTTGGTATTCAACTTGAATTCAACTTTTTAAACTCAAAAACAGAATTTAAGTCCAAAACAAAGAAAACATGTTTGGTAGCCTTATTTTTAAGAACTCAAACTCAAGAACAACTAAAAAACACCACAATTATTAAAAACAAAAACAAAAATATTTTTTTTAGTTTTTTTCTAACAACCCACAAGTTCTCAAATTTTTAAGATTTGAAAACAGTTTTCAAGTTGCATACCAAACAAGTTTTTGAATCTTAAAAATAGATTTAAGAACTCCTTGTTTTTAAGAAAAATCAAAGTTTTTGAGTTCCCTATTTGAATAGGATACCAAATGCCCCCTTAAATATTCACTAAAGAAATAATAATTGAAATATAATTACTAATTAAATTAATTAAAATAAAAAGGCTAAGGTATTACTTAATTACATGTATTAAATTAAAGAAGTTAGCCAAAACACAAAAGTAGAGAATATAATTTTATATTTTAAAAACGTAAGAATTTAAAAAAAAATAAAATAAAACAGTATAGCCGCACGGCTATACCTTTAAAATATCCGATTTACTGTTCCATGCCTTTAAATAGTATAGCCGCCCGGCGATACTCCTTAAATATAATATTTGAGCAGTATAGCCGTCCGGCTATATTCCCAAAATTGATTATTTTAAAAGTATATTCGCCCGGCAACCAAATTTCGTCGGCATATACCTGTGTCGACGAAATTTTGTCGGGAAAAAAAAAACTTATTATCTTTCGTACCTATCTTTAAATTTCTAATGGTTTCTTTTAAAAAAAAAAAAAAAAAAAAATCTCCCTGATTTTCTTTGTCGATAAGACTAGTCTAGAGCATTATCCATTACATTTAAGCCATTACCAAGGTATATCTATTGTCCCCTTTTGATTTTTTTTACTTTTCCAGGGTTATTACCAGTATAAAGAATTTATCATTTTTCCCATTTGATACTTATATTATACACGTACGTATGTATTTTAATGATTATTTAATATCAAAGAACAAAAAACAAAGTCCACAAAATAGTTCAAAACAATTCATTACTATTTACCAAGTAATTTACGAAATCAGTAAAATACTTAAATATTCACTAAAGAAATAATAATTGAAACATAATTACTAATTAAAGTAATTAAAATAAAAAGGCTAAGGTATTACTTAATTACATGTATTAAATTAAAGAAGTTGGCCAAAAAAACAAAAGCAGAGAATATAATTTTCGTTTTGGTGTCTCTTAATTAAATTTCCTCAGAGTCCAAGGCCCAAGTCTTTGATTAATATAATTATTAGGCTTAATTGCTACAGTGCCCCTTGAAACATTGGTTAATTATCACTTATCCCCCTTAAAGTTAAAGTGACTCACTTTGCCACCTTGACCTATGTTTTGTGTCTCACTTTGCCCCTCACCCCATTGCAACCTCCCAACGACCCAAAAATTTAAAACAATAACAAATATATCTTAAAAAATAAATAACAAAAAATTGAAAAAAGTAAAAACAAGAACAAGATAAAACCAAACCCAGGCACCCCCCCAGAAAGTACCCTTTATATTCTTTCTTAGGTAGGCATGCCTATTTAAGACTAGCAAAGAAGCAGAAAGGAGAACCCTTCTATTTGATTTAATTAGGGTGATTCATCTCGTCTTCCCCAACCCAACCTCCCCCCATACCCACCACCTAGATCCACTAGTGCAGGGCAGTGGGTGGATGTCAGATTCAAACAGAGTACATCAAGGCCAAGTGGCTGTCTCCTCACATGATCTCTGCGGTTGAGATTGAGTTGGACAAGTCGGTATTTGAGTTGTCGGAGAGTTTGGATGAGGAAGAGAAGATGATAGTGGCGAAGGAATGAAAACGGCCGGAGTTGAAGCCCAAGAGATCTCAGACTATGGTTAAGATTTTGATCTCATACTGGTATGGCTTCTGTCATGGAAAATGAGCCATAAAAATTTTGATTTAGTTTTTAAAAATATGTAAGGGTTGGATTTTTTGGTTTTAAAGTATTATTTTTGTTTTTAATAGTTAAATTAAGTTATTTAAAAGATCATTTTTAATTTTTTGCTTCACACATGGCACTTAGTTTAGCAAAATTGTGGGTCGTATTAGTGCCATGTCAGCATTATGTTTCATGAGGCACTGTAGCTGTTAAGCCTAATTATTATTAATGAAAGTCATATCAAAGCCTCCTATAGCTAAGCCCATTGGCCCAACTCTCCAATGTTAACCACACTTATTCAACTATCATGGTGCTTTGTTTATAAACACCTTTATAGGAGTGTAGATTTTCGATGTGGGATTTTCACATAGGCGCCTCAAAAGATAGGCCTTTAGAGAAATCTATATTTTTATTGTTGGTTCAATATGAAATTATATTTAAAGCCCTTCAAGGTCTCCGTGATGCATCTGTAAATGCCCTCCAAGGTCTCCGTGAGAAATTATACTATGGAGGGCAGAGTTATGGTTTTGATGTTGACTTCCATTCTTAGTAAATATAGGAACCAATTGAAAAAGATACCTCACAAATTTTACCTTGCCTTAATAATGACCAGATGAGCTGGAAGGTTTACACCCCATGCCAATGGGCTGGTACAAACCAATACCTATAATTTTCCATGACGGGCTCTTGATGATTGCTGGTTCCTTGATCTTCGCTGTTTCCTGTCTTGACCGTTTGGAGCAGTGCTTTCATGCCCCTTCCCCTTTTCGTAGGAAACAGCAACCTCTTTGCATTTGGCTGATGATACAGAGTTTGAACTCTGCCCCACTTCCATTTATCTTCTAACCTGATAGGATAACCTTCTCCAATGAAACTTAAATCTGGTATTTTGTTATTCAAAACTGGCATTTGCACCATTAGATGGTTTGAATAAAGAATTTTTCATGGCCTTATTGCCCTTGTTGATTTTCGGATCCTTCCTGTTTTGATGTTCGTTTCTTTTTGATGGATTTGACCTCATGCTGAGACTCATATATAAAAACCTCAACACCAGATGGTATACATTACAAGGGCCAAGAGTCTCAGAAGGAGCCTAACCTGTGCTTTTGAATGATAACGTTAATCAGTTCCCCTTCCTGTTGGTTTCCCAGAGTTAGCCTGGAATGACGTCGAAATTCATGGCCGCCCTTATGATCTCCACCGAAAGAGAAGATAAAGCCAAATGATTCAATTGAATTTGTACTTGCATGCCGTGACAACATCTCCCAATCTGTATGTATGTAAAACAAACACAGAAGATCTGAATGCTGGTAACAATATAGTACAGAGAGATAGAGATAGGGTGATATGTATTCTGTATGTGGAGAGAGAGAGAGAGAGAGAGAGAGAGAGAGAGAGAGATTATATGTGTATTGTGGTTTTCACAGGTTTCTTGGCCTGCAAAAGCAAAATCCATTTGTAACCATGTGAACTCTGAAGGGAGAAACAAAGTATATAAGAAAGAAAAGGGTAGGGGGATTAGACCTCATTAACACTTACCATTTCTGAGATGGGAGTGAAGAAGAGGAAGAAATAAATGTGGTTTGATGGCTGGCTGCCCCTATGATTGGGTGGCCTAACTTAGCTTACCCTAGTCTTAGTCTAGTACGTCAGTCAGGCAAGCCTTACAAGCAAACAGCGTGATCCTAATAGGCAGTCCATTTGAATGTGATTGTGTTTCTCACGTCATTTTTTATTATAATAAATTGAGCTTAAACCCATAAAATTCATTTTAAATCACCACACCCCTTTCCTTTAGTTTTCTATTTAAGATACCCAATTTTTTCAAATAATACCCGATGACTAGGATTCAACTAAGGAAGTTACCTAATATAACTTAAAATCTGATTTATTGTATTTTTAGGATTCCAAAACTACCCCTATTTATAAGTTAATGTGTTATGGGGGGTGTAACTAATGACACCCGTTCAATTTGGAAATATCTCTAAATAGTTGTAAAGGATGTAGGAACCAATTTAGAAACTTATTTGAAATTAAATATTAAATTCCACATTAAAGTATTAGTAATCTATTTTACGACTAGTAATCTACTTTTGAATTAATGCTGTTTTCTTTCTATGAATTACGACTAGTAATCTATTTAAAGTATTAATAATTTAAATTCAATATTAAATTTAGGAATTAATGTTGTTTTCTTTTTATGAATTATACGACCAGTATTCTTTTTTATTATAGTTTTATGAATAATAGTGTACATTCTAATTATGTTGAAAAATAATTTGATAATCTATTTATTATTTTGTTTTTTAAAACATTTTTTTAATGAACCTATTTTTTCTCTAAATATTTTTTTTTTTTTTTTTTTTTTTTTTACTTGTTTTATGAAAAATAATTTGATCATCTTTTTATTGTTCGTTTTATGAAAACAATTGTTTTTTTAAATGAGCCTATTTTTTTCTCTGAAAATAATGTACCTACTTTTTTTTCTCTAATAATGTACCTACTTTTTTTTTCTCTAATAATGTACCTAGTAAAACAATTTACCTAGTATAGTGAACCTATTTTTTTCTCTAATAATGTATACCTAGTAAAACAATTTACCTAGTATAATGAACTTTTTTTTTCTTCTAAATAATGCACCTATTTTCTATAAATTATTGTGTACCTATTTTTAATTTATGAAAAATGTGCAGAAATTTCAAATACAAAGTAATTGACCTATTTTTGTTAATTTTTTTGGTAAATAATATACCTATAGTTTTATACGGATATATTTATATTTATATTTTTCATATGTACATTATTGGATATGTAATTTACATATTTTTTTTATTTGCAATTTTAAGGGGCCATATGTTAGAGGGAATGACAACCAAAAGAAATGGGGTGACTGATATGCTATTAATAGGGAGTTTTAATTACAATTATGGTAGTTAATGAAATGCTTGGAATAAATTATAAATAAAATATGAAGTCTGATGGCAAGGATGTAAAAACATAGGAATACTATGACCTCTTATATCATACTGGTCATTTAAGTTTGAAATTAGGTTTTACACATAAATTTATAGAATGATGGATATATGTCTAGGAAATAGAAATTGTAGGGACCTATATTGGACAAGCCCTTTTTTTTATTTTTGAGTTTGAAAACTGCTTGTGAGCTGTGACTATGTGAGTGAGTTCTGGTGCTCGTCAATCTCTCATATCCAAAACTGGATTGACTTAAAACATAACAAAATAAAATTAGGCCCAAAAGCCAACGAAATCTAGCCCAGTATAAAAGGGCATTGACTTGCAGACTAAAGTTTGATGTGTGTGTGAGAAACCTCTCTCCCTGTGTAGCCACTGCCACTGAATTCGGCTTGCAAATATCCATTCAAGTAGGATGTAGAATAACAAAATGAGAAAAGAAAATTCTAAGCATTCCATTATAAACTTAGAGTTACGGCCTTCAAAGTAACAAAGCAATATTGTATCAAATTACTTGTCTTCTTCGAGTTGGATCTCCGAGTATCATTACGAAGGGACAAGAGTCTCCAATTACTTTTGAGCCTCAATTGCTACGTTCACCCACAATTTGAAATTCCTCAAGCATAAATGGTCTTCAAGTCCTGCTTCCAGGATAGAAATATTCGACACTGTTTTCCTTTACTTTGAATTGGAAATTAGACAGCTTATTTCTTGATCTCTCCCTCCCACTATCAGGCCTGTCAACTGCAACCAACAAGAACAATGAGGATCATAACTTTCGTAATCTCGTTCAATTGTATGGATATTAAAACCATTAAGAGGAGACTTTTGGGAAGTAATACTAAACAGGAAAAGTACACTTGCTACAAGCGTAATTGGCAGGTCACCAGCAGCAAGCTGGCAAGCAATACTAATGGAAATAGTTCTCACAAATTTTCAATTGCTAACGCAGGATTGTGATCTAGTGGACTCGACGGAGAAGATATAACTTTATGCTCTTTATTTGTTATGGATGCAGGTAGCAGCTCAAATATCTTGACTTGGAAAGACAGACTTCAAATAGCAATAGACGCTGCACAAGGTCACTAAAAGATTTGCAACAATATTTTTGTTAGCTAGCATCTCCTTAATTTCTTTTCTTTTCTTTTCTTTTAATTCAATTTTTGGGATGTGTTGTCTCAACTTGAAATGCAGGATTGGAGTATCGGCACTACGGCTGTAAGCCACCAATAATCCACAGGGATGTAAAATTAACAAACATTTTGCTGAATGAAAATTTCCAAGCCAAGCTATCTGATTTTGGACTATCCAGAAGTGATGACACTCATATATCGACCGTCGTTGCTGGCACTCCCGGCTACCTCGACCCTGAGTAAGTAATTTTTTTGTTTTTTTAAAGTTTATCCATCCCTTAATTGGAGCATTCAAATCAAATATTAGAAACTAAAAAATGTGATGTTTGATTTGCAAATGGTTGTAACTTGTACTTGAAGGTACAACCTATCAAACAGGTTGAACGAGAAAAGTGATGTTTATAGCTTCGAGGTTGTGCTGTTGGAGATTATTTCCTGTCGACCTGTTTACTCTTCAAGGGAACACGAAAGAATTCACATCAGTCGGTGGGTGAGCTCAATGCTTGCAGAAGGAGACATTTACGGCATCGTTGATCCAAGGTTGGGGAGACACTTCAACACGAACACTGTATGGAAGGCTGTGGAGATAGCAATGGCATGTGTATCTCCAAATGCTATAAAAAGGCTAACCATAAGTCAGGTGGTGGTGGAACTAAAGGAGAGTTTGGCAACAGAGATTTCTGGAATAAGGCAGAGCCATGAAACTGAGTTAACAAATTCCATTGAGATAAGGTCTGATAGTTCGATCTCTATGCTAAATCCCTCGGTTAGGTAGTTGAACTATTGCTTAGCTAGATCAAATAATGGGAGTTGGGATGTATTAGTTTCCTCCATTTTCTTTTTAGATCAATTATTTTTTTATGGGTAAAATCAATAGTAATATGCATATGCCATTGGCATTAAAGTTAATGATCCTTTTGTTTAACTTAATTTGTTGTATTAATATTAATATGTATACAATAACTAATTGTAAGAGATTGATAGAAAACATCTATGCTCTATTAAATTAAAGTTGGTGAGAGAGGCATGTACTAATATGAAAAGGTTTGATGTGTATAAAATAAGTGTGCGAAGCTGTGCAAGAAGACTTGAGATGAGAGGGAGAATAATAAAAGTATCCTCCAAGAAATGAAATAGAAGCTAACCGAGAGCTTACAAAAAACTCCTCTGTTTTTGTCTTCAGTTTTTCCTCCTTTGCATTCCATTGCCTTATGCTTGATAAGTTGTGCAGCTAAGTGTGTGAGTGTGCATATATGGGTTAAAATCCATATTCCAACACCTCTGACATGTTGTGTGTTCTGATCAATATCTAGGTAAAAAGTTTTGGCATTTCTTATTCAAATACAAAATTCCTCAACCACGAAGGAAAAAATGAAAAAACTTTTAACAAATTAATCTTTTGGTGCCTAGGATTGAATTGGATTATTGGTGTAGTTGGCGTGATACAAGTCATGATGTGTAAGTCTCACATCGGAGTAATACATACCACAATTATCACAGTTTGAAAATTAGGATTTGTTACTCACGTCATCCATGCTACTTGAGCTTAGCATATAGTTGATAAGTGCTTTTCTTTTTCTTTTGAGGACCTTTCCTATTGAGAGGGGCGATAATACACTAAACTCACACACACAATACGTATGCTAGGACTCGAACGCAGGACCTTGCTTGGGAGAGCCCTTACTCTAAATCACTACACTAGTGGGTCCTTTGAAGTGTTTTTCTTTTTTCTTGATAGTGCTTGGAAGATGCAATATTAATAAATCCACCCATTATTATTAGTAGTTTAAAAACGACGGGATATTAACAATTAGTAGTGGTTTAAGACTGAAAAAAAAACTAATAATGGATCTTTCAAGCCCATTGACCCAAGCAAGTCATGATTAATCTAATGGTAATGGATCTTTCAGCGACCTCTTCTTGCAAGGGGGATATGCATTTCAAGTTTCAACTGAAACAGCCGTGTTCTGGACTTCGGTTGTTGAGTCAACATCTTGTATTTTGGCCCCAACCTGCCAGTTGATTTTATTCTATTGTATCGATGGCTAATTCGAGGACATAACCGAAATTTCGTCATTAATTTATTTCTTTGTGAAAAAAAAATATACATTTGACTTTTTAAGAATTTCCATGGTTATGAGGACAACTGGAGGGAAGAAGCCAAGAATGTGACCTGTTTTTTCACAGAAGGAAGGCTTTGAACGAGCTGATTTAAATAGTGCTTAATTTTCTTTTTAAGAAAAATCAGACAGAGAGAATGTAAAGAGAACTTTATCTGACAGTGATAAGCTAAATGTGGTTAAGAAAGGACCAACATTTATGTCTTGCTTCTCAAAGTTTAATGATGTCGCGTACAGTCAAGCAATTCCTCTTCACACTGCACCTTGGTCTCAGTCTTCTGCTCCTAGTTCATGCCCAGGATGATCAATCAGGTAGGAATATTTTGAAGGAAATAATGTTATCTATAATATATACATAGCTAATGAAAGCTTCTCTGTCTTTTTGTATGTGTGTGTCTATCTCAGAATTCATTAGCATAGATTGTGGCCTGCAGAAAGTTACCTATACCGAAACGACAACAAAAATTCGCTACATTTCAGACGCAAGCTTCATAGACACCGGTGAAAGTAAATCCGTGTTGAATGAGTTTAGAGATGACTATCAACAACCCTACTGGTCTCTAAGGAGCTTCCCTGAAGGAACCAGGAACTGCTACAACATAAACGTCACAAGCGGCATCAAATATTTGATCAGAGCAAGTTTTGTTTATGGGAATTATGATGGCCAAGAAAAAGCACCTGAGTTTGAACTCCACCTTGGAGCTAACTTATGGGAGTCAATACGGTTTGAGAATGCCTCCGTAGGAGCAGCACACAAAGAGCTTATACATGTCCCACTGCGAAGCTACATACATGTCTGTCTGGTGAACACAGGCTCCGGCGTTCCATTTATATCAGCAATAGAACTCAGGCCTTTACTTAATGCATCTTATCCAACACAAGTGGGGTCGTTGGCGCTTGAGATGCGATTTGATACTGGTCAAGTACCAACTGATTTTGAAGGATACAGGTGAGTGCCTAATCTCCTAGGAGTTAGATGATGAACATATACCTGGTCAACTTCTAATTGCTAATGAGACTGATGAAATATTGAAATCTATTTAGGTATCCGTTCGATGTTCATGATCGCTTCTGGTATGCCTATGACCGTGATGATTGGACACAATTAAGTACATCACAGACCATTGACTCTGGATCTAGCAATGATTACCAACCACCTCCTATTGTGATGCGTACTGCTGCAACGCCAAGACATGTGAATGCTTCCTTGGACTTCTTCTGGCTGCCTGCTGATGACAAGGCATCATACTATGTATACATGCACTTTGCAGAAGTTGAAAAGCTACAAGCAAACCAATCCAGACTGCAATACATTACTAGGAACGGGCAGGTCTTTTATGAGTTATTTGCTCCCGATTACTTGTACACAAGTACTATTTTTAGCCCTGCCGCTTTGAGTGGAGGACAATATAATTTTTCAATCCGTAAGGCAGAGAACTCTACCCTTCCACCCATCCTCAACGCCATTGAGATTTACACATTGAAGGAATTCTTAGAGTTAGAAACAAACCAAGAAGATAGTAAGTCTTTCTTCCTTACACTAGCTTTCATACTCTCAGTTTAGTGTTTATATGTATATGATTGATTTAAATGAGATTTTCTGTTTGATTCTGAAAATGTTTTAATTAGTTGACGCAATCAACATCATCAAGTCAGCATATAAGATTAAAAAGAACTGGCAAGGAGATCCGTGTGCCCCTCAAGCTTACTTGTGGGAAGGTGTAAAGTGTAGCTATCCTCAAAATGAGTCCCCAAGAATCATATCCTTGTAAGTATGCCTTCAAACAAAGTTACCGAAATTTTCATTCCCGTTCCACTTATGTGTAGTAAATTTAAATTAATGGAACATGCAATCTGTAGGGACTTGTCCTCGAGCGGATTAACAGGGGAGATAGCTCCTTCTATATCCAACCTTACAGTGATTCAGACATTGTGAGTATATATGTCTTCCTGTGAATAAGTTACCAGAAGGCAGACAGCACATGATCAGAATTTGATTTAAATAAGTTGAGCTGTTCATTTCAGGGATTTATCAAACAACAACTTGACAGGACCAATTCCTGACTTTTTGTCTCAATTGCCAGACTTAAATGTCATGTAAGTCATTTGGTTGCCTGTATCTGGGGAGGAAAAAACTAAAAATCTTTTGTTATGAACAAAGTATGGTGAAAGATTAATGATTAATTTACCTTTGCAGAAACTTGGAGAAAAACAAGCTCACAGGCTCAGTTCCGGTAGGACTGATTGAAAGAAGGAAGAATGGTTTTCTATCATTAAGGTGTGCTATGTGAAACCCATATAACCTTCAAATTTTGTACTTAACTCCAACTCACCACCACGACACTGTGTTAGAAGTTCGATCCACACAGATATTTTTAATGACAATATTAAATGATGAGGTGTTTATAACAGATCAAAATCTAACTATTGTTGCTATCAACCATTTTTATGTCAGTTTGTGTGCAAATCCAAATCTATCCGGAAATGTTTCTTGCAAAAAGAAGCGCAATTTTGTTATTCCCGTAGTTGCGTCAGTCGCTGGAATCTCCATCCTCTTATTATCTGTAGCAGCTCTCTGTTGGGGCATTAAACGGAAAAGACAACCTGGTAAGACTTCCAAATATCTGTCAAAGTTCCTTTTTTTTTTTCTCTCTTATGGCCTTAAAAATGAAGAATTACGACTTGACATCAGATATCCAAGTGCATTTCTTAAAATAATAACATTCTTCATAAATATATATATATGCACATTAAACTTGTGATGAAATCTTAGGAGCTGTCACAGATGCAAATCCTATCATTGCACCAGTGGAGGCAACAAAACGACAGTTTACATACTCCGAGATCCTCCAGATCACTAACAATTTAAAGAGGATTCTTGGCAAAGGTGGATTTGGAACAGTTTATCATGGATGCATAGACAAAACTCAAGTAGCTGTCAAGATGCTTTCACCATCTTCAGTTCAAGGGCTTCAACAATTTCATGCTGAGGCACGTTTGTTAAAATAAGCTATGCAATCATTTTGAGCTCAATCTTATATAATAAACTAAGATGTTTCATTGTGGTCTCTTATCTTACAGGTTAATCTTCTGATGAGAGTTCATCATATTAACTTGACAAGCCTTGTAGGATATTGCAATGATGAAAATCACATAGGGCTTGTGTACGAGTACATGGAAAATGGAAACTTACAAGCATATCTATCAGGTTTGGCTGCAATTGAAACTATTCCATACCAAAATTTACCATTGTTTAGTAACTTCTAATTTGTTGGAAAACGACCAATAAATTACCGGAGGCTTTTATTTTTTTTAGCACTAGAAATCTAAGTTCTGCAGAAACATTCCTTGATCTCCACATTATTTTTTATTTTCTGTGGATGCAGACGGCACTCCAGTTGTCTTCACTTGGGAAGGTAGACTTCAAATAGCTACAGATGCTGCACAAGGTGTGAAACTAACATCTCCTCTCTTTTTTCTTTTCTTTTTTTTGAAATTTTTTTGTGATGAGAATTCACTGATGTCTGAATATGGAAATGCAGGATTGGAGTATCTGCACTATGGTTGTAGCCCACCTATTATCCACAGGGATGTGAAATCAACTAACATCTTGTTGAATGAATATTTTCAAGCCAAACTATCTGATTTTGGCCTATCCAGAAATTTCCCTGTAGAGGATGGGACTCATATATTGACAGGTGTTGCTGGCACTCCCGGGTACCTTGCGCCCGAGTAAGTTTTTTGTTTTCAGTCTGGGTAATGATATATCAAATCTAATCCCAAAGCATTTTAAATTCTAACTAATATTAATTTGGTATTGGTGCCCTCTAGTACTATTGTTTCATCCTTAATATTCAAAATATTAGTAATGTCACTGAAGCAAATTAAAGATAAAGCAAGGACATGAATGAAGAAACAAAGAAACCATATGTAAATGGACGTTCTAGCCAAATTCTTTTGTAGAAGATATGACTTGAGTTGCTTGGTTGCTTGAAGGTACAATATGTCAAACAGGCTAAATGAGAAAAGTGATGTTTACAGCTTTGGGGTTGTACTGTTGGAGATTATCGCGGGTCGACCTGCTTTTATAAACACACATGAGAGAATTCACATAAGTAAATGGGTTGGTTTGTTGCTTCCAAAAGGAGACATTTACAGCATTGTTGATCCAAGGTTAGAGAGAAGTTTCAATGTAAGCTCTGTCTGGAAAGCTGTGGAATTAGCAATGGCATGTGTATCTAAGCACCCTATCAACAGGCCATCCATGAGCCAGGTATTGGTGGAACTAAAGGAGTGTTTGGCAACCGAACTGGCTCGAACAAAGCAGAGCAGCAATCACACTGAAACAGGAAATTCCATTGAGATGATGTCTCAGAATTCAATCGCTATGCTACGTCCCTCAGTTAGCTAGGTACGTACTAAAATAATGGGATTGGAATATATTATTTCAATCCTTGCAGGTTGTATTATGTATGTATTGCAAATGTTTCATAATCAATAATGTATCTTCTTATCAAGAATTATGGGCATGATCAAAACTCAAATTGTATTGTGCATAACTTAACTATTTCAAATTGCCCATTTATTATTCCTATTTTGTATATAATTGGCTATTAACAAATGACAATGGATGTTTCAAGCCTATTGACCTACTCAAGTCATGGAATCTACTAATAATGGATCTCTAACTCAAGCCCGTTGACCCACTAAAGTCAGCCACTTCCACATACATTTGAGTTGTCAGACAAAAATAAAACATTTGAGTAGAACCAGCCCTGTCGTGGACTAAGATTAATCTAGATCAGTCAATTAATGTAGATATTCGCATCCTTTCCATTGATGGCTAGCCTGTAAGTATGGATCATGGTAGCCATATCCATTAATTCAAGTAGGTATCAAAAGCCGTACCCAAGACCAGTCAAAAAAATTAGGAACAGTTATGGACAACTTGGGCACTATTATATAAAAGAGGAATGTTATACAGATCACATTTCTTAATTAATCACTTATCACATGATATGGGAGTATACATGTCACGTCCAGTTAGATTAGCATATGACCACTTGTGTACATGTTATGCGGCTATTGATAGAAGTCAAAAGATCCTAAATGGTTGGGGGAGTGTGACTCTTCTCTCATCTTTTACTTATAATCCGGGTATTTATAGAATTGACGGAGTTAAGTTCGTTTGAAGTTATCCTTTGTTATTATTCGGTTGCATCACAAAGAGGAGGATATAAAGCGAAGGGAGCACAAAAAGCAACAGGAGGGAAAATGCCAAGAAGGTGACAAGTTGGAAAAAGTAAGCCAAAGACAGCATAATTTAATAAAATTTGGTGGCAAGCAATAATCATACTAATTAATTAGAACACCAATAGTAATAATAAGTGCAAACGCAACCAGTATAGAAGTCATATCACATTCATATAAGTTGAATTCTTTGCTCCTAACAAAGTTAGACAAAATGTTAATTGACTCACATGTAGTCATCTAAATCTTTTTTTAAAGGTAACGTAAGGAGATTCTTTTTTCACATTATGTGGCATTCAATATGTATGTGCTTACAATGATTTTAGATATATTTAGTTACATACCCATTTTTAGCACTAGTGTTATAGATAAATATTATATATATATCATTTAATTTCTAGGGCTGTTTGTAGCAATGGTCCCTCAACTATACTCAGAGTTACATTTTGGTCACTCAACTTCAAAAATAGTTACAAAGGTCACTCAATTAGGTGTTGTGTTGCACCATTAGTCCATCTGTAACTATTTTTGGAGTTAAGTGACCAAAATGTAACTCCAAGTATAGTTGAGGGACCATTGCTACAAATAACCCTAGAAGCAATGCCTTAGAAGCAACAACGATCAAAGAGCTAATTCATGTCACACTGCGAAACTATATATACATGTTTGTCTGGTGAACACAGCCTCCGAAGTTCCATTTATATCAGAGATAGAACTCAGGCCTTTGCCTAATGCTTCTTATGGAACACAAATGCCGACTGATACCTTGGCACTTGTCGTGCGGTATGACACTGGTCCAACAGCACTTAATTATACACTACATAGGTGAGTGCAAAATCTCCCTGTTCATGATCAATAGATTAACTAATAACTAATGACTGATGAAATATATATTTCTCCTGATTGTCTACGTTTTGTCTAGGTCTATGGTTTGGATGTCATGGACGAAAATACAACTCGGGTGTACTAGTTTAGAGACCATTGCAACAATTAAGTCCAAAATATATTAATATTAATATATAAGAGAATTGTACCTGCAGCTAATATATGGTGTTGCAAATTTCCATTGGCCACTTACCCACAAACAAGTGCCAGTGTCACCTTCAACGCAATACCCAATTAGAGAAACCAAGTTCGTATGGTGAACTCTCATCAACAATTTCACATGTTTGAGTTATTAGAGTTCCTTGGAGGTCTTTATAAGACTTACTCTTGCAAATATAGTAGTTTGGATTGATCATGCAAGTGGCCCAATTGAGTGGTTTGTGAGTATGACCTTTAGGTAAATGGTTAATTAATATATATTTAATTAATCAAAAGGTTGGCCTTGGGCCTTGGGGCTCTTAGGCTCCGTGATTTAAATTAAACCCGATTTATTATTCTAGTGGAGCAAACACCATATTTAATTTCATTATTCTAATTGTTGTTTAAAATATAATTACTAATTAAAGTAATTAAAAAAGGCTAACATATTACTTAATTACATATATTAAATTAAAGAAGTAGACCAAAAAAGAAAAGTAAAGAAACTAATTTTATATTTTTTAAATATTTTTTTAAAAATGAAATTTCCCAAATGAAATTTTCATTTTAAAACGTATAGCCGCACGGCTATACTATATATATATAAAAAAAGGGACGGGCCCAGGGCCTAGGTGCCACGTGTCAAATACTAATTTTGGAAAAAAAATTGTAGGAAAATGAGTATCGCCGCACGGCTCTACTATCTCTTAAAAATTTTCAATAAGAATCTAGTATAGCCGAGCGGCTATACTATATATGTATGTGTACAGACCCTGCCAGCACTTATGCGCCACGCGTCAAACGAGAGCGCTGGGTTTTTTTTAAGAGTACAGCCGCACGGCTATACTATTTTTCAAAGCAATTAAAGGGAAATTAGTATAGCCGGCCGGCTATACTTAAAAAAAAAGTATATGTCATTTTTATTCAATAATATGTGAGAATTATGTGTTCAATGGTTAATTAATATATATATATATATACACACACACACTTAATTAATCGAAAGGTTGGCCTTGGGCCTTGGGGCTCTTGGGCTTTGTGATTTAAATTAAACCCGATTAGTTAATTAATTATTTGAATTTTTTTAAATTTTTTTTTTGTCCTATAAATTCGCAAAGAATATTCATATCATCATTCTTGTATAGCCCCATAGATAAACCAAAACATTTCGCTAGAAATGAAAGCACTTGTGCTAGGACTATGATTTAGAAAGTTGTGTCCTAGTGGAGCGAACGCCATATTTAATTTCATTATTCTAATTGTTGTTTAAATATAATTACTAATTAAAGTAATTAAAAAAGGCTAACATATTACTTAATTACATATATTAAATTAAAGAAGTATGCCAAAAAACAAAAGTTAAGAAACTAATTTTATATTTTTTAAATATTTTGTAAAAATGAAATTTCCCAAATGAAATTTTCATTTTTAAAAGTATCGCCGCACGGCTATACTATTTATATATATGAAAAGGGACAGGCCCATGGCCTAGGTGCCACGTGTCAAATACTAGTTTTGAAAAAAAAAACGTAGGAAAATGAGTATAGCCGCACGGCGATACTCTTTCTTTAAAAATTTCAAAAAGAATGTAGTATAGCCGGTCGGCTATACTATATATGTATGTGTACAGACCCGCCCAGCGCTTTTGCGCCATGCGTCAAACGAGTAGCACTGGTTTTTTTCAAAGCATACAGCCGCACAGCTATACCTTTTTTAAAAAGCAATTAATGGGAAAACTGAGTATAGCCGGCCGGCTATACTTTTTTTTTCTTCAGTATATATCATTTTTATTCAATAATATGTGAGAATTATGTGTTCAATGGTTAATTAATATATATATATATATACACTTAATTAATCAAAAGGTTGGCATTGGGCCTTGGGCTTTACGGCTCTTGGGCTCTGTGATTTAAATTAAACCCGATTAGTTAATTAATTATTTGAATTATTTTAAAAAAATATTTTGAGTTTGTCCTATAAATTCGCAGAGTACATTTGTATCATCATTCTTGTATAGCCGCATAGATAAACCAAAAAATTTGGATAGAAATGAAAGCCCTAGTGCAAACCCAACTGAAAGCTAAAAAGGAAACTAAGAGAATTTGAGGGAGAGAAAGGAGAGGAGCTCTAGAGAGGTGTTTGAGGGCTGCCCCCTTTGTGTGTGTTTGTAAGCTTTGGGAACCTCATTATTTATAGGCCTATGGGAAGTAAAAATATGAATTGAGTATTACTTCTATCTACAACACCCACTTCACGAACTTTACCTAACTTCCCCACCAAAAATAATTAGCTCATGCATATGTCATGCATGACAATGCATTGCAGTCAGCTTGTAGGCTCATTCTGGGCTTGTTCCTCCATTCTGAAAAATTTGGAAAAATATGGATCTTAAAGCTTTTTGTCTTATCTTTCTAACCATATGTAGCCCAGCTCAAGGAAAAATCGGAAAAGCCTTCAAATGTCATTTTTGACACAATAACACAGATGCTTCCAAATTTTACCTTAAGATGCCAAAATTTGCCAACGATGTATGGCTTATTATATGGTTATTCCTGAGCACGTACAGTCCAATATATGAAGTTGACTAATCTATAGACACATTTTTTAGCTAAGTTGACTCCAAAATGCATTAAATGAGTCCCAAAGCTTAATACATTGAAACAAACACAAAAGAGATTAAAAGTACAAGTTTAGCTAAAAACATAACGAAATCAAAAGCTAAAATGGTAGAAAATGATATGTAATTATGCACCGATCAGACCCATCCCTAGCTCCTACTTATAGATTATCTTTTTTTGTTTTCTAAACTTTTTTTTCCTTCAGTTTTTCATATTTAAAAAAAAATTAAACATTGTTTAATCCACGTGGCGCCCACGTCAGTAATCTAACATAAAATTTTGACTGAATCTGACGGCATGACCAAATTGATGTTGAGATGCAACATAAAAGACCAATAATATCAGAAGAAAAAAAAACATAAGGAACCAATAATGTTATTAAAAAACATAAAAGGCCAAGGTGATGATTGGACAAACCCCATGCACCATTTGTGATTATAAAATTTAAAAAATAAAATAAAAATAAAAAACTCTTTTTAAAAAAGGGAGTTTCACTAAAACACCCAAAATGGGGGCTGAAATTATAAAAAAACCCAACACCCAAAACACTTTATAAACACACCAAAAACTCATCATTACACACACTTAAAACCCATGTATAAACACACCCAAAAAATATACAATTGTTTATTTTGGGGTTGATTTTGGGTGTGTTTCTATGTTTAAATAGTGCTTGGGTTTTTTTATAAATACATGTCTAGGATTGGGTTTATTTATAAATTTGTATTTTAAAAAATCGGTTTTAAAGTCAGAACAAAACGGATTACCCAATCAGGTTCACGTTTCATATTTTTTTTGCAAACCCTCGATCACCTGAACCGAACCGGTCCCTTAAACATGTGATATGTTGCAACAATTATGAAGCCAAGGTGATTCGATCCCTTCACCTCCAGGTTGTTTCTTTTCGTTATAGGATTCTCTGTCTCAGATCTGGAAAAATCTCGACGTTTCGCCATCTCGCAGAACACCGAACCAAACCACACCGAGGAATCGGCGCGCCGACCACATCGGTTTCAAGAGCTTCGGTCCGGCTGCAGTCTCAGAAATTGATAAACCGTGTGAGCCCAGGCCTAGTTCAAATGGCAGGTCCTTAACTGCCTCACTAATTTATTGTAATAAATCTCTTTGTGTGACTGAGATTGCACTAGACACATTCATTTTAGTACTTTTTGGTAATTAATAGCATGCAGATGCAGTCCTCAAATTCCAGGAGAGATTTGGATGCTAGGGTTTAGGGTGTGACTCGTGAGAGTTTACCTGATGACGTCATCTGAAATAAAATCTGGGGGCATTGGTTTCATTGCAAGACCTACATCCATCATCCTCCTCTTATTTCAAGCAAGGGGCTTCGTTGAGAGTAACTGGAAAGTAAGACTCGTGCCCTTTCAATGCTTTAGTGGTTTCATTCAATTGCATTATATAAAATATCCACAGTGTTTCTTCTTCAGTTACGAATATCCTCCCTGAATTTTATTTGGACCCCAAATTCTTACATTTTCATAGTTTTTAACTTGGAAGGTTTTCTTAACTATATTTGTAGATTGGCTGAGTAGGGTACAAGTAGTTTATAGTTTAGGCTGGCTTTGTTGGTCTTGGTGACAGTGTTGGTATCATAAACTGATGGAGACGAGTGGTAGAAAGAAAGATGAACTAGAGGTGGAATTGCTGATACAGACATTGGAGATGTGATAATTTCAGCATTTCGTTTCGGGTTCTGTCGCAGTATTTCTTGAAACGATTCTAGTCTAGTTTTGGTTCATTGTGAATATCATGTTCATGGTATAATAGTGTTGGAGTGGATGCAGAACTGGCCAAAAAGATCTTCTGGATCCAGTTGGTGGCATTGAGTCACATTGGTAGCATGATGTGGATGGAGTGATTGTAATGATTGGAAACAGGTTACTAATACAAAAAATAATTGGGAATAGGTCAACTGATTCAAATAATTGTGGATTGTCTTACACAAGAGGGCTGGATGATTACTTCATTGAATTTAATTGCATTTCTCATATTTATTCCCCAATATCATTAAGAAGCTTAGTCATTAGTATGTCTTGTTTCTTTCTCAGGTTACAAGAGTATTCTGTAGAGACAGCCATTGCCACAATTGTGTTGATGGAAGTGACAGCTTAAAAATCAACATCCAACACCTCAGGGAGCTTAGCTTTCGAGTCGGATCCATCTACCAGTTCATCGGCGAGCCGCTTATTCAACCCGATAATGAGGTAAGTGGCAAATTACATCCACCTGATGATTTTCAGTGCTGGGCTTCATCACAACACATGAATATTATGTTAATTATGTTAGAGCAATAAGCTCAATTGTTCTTGCTCTTTTTTCAGGCAGTCTTGCAGGCACGTGTGGGTAGGAATGTTGATGGCGTTGATCTCAATCTCTATTATCAGTCTCTCCAATTGTTGAGGCAATTTCAGGCTCATCATTTGAAGAACCCAGCAACTTAAATATTGTAATTTTAAAGCCAATTTAAAGACCAAATTACCCTCTTCATCCAACCCATCAAACAATGCAAATTGAAATCGTAATGGCAAAAAGCTCAAAGCCAATGGCCCAATGATGACTTCATAATTGTCAAAATTGGGCCTTGGGATATATATTTATTTGGCTTCATCTGTTTATTTAATTAATAATTTCTTTTTAATTAATTAGAAATTCGTTTTTAAATAAAATCATTATCTAAAATTCGAGTGTGTTAAACATTTAATGTAACTGTTGGATGAAGAGGCGTTAGACCTCTATATATTGACAATTCATCCAAACCAGAATACACAAATTTGAAACTGCATTATCATTCTCGCATATAAGCACTTATTTAGAGAAATCATACCATCATCTTCCATCCCCTATGTTTTAGTTGACCAACTCATGACTTCCCCATTCCAATTTCCAAATAATAGTAAATGCCACACGAGTGTTGATAATTGGTGGTGGCTGATCTCTCTCCTTCGCTCTTTGACCAATAATAAGGTTTCTCCGCCCCATACTTACATTTCCATGCATGCCAATGCCCCATTAACTTTCTATTTGTCTGGGTGCCCTGAAAATGATCTAGCAAGCTCCGAAGATGCCAGGCTCGTGCTCTTGCAGTTACCAAATTATTTGTACTTTTTACTACATGGATATATATTTATGTTTGTGCTTGTGGATCTTCCTCTCTGTAGTCAAATGGAGGTATTAATAGATTTGCAAAATAGAATGGACGAATGAGATATGCTACAAATCTGTGGCTCTAAACCAAGTCAAAGTCAAAGACTCAAAGATATGCTCGCCTCAGTTTTAAGTAACAAACAAGATTAATCTTATCAACCTCATCACTAGTTCAAGTTAATGAAGGTACGTGATGCATACGTGGATTTGTGAGAAATTAATTACGGCTCCAAAGGTGTAATTTATGAATGCAATCTCTTTACTGTTTGAACAAAAAATAAAAATAAAAAAAGCATGGGCGGCTTCCATACTTAATTAGTTAATTTATTATCGAAATCTAAAACATTTTTCTTGGATGGTATAATTAAGGAAGGATAAAAATATGGCCAATCTAATTAGTTAATTAACAATAAAATATGTTCCATTCAGTTGGATATGTTCAAGGTTTTCCCACCAACCAACTACTGTGTATCATCTTTATTATACTTAGCAAGAATTCTATAGTGAGGCCTTATATATGGCCTTTAGGTGAGCTTCTATCTCTTAATCGTTGGATCAAATTGGTTAGGGTGATCCAACAGTTAAAATATAGGACCTCACCTAAGGGCCATATATAAGAGTCTCACTTATACTTAGATATTCTACTTTGCAAGAGAAGGAAAACAAAACAAAAAAAGGTATATGCATAATGCTGCTGTGCGGGTTATATTCAATTAAGATTTTAATAAATTGTTTTAAAGCTTAAAAGTCTAGTGGTATCTAATTAGGATTTTTAAGTAATCAATAAAAATATGGTGGTATTCAATTAATATTTTAAAATAATAAATCCAAGTTTGGTAATATTCAATTAGGACTTTTAAAAGATAAGAAAAAGTACATTAGTGTTAAAAAAAAACTTATCGATTTTGAAGTATCTCATTAAATAGTGTATTGTGTGAGATTTTTGAGTGGGTGATATAAATATCAAACTCCATAAAAAATCCCACCCTCCTATGCCCGATTCTCATGTTTTTTGTTTTGTTTTGGGGGAAGATGAACAAATGAAGATAAACATAGTACTCATGTCTAATTACAACGGCTTGGTTTAACTAGACTCGATCCTTTTGTATTTAATGGATATACTCGGATGGCTTACCTTCATCTAAACAATAATTTTAGAGCTGTCTAGATTCAGATACATTATATTATGCAATATGCATGCATTTTTCTCAACAGCTTTTCGGCTCCTTTATTTCATTTTATTTATTTGTCTTTCTTTAGTCAATTTGTGGGATCAATCTAAGTGACAAGTTGGACCATTTTGACTTGTTTTCAGCTGTCCATTTTCATATTTGAATTAACTTGTCTGTTGTAATATTTATAAATTAAATTAATTTAAGATTTTTTCTTGGTGTAACTTGTTCCTATGTCAATTTTCAGTTCCAGACCAACTTCTTCGTCCAAAACTTAATAGCCACATGGTTTTAGTTTCATGACATTTATGTTTGAAGATGGCTAATCCGAATTCTATTCACATTTCGGCCAAATCTACTTTGAAGAATACAAAAAATATGTGAATTAAAATCATAAATAAAATCTTATAATTACAATATATTAAAATCTCAATTGAATACACCCTTAAGTTTATAGGTATAATTATCAAGCTTTTCAAAATAAAATAAGCACAAAGTTGTTGGTTTATTTTTTTTATTTTTTCGTATGTGTGGGGAAAAATGATTTTCGTTGGATTATGTAATTATCCACAATGCAAAAGTGCTTTTAATTAAAGTTAATTGTCTTGGATTCCGAGACGCTTCTAGGTTTCCAACTATGATTAAAACTTAAAAAGAGGATGGATCTTTATGCATATTTTATTCTACTTGATACTGATTAGATGCCATCCACTTGCACAAGTTGAATCCCTGTGTGAATGTCCCAAATGACTATGCCATGATAAAGACACACATTTGTTGTGGACTACACCGTCACGATCTTGTTGGGTGAATGATTTTATATTTTAAAATAATTCTCTGGATGATTCTTTGCTTGGTTCAAAAGAAACTTATCATTGTCTTGAGTGTTAAAAACATATTATTTCTGTTTTGATAATAAATGTTATGTGAGTGAGAAAATCTTTCTTTATATTTCTCACGTTACACCTCATGCGATAAAATATGTCAGTTGGTTTTGTGTCGGTGATTATAAGCCACTAATTTAGCATGAGCAGACTGCAGACATTCGAGGCTTCAATCATAGTCAAAATCACTTGTTTTCTTTTGGCACATTCCCATTGGCACAAATAGAAAGGTCTTTGTGATATGATAGACTAGTTACTTTTCCCACCTTGAAAGCATCCATTATTGTTTTATATTTCGGCTAATGGCTTTTGATCATCATCCCCTGTTTCCTGCCTCTGAAAACTTTAGCTTCGGCTGTTCATCAAGTCGGCACGACTGCTGCCCCTGGCCTTATCAGCCGCTTTTATCTCTTTTCGTCGCATATTTTTATGTCCTTGTTTTCTAAGGTGACGACTTTAATAATGACTAAATCAATAGATTCTGTTGACAACAATCAAGCTAATTAGGCAAAATTTGGTTTCAATTCTCAAGGTCTGCATCAGATATTCTTTATTTACTCGGTTAACGTTGTTCCCTTTAAAGTAATATTTTTTTAAATACATGTGATAGTTTAAACTATAGAGAGGAGGATTTCTCACACACACAATTATGATGCCGTGAGAATTCGAATATGAGACTTTTTCATTGGGCTAGACCCTTTGGCAAATCAATATTTATAAAAAAAAAAAAAAAAAAAAAAAAAAAAAAAAAAAACACACACAACAATAATAGTTATTTGAGAATTGGTAACGTAACAGTTTATTAACAAACTGGTACAGGAATAGCAAACTAACAAATTCTCAGGTCATATTATTTACTATAAATTTAGTTTCTACAAACATCAGATTGACATTTGATACCCACAATAGTAATTTAACTGAATTTTTAAAGAGACAATAAAAAACTTTAGCCACACCCATAATTACTTTAAGCAAACAACCTTTCCAGCTTAGTAAAGCTTAATTTCTTTAAGCTGTTGCAATTGGACCCAAACTGATATTGGTTTCCACTGCTTTCATGGCTTCAAATCTTGGCTCTTTGGGCTGGAACTTGAGGCCAGCATAGAGCTTCATGTAGTCTTCGAACACGAATTTCGGGTACACTTGATTCTTCTCCTCTGCTTCTTTCTCCACCAGTGTTGGTGCAGGGTAGATGACAGCATCACTGCCAGGGTTGTAGAAGGAAGCTATTGACATTCTGGTGCCATCAGTTTGGGCAATCACTCTGTGCTCCACGCTCTTGTACTTCCCGTTAGTGATCACCTATAGGGAAAATTTATATGTAAGTAAATTTAATATTAATTGGGCATGAAGTAACATTCATTCGGAATATTGGGTTACCTCAAGTTGGTCACCAAGGTTGATAACAATGGAGTGGCGCATGGGGGGCACATCAATCCATTGGCCATCCTTGAGGAGCTGCAGACCACTGACCTTGTCATCCTGGAAGAGCAGGATGAGGCCGCCGGCATCGGTGTGAGCCCGGAGACCCTTGATCAGCTCAGGGTTGGGACAAGGAGGGTAGTTGCTAACCTTGGTGCCAAAAGTTGGTCCATTTGTTCCATAGAAGGCCTTCTTGAGGTACCCTTGTTCAAGTCCAAGATTCTCACAGAGCAAGTCTAGGAGCTGCTCTGCTAATTTCTCCAACTTCAATGCAAATTCCTTCATCACATTCCTGCATATTTCATGTAAATTAATCTCTCTAAAGAACAAGCACCAGCTAGCTAGCTAGCATTATGTTCAAATTAATTATGTACAGAGAAATTTAAAAGTAGTTTGTAACTGGTTTTACCTGTACTGATCCTCAAGATCTGGAACTTCAGATATGTTAGATTTTGGAAGATGGCGCAAGTAGAAGGTGCTTTCCCAGTCCATATCATTGACCTCTGTCTTGACAGCCTCAAGGCCCTTGCTGGCCACCAGCTCCTTGAACCTCTGCTCCAAGCACTGCCTGTAGTGTTCTTTAGTCAACCTCTCCACTGTGTCCAAAAACTCAGTTGGTATCCCATGACTCACAAGCTGCAATATTTGTGAATCCAAACTCATCATATATAAGGTGAATTTTGATGAAGGTAAAAGATGAACAGAGCAAAGAAATGAAGAAGCTAAGCCTATATATAGCTTAGTATATAATTACCTCAAAGAAGCCCCAGTTCTCACAGGCATCTTTGATTTTTTCCATTGTTGCTTTCCTTCCCTCTCCATTGAGGCCCTCCAAGTTGATGATTGGGAAGTTCTCCATCTCTCTCTTTCTGTGTGTACGTTTCTTTCTCTCTCTCTCTCTCTGTATGTTTCTATCTCTCTCTCAACTAGTGTTGTTGATTTTGTTCTTGTGGATTAGAGTTTGGGGTGGGTGGGGTATTTATAGGAGTTTAAAGTGTACAGTGGACTTTGACAAGAATAAAAATAAATAAAATAAATGGTAGAAAGCAAGCAAATTACTGTAGGGTGGATGAGGACAGGTTTTCAGGCTAGGGAAATTTTTGGGTAAAGAAGTATTCTACAAGGAAAGTGTTAAAAAAATTCCAAAAATACCACAGAGGCTTTCTAGGGTGGCCCACCATCTCTCTGTGGTAGCAAATGAAAAAAGAAATGAAAAAGGAAAAATAAAAAGAAAAAGAGAAAACCTTTCTCTCCTCTGTTTGAGTCTTTGGTTGGTGATTTAGTTGGACCACCACCATCTTGGTGTCTTGGTCATGGTGGCTGGCTGATCGATCTCTTCTTTGTGCTTTGACCAATAATGAGGTTTGGCTACCCCACACTTCCATTTCCATGCATGCCACAATTCTCACATTTGGATTTCTCTTTGTTTGGATATGCCCTGAAAATGATCTATGAGGAAGTTGCCTACCTCTTTCTCTTTACCCTTCCCAAACTCTGCGTCTCTCCACCACCAAAATTCTTTTAAGTTTTTTAATACATGGATTTTATGTGTGTCAATACATGGATATTTTACCATTTTATCCTTTGTCCTCGATTGAAGAGAGTACAAATTATCACTGTTAGAGCATCCACAATGATGCTCTCTATTTCTTAGCTAAAATTTAGCTAAAAATATAAGAAAGCTATTTTAGGAGCTCTCTAAAAAATTTCAACTCCAACCATACTCCCTAATTTGGAGAGTCATAAATACTATAACTATTTTTTAATTGGTCAATCTCTATTAAAAAATAAAATAAAAAATAGTTAGCATTAAATAAAGGTTTGAAATACTCATTAAATAAATCATCATTAAACTATAGAGAGCCACTAGGAGTCCTTTCTCTCTCCTCATATTTAGGAGCTCCTAGAGGACTCCCTATTTTAGGAGGTGGATAGAGAGTATGGTTGGAGTTGCATTTTTACAATTCCTCCCTAAAATTTATCTAAGGAGATGGTTTAGGGAGCCCATTGTGGATGCTCTTAGATTTTGAGTTAAGTAAATGGACATGTGACATAAATGGAGAAAGAATATGGAGGGACACCAAATTTGGAAACAGCAGATCTCCTCCTAAGCAATTCAGATGTATATATATAGTTATAGATTAATCTTATATTATAGCCATAATTAACTAAGGTGCCAAACAACGTGGGCGGCTTCCCATTCTTGATTAAATTTAGCATCAAAATCTAATACATTTTCTTAGATTATATATATATATATATATATATATTTAAGACTAGCAATATGCCAATCTAATATCCTTGATTAACTATAAAATTCGATAAGGAATTTGCTTACTAAGTTAGATACGTTCAAGATTTTCCTGCTGACGAACTACATAGTCAATTATGTGAATTGTGTGTTGTGTGTTGATTAATTTTTTTTTTTTTTTATTTTTAATTCCATTTCATTCAACAGTAAAAGAGGATACACCAATTGCCAACGAATTAATTAACCATAAAGGGGGAGATCCCTCCCACTTACTCAGATCTTGGGTTTTGGACGCAAAGGCAGCAACTAAATCTGCCACCTTATTAGCTATTCTAGGAACAAAAGACAAGACCACCATCTGCATCTGCCGCATCAGGAATCTAATGTCATGCACAATACCTTCAACCCTAAATCTTTCGATTAATAACTTAGCTTCATTTGTCCCTTGAGAAAAGAAAAAAAACATTCGCTGATAGATTAATGTCGTCTATGCTGATTAGGCATTTCAATTTAATCTTAATTAATAAACTCTAACTTGCTTTTTAAGGACAAATCTTGCGGAGAAAACCACTAGATTTAGTCACATTATTTATCAATGGAATCTTGACGTCGAAAGCTTTTGGCTGATCAATAAGCTAATTAATTGAATTGATGAGTTTGATGCAAACACGAATCATAACACAAATAAATTAACAAACCCATTCATATATATATCTTTCCTTACTTTCCATTTGCTTTTCGTTTACGTATATATAGGTTAATAAGAAAGCAACATTATGATTTTGTAGAGAAGCATTGTTGCCATGTGCACTTCAAAGGTGTAGGGTTTATCTATAATATTAGTGCTAAGAATGGGTATATCACTAAATATCTCTAATAATTAACTCTCTTTTTAGGTCTGAAAATAATAATGAAATTCGTCCTCTACCAAGATTAAGAGCATAAGAGGTCTTGGGCACAAACAGGTAAGGCGATCGCGTAAAGCCCCAATTTGTATAATACCGTATATATACACACCTCTACCAAGATTAAGACAAGGGCATCTTTGTAAGTTCATTATTGTTTGGATAGAAACCAAACCACCCGAGAAAGGAGGAGGATATAATTTAAATTGGTCCATGATGTGGGGGACTACAATGCACTGACTAAGAAAAGCCAATAAAAAAGTATATTATCTACTCTTCATCTGTTTGGGTGTTATACTCAACAACAACAACAGAAGACTATATATCTTTTTATAACATGAAGAAGATGGGAAGGGATTGAGTGATCTCTATCTCCACGGGCATAAGATTCACCCATATCCCTTTGGCTTTGCATGCCTTGATGTGACCTTAGCCAATCCAATTCTCCCAATTTTTGCATTGTGTAACCCGGTAAATTTATATATAACCTTCTTCAACTCAGTCACTCATCCCATCAAAAGTTTAACTTTGAGAGGGTTCTCGAACTCTCAATGTATAATTCAGGCACTTTTGAGAAAGATGCCTATGTAGGTTATTACAAGCAAAGAGTCATTCTTTTCTACAGATAAATTACAGCATGACATATGTGCATACGCTTTTTCTATTGTAATTTACATAAGTTAATTTCGCATATGTGTTAGACTATAATTAAAAACCAAAAGTAACTTCTGAAACAAATTTTAAATAATTTCTTCTTCGTTCTTTCATCACCTGATGTGTCTCTTGTAACTTAGCAGGTAGTGGAAGACACAGTGATCCTTGTAAGGAAGCAGATGACCCTTTAAATTAGGCTCCTTTCACAATCCAATTCACCCATGACACCATCCATATATAACACAATATTTTAACAACTTTCATATAAAGTATTAAGTAAAGTATTAGTTTATGGGAAGCAAAGAAATCCTGCATGAACTAATGGTCGGTAAATGCCAAGGCACTGAATTGGAAAAAAGTAATGGGTTGAGTCAAACCCCATTTCGACACAACAAACCACTTATGGAAAGCACTGCACATGCCATGCATCATATAATTGCTTGCAAGCCCGTGATGATGATCAATTGATCACAAATGTGGCTCCTACCACTCCCACCACCACTACACTCTCTTTGTGAGTTTTTAGTGCAGAGGAAAGGTACCAAGTTCAAGATAAGAACATCTATTTGCAAGCAAGCTCCCAGTCCCCCCCAATTTGTGGAGCCAGATTTTTCAATTTATTGGGTTTCTTTTAATTCAAGCACAAAATTGCATAAAATAGTAGTGGGACAAATATCACGATTATAGGATATATGAGATATTAGGAGAAGGAATTCAAATATAGAACCTCGAATACGCACTGGTAATTACTTTTAGCCATTTGAAGAACAAACACGTTGCAAATTGAGAGCTATGTCCCTATATATGCCCCATATAAAGATTTACGTGTACAACTTTGGAATGAACCTTTTGGACCATTAGATCCCTTTAGTGGCTGCGATGTGAATGAACTTTCATGTCTATCCAGTAATTCCATAAATGTGGTAGAAAACTGCAAGTTGTCCACAGCCGACAGGAGACAACCGAATGGAGAAGTAAAGAACCAAACAAGGGGACTTTCGTAAATTGCCTAGAATTCTTGATATCTATGATCTATTCCCTTTCCTTCAATTTGTATTATCTGTTTCCTCTGCAAATTTCTGTTTTTGGACTTGTGGTGACAACGTTTGGAAATCGTCTTGTTTCTTCTTTCTTGGTTCAAATCTATGACTATTAACTAACGACTGTTGACCGGTAAATGTAGGGAAAAAACTGTGTCCCGGACCCGAAGGTCACGCCATGCCACACTCTCATCACCTTACAGTAAATTGCTGGCACTGTTGGCTTGACCCACCTAACCCATTCTCTATTCAATTTACTCACGTATGCTTCTCAGTTGTTTCTTCCCAACCTGCAATTACTTGACAAACTTGTCAATTACACATGTTTCTTAACCTAATTTAAACGTTGTTTGGTCCTTATATCAGTTTCGCATGTGGTATATGGTATGTATGTATGACTTTCTCACATGAGGCAAGACCTTGACCGCATTGTAAAATCCGTATAAAAACGAATTTGTGAAATGTGGTCGAAAGAAAAACAGTACAGCTCTATCGCATTTATTATCACTATAACGTGATAGCCAAGCCTGGGTAAAATTGTTACATTACATCAAGTCAGGAAAATTCATCGCTTGAGACGCTATCATATCAATTGAGAGAGAGAGAGAGAGAGAGAGAGAGAGAGAGAGAGAGAGAGAGAGTCAATGTGATATGTGTGGCACAGTGGCAGATCATTTTCAACCAGCACGTGAATTTTTTTAAACAATAATTTTGTATGTATTTGCACAAATATTTAGTCTTCTCTTCTGGGTGGCTAGTCAATTGCAAAAAAAAAGGAGGGGAGAAAAACGAATAAATTGATGGCTATGACTTTTGAATTTTGATCAACTAGGGCATTGGTTATGACTTCACCAAATCGTGATAAACGCTAAGTATATATTAATCACATGGTTAATTGAACCCTAATAATCACCCACAGAAGAAGGCAAACGAAAAGATTTCCTTGAATTGAAGGATGGTATATTCAATTGAGATTTTAATGAATTATTTTGAAGCTTTATAGCGGTATTCAATTAGGATTTTTAAGTAATCAACAAAAGTCTGATAGTATTCAATTAGGATTTTTAAATAATCAATACAAGTCCGGTGGTATTCAATTAGGACTTTTAAAATATAAGAAAAAAACCTACTGATTTTAATGTATTTCATTAAATGGTGTATTGTGTGAGACTTTTGAGTATGTGATATATATACCAAATCACATAACAAATCGCACCCTTCTATGCATGATTCTCATATTGAAAACTAGGGCATTGGTTATGACTTCACCAAATCATGATAAACGCTAAGTATATATTAATCACATGGTTAATTGAACCCTAATCATCACCCACAGAAGAAGGCAAACGAAAAGATTTCCTTGAATTGAAGGAGGGTGTATTCAATTGAGATTTTAATAAATTATTTTGAAGCTTAAAAGTACAGTGGTATTCAATTAGGATTTTTAAGTAATCAACAAAAGTCTGGTAGTATTCAATTATGATTTTTAAATAATCAATACAAGTCCGGTGGTATTCAATTAGGACTTTTAAAATATAAGAAAAAAACTTACTGATTTTAATGTATTTCATTAAATGGTGTATTATGTGAGACTTTTGAGTATGCGATATACACACCAAATCACATAACAAATCACACCCTCCTATGCATGATTCTCATATTGAAAACTAGGGCATGGGTTATGACTTCACCAAATCATGATAAACGCTAAGTATATATTAATCACATGGTTAATTGAACCCTAATCATCCCCCATAGAAGAAGGCAAACGAAAAGATTTTCTTGAATTGAAAATGATATTGAAAACTGAGGCACGCATGCATTATTCATAGCTATCAGGAATAAAGAAGCTGGTCCATCTTACAAAGACAGAGAGACTGGAAATCTGTAGATCTATCTCGTCGCGTGGTGTGAATTGGTGAAGATCCTCCTTCCAAAGCCTCCAAGGCATAACGTATTTGGCCAATTACAATTAGGTCCTCCAATTCCAAATTGTATTCCTGTACTTCACAAACATACAAAACAAACATCCAAAATCTTGGGGCCATCCTGGCAACTTCAACTGATTCCATAAATATTTGAATTGATATCACCACAAGAGAGTCAAAGCAAATGACTTGACTGTTTCGGTCATCATCTTGGGTTTATTTTATGGGGACAAAATAGGGTTCAACAAGGGGTGGGGGGACCAAACAGCTGCCTTGTACCGAAGAAACACTTGGATTTTGGAATTGGACTCGAAAGTTTATTCAAAATTTGCGTTGCGTTTGATCTATAATAATCTTCATGAATTTTCTTCGAAGAGTTAAAATCAAAGATATGACTGGTAAAACGGTCACGTTTTGCGCACTACGTTTGATTTTTTTTATTTTTATTTTTGGGTCACGATTTAAAATAAGGAATTATTTATTTATTTATATTTTTGGAGAAAACAAATTACTCAATAAATTTTATTTTATTTTTTCTAGACCAAGTGTAAAATAGCAACATGTTGATGGGAGGCCCATTCACAAAGGAACTAAAGTGAACTAGTCTGTGCTAGCAGCTACCCAAACCTTACTGGGCTCACAAGAGCTTGGGTTTTGTTGCATTTAAATACAAAAATGGGGAAGAATAAAAAAGGCCTAAAACCAACATGTGTGTCATAAAACACATTCGAGCAGTAACATTATTTTGCTCCATCTATTCTTTGCTTTTGAGTTTTTGTTGGGTAAAATATTAGTGGGGAAAGAAGCAAAACGCTTCCCATCAAACATATGAGAATGCTGGTTAGTATACTCTCACTTCATGCTATGCTACATATCTCCAAATATCGAAATGTTTCTGTGGGTCTTCGAATCAAATCTTAACCAAGGGTTGCCCCATACATATCCTGCACAAGAAGAAAACTTACAGTTAGGGTTTTGATGGCATGCTGAACGAATCACTTAGTTTTATATTTGAATGTAAAGAGGAGATGAACCACCATTTCTTATCAGACTGATACAGAAATTATTATGCACTATGAGAAGGAAGTTCTTACTAGGCACAAAAACAATTCCTCGAAATCAGCTTTCGAATATTTTACCGATGTCTGCACTCTGTAAAAGCTTGAAAGGAAAACAAAGAGTGTCAATATGTTGTAACAAGGGCATTTGGAGAACATAAACGCCCAGTCAAAGAAGTATATTACAACTACACTGGGCTGTAGCAGGAAAATGCAAGGGATTATTGAATGCAGTAAACTATGCTTAACGTTAAGGATGTTAAACAAGTTGTGCTGCCTGTGGGCATGTGTGATTATGTTGCCTCCCAAGTAAACAGAGAGCATGAATCATATGGACAAGATGAACAATGAACACATTAAATCACTATTATCAGAAATCTCTTACATATTTATGTGAACCTGAAGCATGGGCTTCACTCGCAAAAAAAAATGCACTTCCCAAGAGATACCTGAAATAGCCAAATCACATAATTCCGTTAGGCTCACAGAGTCACAGGTAAATTTGAATAAACATCACTTTTACTTTTTAGACAGTTTACCTCTTTAATCTCTACTTATAGCCTACTTCTAGCATCAAATGACGATAGCTACGGCCAAGCATAATACGCTGCCATAGATATTGGAGCAACTTCGGGGAACTCATCTGCATCCTTTCTTGGACAAGCCTGGAGTCAAAAAACTATAAGCGACCAGCTAGAGCTTCATGATCATTTACTAGTACCTTCAATCCAAGAAAGCTAGCTTACCATCTTACAATGCATCGCTGAATTCCCCTAGATATGGGGCGAATGATGGATGGATCCCGTTGAGCATAGAGCAAACCAACCTGGGAAGTGATAAGAAAGAAATCATGAGCTATTGCAATGCATATCTATTTGCAAATGAATGAATGAAATAAGGAGACATCCAACTACCTCCAGCAATGCAACAGTAGAAGGATCATCCAAGAGCTCAAGGCTACAGTCAGCTAGATAATTAACCTGAACCCAAGTACATAGGGATACAGAAATCACAAACTACACAAGGGACAAAGTCTAATAACAGAGTTTCTGTTTCTATCACAAAAGAAGAGAGAAATAGTGGGGGAGACTAATAATATAGACCAGCTATTTATGAGTCAGCATTACTATTGTTATCAACATTGTACATTTATAAATAAATCATATAGATCTGAGAAATTAAGTCTAAGTCATATAAAATATTAAAAACTTAGTGAAGCTAGTCCATAACAAATGATTATCACAGATTTCTTTCAGCTAATTGTCCCAAGTGCACAACTAGCATTCTAGCAAGACAGAAACAAAACAGAAAACCAGAGACTACGTACTCCAAATTCTGTATTGACTAGGGACTGCACAAAATCCATCAGCTGAACCTTTGCCCATTGACGGCACAAGGCAGGATCATCTGTTGGTGGAGGATGTCTCCAAGGTGCACCAAAGCGTAGTCTGTCTTTTGAAATTTTTCCACTGTGTGCATCAACAGCAAACTTTTGTAGAAGCCCCAGTGCTTTCTCCATGGCAGGATTCACTACAGTAATCTAAATGAATAGACTTGAAGAGCAAGTAAGGCAGCGCAAAGTGCACAAAGAATCAGAAAATAAAGAAAGTGAAAATTATTTACTTTATTATAGCATGAGTAGGCATAACCATGGTTGTTCACAGGACAAGTTAGTCTGTAAGCCTAATGTATATCCAATGAACTGAGCATAAATCTCAATGTGGTGAATTTGCAAGCCATACATCACGTGAGATTACAATACATTTATCAAAGAACCAAATTGCAAATAGAACACTAAGGGTTCACAAAATAATAAGAATAAATGAGTAAGACGCACACTTCATGCTCCCCAAAGAAACTTACTTGCAAATATGCTAAATATGCATCCACGATGTCCTCAAATGTGCTATCTTTGTTGTCCTCTAACCTTCAGATGAACAAAAAGAGTAGTAATGTATATTAAAACTATGCAGCACCTATATATGAAATACACCATGTAGCATTAAGCATGGAAGAATGAGGCACAGATTGACTGCTTGAGAAGAAACAAAAAACAAAATTTGAAAAAGAAAAAGATTGCATTTTCCATTGCACTTTTGTTATTTGTCACAAAATAATATTCCTCGATTTTAACAGTGATTGATGACTATGCATGTCAAGATGCTACAGGAATCCGCATACAACACAGTTGAAGGAATAACTAAGATGTGATGCACATTTCATACGTGTTAGAAAAACACATGGCTTTACACTCTACGTCATAAAAGTAAGAAAAAGGGATAAACAGAGTTCAGCTTCTAGTTCATGTAGCATGTATCAATATAATGTGGAACGGTAAAAACAAAAAAGGAAGAAAACAAAAGCAAAAAGAGATATCATCCTTACTGCTGATAGTAATTGCCCTGCTTGAGTGCATATAGCTCAAATAAGTGTCTAGGGTTTGGACCAAACACCTCAGCAATAACCAACCACTGTAGTTGACAAAAAGAAAATGCTAAAATCACTATAAAGTCCAGTATTTCAGGAAACAAAGAAAAAAAGAAGTACAAGAAAATGGAGATTCATCAAGAAATCTAATGGACCTACTTTTCAGAATAAATATGAAAACCAATAAATATAAATCTTGTTTTTTTCTTTTTTTTCTTTTGGGTTAGAGAAGCTCATTACCTCTGATTGACTGAAATAATCATTAACCATATGCAATTTAGCTTCTTGGGGATTCCAGCCAAAGGTCTGCAGAACAAACAAAGTTTAAATGCATGATATCCACAAGCATCACCACAATATCCACAACATGAGCACGACATGCTTAAAACAGGCCCGGAATGACGTGGCAGTCTTGTGTGCCTGGCAGGGCACAATGTGAAGCAAAAAAATTATTTTTTTTTTTTAAAACGCAAATCTAGTAGACCAAGTCCTAAAATATTTAAAATTGACCCCGATGCAAGTCATGTCACAAATGTGTTAGTGTTTAAGCTATTAATATGTGCATAGCAGAAAAGAATAACTAGTGTTTGTTCCTTTTAGACAATAAAGTAAAAACATATGCACACACAAGTAATGTCATCCCGTGTATACACAGATCATAATGTAATATAACTTCAGAGTTTCAGTTTGAGTACCTCACGAGAGATGAATATGTCTGGAAATCCAAAATCCATGTAAGCCCGGTATGAATAGTAACTGCGGCATAGGAGCAGGAATTACAATTCAGAAACAAACCAGAAACATAGGCAATTGCAAAAGTTTAAAAGGTGAATAAGTGATGTGAAGTTAAAGAAACACACACACACACACACAAACAATAGGAATGAGCCCCACCTATCCGATGTCACAAGAACAACAGGAATGCACCTCTCGTTTGCACCTAAAGCTATTATTCTCCATATCAGACTGTCATGATACATTGATCCACAGACTGACGAATTCTCATCTAACAAAATTGCATCCCGTAAAACTTCGATATTGTTTATAACCAGCTTAGGCTGCTCAATATGTGAAACGTCAGTCAATTTGAGTTTCATAAAAGCACCAAACACTAATCAAAACCACACAAATCTACGCACCAAGAAACTTTTTTTTTCTCAAGCAAATTTTAACCATGACTGGATAAAACTTAAACCACAACAACTCCAATATAAAAAATTTGAACTTCATTACCTGGAAATGATCAATTTCAGCAGCTTGAGATAACAACTCCAACAACAAACAGGGCCAATCAGTGCACGAATTTGCTAAAAACCTCGAAAACCCACCTGTCCGATTTAAATGTGCAATTGCATTAGCCCTCCAACTTTGTTGGACCTTAATCACCTCCTTTGCCAATCTCAATGCCACTACAGCTTCCCTATAATACGAAGCCTCTTCCAATGGCAAACTCTTCCGCTTCTCACGCAAACCCAAAATCCCATCAATCTCTTCGGCATTACATCGAGCACTTAGAGCGAAAACGGCCCGATCCCACAAAACAGAACCCGAAACTCTATCAGAAACCGCATTCTTGGACGCACTATTGCCCTCAATAACGCGGCGGAGCGCCGTGTTAATACCGTGCCATTTGTTGAGAGTAGAGAAAATTTGATGGGAGCTAATGGAACCAAGCAGGACGCCCTTGTGAGTCATGGATTCGAGGCAGCTCTCAAGCTTGGTTCTGCAATCGGACAAAGTGGGTGGTGGGCAATTGGACCAAGAAGCCCAAGGAAACGACTGATTGAATTGTGGGTGGTGGTCTTTGATGGACTCGGCGAAGTCTACGTAGCCAGTGAGGTGAGGGCCTTTGTTCCAGTCGTTGAGCAGACCTGGAGAGACTCAGTGTGTTAGAAGAGAGAGAAAGTAGAGACGAAATATTGCAGAGAAATGAAAGTGGGTCATTACGTTCGAGGATGAGAGTGGTTTTTCCGACGCCTCTGGGGCCGTGGAGGATCAGAGGCTGAGGAACACGGTGGTGCTGAGCGTGGTTGTTTAGCACTGTTTCTATCAACGGCCTTGGTATGATCCTCCATGGTTTGTTCACCATTTTTGTACTTTCTTTCTGAGATTTGTTGTGCTCTTCCAATGCTCACTGACTGTGTGTTGTTTGTGGAAGAAGAAGAGAGGGGGGTATTAGGAGGGTTTTAGTTAGAGACTAACGAGAGCGGCCTCCGCGAGCTACCTCTCAAGAATTTAAGCTGAAGAAAAGTTATTTATTTGTTAGCAAATATTTACTTGTGGTTGTCCTTTTTTTAATTTTAAAGTTTACTGCAAAATGGAAATGGCATGCCACTAAAGTAATTGAGAAATTGCCAGTATGTATATGTTACACGCTATATCACTAGGTAATAAATAAATCTTTACTACTTTGCCATCATTACCGTGTAATGAGTTCAAATCGCATAAACGACAATAAATCTTTACTACTTTGCCATCATTGCCGTGTAATGAGTTCAAATCGCAGAAACGACAATGGTTCAATAAAACAAAGAAAATTTGCATTTCGCCATGTCCAAAACTTAGGGACCTCAGATTACTCGTAGTTAAAACTTATGGCCCATAACCTTCTCCCAATGTTATTGGGCCTATAGCCAATGAGGTTGCAGGTTGTAGGCCACAGACACACTCGGAAAGCCCATTAAGGAGGAGAAATTCTTCTGCTCTGTGCCAATCGATCCGTTTCGCACGTTTTACAAAGGAAAAGGGGAAATTTTGACTTGGACCGTGCTAATCGGGGTTTGAATGCACTATAATACAACCACCCTAATTTAAGTCAAAATTGTAGAATACTCCAATTAATCAATTAATCAATCAATCAATCAATTTGTGGGGGAAAAGTAACCATCAATCACAAATAAACTAAACTAAATGTTCATTTATTGACAATGATTTGTAATTTTTTACATGTTTATTTATTTGAAATGGAGAAATGATTAAAAAATAAAATAATAAAAAAGGGGAAAATATTTCCCTCATTACCAAGTAAGTAAGAGTTCTTACATTTCTACTAATAGTAATGTGACATGTATACTTAAGTTTTATTTTTGTGTTTTTGATGAATCATTTTTGCATATGAATTATTTTTGCATATATGCAAAATTGTGATTTGCATGAAGGAATAGTATCTTCTTACTAATAAGAAGGCAAGTAATATCCATCAAAAAAATAATCAATATGGTAGATAATGAATGAGTATGATATTTCCAAAATTTATTATGATTTGTACGGTGACTGGTAACACCCTTCGATGCCTAAGTCAGTTTTTTTCCCAACAAATGAGGCTTATAAAAGTATTGTACTCAACAATGAAGAACGTTCATATGGAAAGTACTCCCTTATATATAGAGAAGATGGAACCTCTCAATTGTCTTTTTCTATGTGGGACTCGAGAGAGGTTGATGACGTGCACCGTTCTATTGGACGAATATTGATTAACTGACGTGTGTCCTTTCCTTTTTGGGGAACAACATGCGTTAATGGGATATGATGAGGGTCCATTCTGGCCGTTCTTTTCCCCATATACAGGCCTTTGGGGAGAGGTGCATGGGTTAGTGAGTTGGGTCATGGCCTCGTGGGCTTTGGTGGCCTCCTTTTACCTCATTTGGGTCTCCTTAGGTACGAGGTAAGGTTGGTGTAGTCTATTAGTCACTCGAGCCCATTTACTTTCTCAAGTGATATGAGCCTTTGCTCTTTTGGACGGTCCCTACTGATTTTGGTATCAACATGATTCATGGTTTTCCATGTATTGATTACATATGGTAATGTGAAACACAAATACGTTTAGTTGCAAATGTGCTAGTAAACGCATAAAAAGTTAGAAATCATAATAATTCTAATACTCATGTGTTAGTAAACAAAAGGAATTAAATGAATTACAATAATTCTAAGACCCATTCTAGACAAGTAAGCACGACATTTTTGTATCATACAAATTATTTTTCCTAAGTTAAACGAATATAAAATTTGATTAAAAATTGAGGCTTAATTCTTGTATTGCTTCCTGAAATTATAGGCAATTTAGACATTGTTCTTTGAAAATTCTAATGACATGGACATCTTACTTTCACCCCACTTGAGTAAGAGAGTAATGTGTATCATTGTAAGCTAAAGTTAATATAGAAGTAGGATGGTGTATTCAATTTAGATTTTAAATGATTTTAAAAGAGATAAAGTTGATGGAGTTTAATTGAATTTAATTGAGTTTGACTGAATTCTACAAACTCCACATAGATTTTGATTGAAAATCGTGTATAGATTTTAACTGAGTTTGTTAGAAATTTATTATTAATTTTAATGGAGTTTATAGCGATTGCGGTGGTGGTGGTTTGTGGGGAAGGTAGTAGGGGTGGCAGTGGCGATGGCACTAATGGTGATGATTAGGGGTGAGCATCTAAAACCGAAAATCGTATACTAATCATACCGAACTATACCGATTACATACCGTTTCATTTGGGATAGGGAGATAATCGATACCATATCGTACCGTACCAATAGAGTATGGCATAATAGCGGTATCAAATATTTGGTACCGGTCAATATCGTACTGTACTGAAATATAAACATGTTCAAATAGAAAACATATAGTTGTTGTGATGAACTGTGAAGGAAGGAAGGAGATTTTCCAAAGTCTCGTTTTGCAAATTTGTACAGATAAAAAAGAAGAATTTCTTGAGGCTGCTGGGGATTTGGGTAGCTGTTGTTTACTTTCTTTGATCAATGTATGAATTGTAATTTTCTTTTTGCATCTTCTATCAAATTTTATTTGATCAACGGCGATGACTGTTGTGGCGGTGGTGACGGCGACGACTATGGTGATAGTCATGATAAGATGGTGGTGGTAGAAGTGGAGAAATATCATATTTTGAGAATAAAAATAATGTATTTATCAAAATCTATAGGGGAAACAAAGATTTGTCATGCCTAAAATTAGTCTATTATAAAATGAAATCCATCACTTTTTGTATTTCCTTTAAAATCAATGAAGTTTATAATACACTCAAACTTTTATGAAGTCTTTTAAAGTCGTGATTGAATACATCAAAATTTGGATGGAGTTTAAACAATCTGACTTAAATACACCTAAAATTAAATAAACTTATATAAAATCGTGATTGAATACACCTAAACCTAAACTTCTTTAAAATCTTCTAAAATCTTTTACAATGGGTTTTTTCATATTTGCATGAGGAGTTTACCAAAAGAGAAAGAAAAAACAAAACCTTCGCGTAGACGTTAACGAATTAGTTATACTCAAGTCGTGGGGAAGTTGGAACGGAGTGGAAGACGAAGACACGAAGTCAACAATTGTCGTAAATTACGCGAGTATCAATTAACATATTTTTCTTTTATATGAATATTCTGGCGGGGTTAACAAAAATAAACAAAGGTATATAATAATCAAAGAGAGATTGCAGACTGGAGCCGGACGAGGTGGGCCATATACCTACTGGCCCACATTTGGGCCAGGCCCATTACTTCAGGTAGTTAAGCTCTGGTCTAGTCTCCGCCTAACAGTGAAAGAAAAAAACTGCCACACGATTCTTTTTCATTTTCTCTCTCTCACTCGCTGTCTCTCACTTCATTGTTTGCCATTGTTGCTCTTCCCCACACCTCGCTTCTCTCTCTCGATTGCTTCGCTCGACTTCACTTTTCTGCAGCTTCCTCCTCCTCCTCCTCCATTTTCTTTTACTTCCAAAGCAACCAAACCCAAAAACCCACTTCCCTTTCGCTCTCTCTCTCTCTCTCTCTCTCTCTCTCTCTCTCTCATGTATTGTTCATCGCTAACTGAGACAGACCCAAGCCCGACCCGGTCCTAACCCGGACCCGCCAATCGCAAATGCATCGCGCCACCGCCGCCCCAAATCCACTCCAAACCCTCCTCGACCTCATCAACTCCACCCTCTCCCTCCTCCTCCGCTCCTCCCTCACCGTCCGATCCTTCGTCGGACGGTGGACCGCCCTCCACACCAAGCTCACTTCCCTCCACTCCTCCATCGCCGACATCTCCGATTCTCCCCACTGGGCCCAGAACCCTCTTCTCCACACCCTCCTCCCCAACCTCCTCTCCACTCTCCAGCGCCTCACCGCCCTCGCCGACCAATGTACGGACACCGGGTTCACCGGCGGGAAGCTCCACATGCAGAGCGACCTCGACATGGCCTCGTCCTCGCTCTCCAACCAGCTCCGCGACCTCGACTTGTTGCTCAGATCTGGAGTGCTCCACCAGTCGAACGCCATCGTTTTGTCCCACCCGGGTCCCGGGTCGGATAAAGAGGATTTGGGTTTTTTTGTCCGGGACCTCTTCACCCGATTACAAATCGGAGGCGTCGAGTTTAAGAAAAAAGCTCTGGAGTCTCTGCTTCAGCTTCTCAACGACGACTGCAAGTCCTCCGGTGTCGTCGCCAAAGAAGGTAATGTCGCGTATTTGATTCATTTGCTCGATTTCCACAACCAGCCTTTTGTGCGAGAACAGGCTGTCTTCGCCGTTTGTCTCCTAGCCTCAGCCAACGACGAGTCGTCGCGCAAGGCCGTGTTCGAAGAAGGGGGTTTGGGGCCGTTGCTCAGAATACTCGAATCCGGGTCGACCCATTTGAAAGAGAAGGCGGCGATGGCCGTCGAGGCGCTGACGGCCGATCCAGAAAATGCCTGGGCCCTTTCGGCCTACGGTGGCGTCTCGGTGTTGATCGAAGCATGCCGATCTGGGTCTCCGGCGACTCAGACCCACGCGGCTGGCGCCATTATAAACGTGGCCAATGTGGAAGAGATCAAGACGGCTTTGGGAGAAGAAGGGGCTGTGCCAGTACTGGTCCAGTTATTGCTTTCAGGCTCCATTACTGCCCAAGAAAAATCAGCAAATTTTTTAGCGATTTTAGCCTCTTCCGATGAGTATTTTCGAGCTTTGATCATTCAAGAACGTGGGTTGCAGAGATTAATGCATTTGATCCAAGATTTACCGAGCTCGGACACATTGGAACACGTCCTCCGAGCCATAACCTCGCTTTCAGCTTCAGATTCATGCTTTAAAGTCCTGTCTTCTTCAACCCTTTTCCTAATCCAGCTCGGTGAGTTCATAAAGCACGGTAACACAACCCTACAGCAAATCTCAGCTTCGTTACTCGCTCACTTATCGATCAATGTGAGTGACGGCAATAAGCGAGCATTGGGTAGCTGTATGGGGTCGTTGGTGAAGCTCATGGAGTCGCCAAAACCGGTGGGTCTTCAAGAATCGGCGGCCCAAGTGCTTGTGTCGCTGCTTACGGTCCGGTCGAACAGGAAAGAGCTGGTGAGGGACGAGAAGAGCGTGATGAGGCTGGTCCAGATGTTGGATCCCAAGAATCACGAGATGGTTTGCAGCAAGTTCCCGGTGGCGGTGGTTGCGGCGGTACTCTCCGGAGGGAGCGGTGGCTGCCGGAAAAGGCTGGTGGCAGCCGGGGCTTACCCGCATCTGCAGAGGCTGGCGGAAATAGAGGTCGTGGGAGCTAAGAAAGCACTGCAGAGACTCGCCGGAAACAGGCTCAAGACCATCTTCTCCAGAACTTGGAGGGAATAATAGTAGTAATTAACCAAGAAAGAAAATACCCGCCAAAGAAAGGTTAGTTTCGGAATTTTAATTTTGTGAAAAATGTTTGCCTTGAGAGCTTTATGACTTTGACTCTGACGTGTCATTGGGTTTATCCATTGAGAGGGTGGCATGTGTACATGGCAGCCTGGATGTGTCTTGGAAAGTAGCCACCCGTACGTCCACTAGAGTGTCAAATGACAAATCTGCCTATCTTTATTTATAATCTTATTTTTGGTAAATTAAAAACAACCCCGTTGTTAACTGAATCCTAAAATTGAGAAGATTGTTGTTACGAGTGTAGAGAGTTGTGCCTCGGCCGCAGAGGGTGGCGGGGCCCAATAGCTTCTTACTGCTGACTTGTTGAGTCAGTCACAGCACAGGAATCCTTATTAATATTAAAAAAACGGAGGCATGAATGAAGGAGGCGTATCTTTACCCTGAGAGATGGGCTAGAACTAGAAGCTAACGGTGATAGATTTTTACTGTTTGACTCGTGAGGGTTGGCGTAGTGAATGTGGCAGTGTTAGTTAGGCAGGCGGGCCATGGACTTTTAGTGACACATGGCAAAAGTCGTGGCAAAATGTTTGGATTTTTGCTTTTGCACTTTTTCTTGGGTCTAAGATTGTGGCTGACATCAAATTTCAATTGGTTTGTTTGTTGGTTTGTTAATATTCGACAGGAGGAGGGAGGAAGGAGGTTCGTTTGGATTTTCTAACCGTCCAGGAAGGAAAGAGCTTGGACAAGGCAACAAAAATACACACATCGTATACCCAACCCAACCTTTTGTTTTTTAATTTTTAATTACTTAATTATTAATATTATTTAATTATGTTATATAATCCTAATATCATAGTGTATCGGTAAAGAAAGAAAAAAAGAGAAGCATGGATGCGGTTTTTAGGGAGTATCCTCGATTTGCTTTATCCTTTTTTTAATTTTTAATCTTATTACTTGGTTCACTCGTGAAAGCTGTAAGAGTGAGAGAGAGAGAGAGAGGGTTGATTTCAATTTTCATGATGATGTTTGTCAATTTTTTTTGGGTACTCTTTTTTCATTACCACCCACTTGTTTATGTTGTTTGATCAATCTTATTATGTACACTGTCCCTTCCTACCAGAGAAGCCTTTGCTCTATTCTTTATTTGTAATGGACAAGGGTTTAGTGCAACTGTTTTTGAATGCCGATGTTATGATGATGATGATGATGATGATGATGATGATGATGCATGTGGAAGTGTAGCCAATAGCATTTGATCCAAACCTCAAAAAGCATTAGCAGAATTAGATTTTGCTGTATATCTATCTTTTTGAGCAGGTTAATGGGAAGGAATCAAAGGAAAAGGGCAGTGAACAATGATGATAATCTTTAGTTTCTCAGTCGGCTTGGATGGGTCTATCTCTTTCAAACAGATTTGGTGTTTGTTGTCTGGTGGTGACAGTTGGTGGGTCCTCTCATCTCATCTCTCATGCTTGTTTTTGCAATTAGCATGCATCATAAAGCCCACTCATCTCATCTCCACTTGCACCAGCTGCTACCAAAGCTTTTTAGGCTTGAGGCTTGAACACTTGAGCTTCACATTCACAATCAAAATAATTTTTTAAATAAATTTTGGGGCATATCATGCACAAATGACTCTAAATTATTATAAATTAATCCAATTTTCGGGAAGGGAGGGTCGGGACTATTCAGAACTTGTGCAAAGGGTGCGGATTCACTATCCCGACCTATAGGAAAAAAAACATTTTTATCGGGTAGTCATTTGGGTCCTTTAGATTTTGAGAATCTGGGAAAGGTAAAAGGTAAAACAGGAGACTATAGATAAGAGAGAAGAAGTACAACTTGTCACACTTCTCAGCAAATGGTTGCACTGCATTTGCATTGGACGGTCCAAAGCTAATTAAGAGCATATGTAATGTATTATCATTCTGTTAAATATCTAATCAATTAATATGAATAATAATAATATGATGGGATATGTGTCATGTGTGGTCCATTTCTCTTACACGGGTTCACATGCTGTTGCTTCCCTTTGCCTCCCCCCTCCCAACCCCACCTATCAAATTTGCATTTGCATTTGCATCTGATACTCCCCCAACAAAACTTTGTCACCTTTTTTTGTGTTTTTGTTTGCAGGCTCATACCCATTATATTTTCCCGTGATATCACTCTCTCTCTCTCTCTCTCTCTCTCTCTCTCTCTTCAGAAACTTAGCTGTAAAGCCTTTACACCTCTTTCTCTATATGTCTGTCACTTTGTGCTTCTTTTGCTTTTCTTTTCTACCATTTCCCGCCAACATTGCACGGTTAAAACGACAGTCCGTTAACTTAACCGACCGTGCCTTCATTCAACAGTTAGTTAAATGTCCCATCCCTGACTGATCCCTCCGATTCTTTTTTTGATGGATTATTCTTTTCTTCTATATCTTTGTCCTTGTACTCTTGAAATAGAATCGAATGTGAGAGATACAATATATAAAATGAGTGGTTCACTACTAATAGTATCGAGATCTTTTGTGATAAAATCTTATATATATTGGGCTTTGTATGTGGTTAAATTGAGGACTATATCAATGTTACCAGTAATAGGACGCTGATCAATCTCTCTGAAATTTAACAGATTTTTGGTAAATATAAGAGAGTGAAATATAGCCCTGATTCTTTATGTTACCCAACAATGCATGGAATACGGTGGATCATGCACTTTGAATCTCAGATGCGATTATATTGCAAGTAATGATGAGGATCAGCTTTTGACTTAAAAAATAAAAGACATAAACGTAGTTAATTAGTCTAAGATCCTTAATAATGTATATTTTCAGTCAAACGTACAACACTTTTTTCAGTTAGTAAGTTGTTCCGTTAGTTGATTTTGTTAAGTTTCACACCTAAAACTTGAAAAAGCCACTCCATCAATGCATTGCTGCAAGAGAATAATGCTTCTTGTTCCCTTATAGGCTAACTCCTTCTGCATTGGTGCATAATGCATTACCCTACTCAAAATTTGGTATGTATGGTATGAGCCTTTCTTTGATGGACAATGAATAAAATATCAGCATCATATGAGCAAACAAAATAATAGGGCCCAATTCGTTGGGCTTCTTGGAGGTGCTTATGCTTTTCAGAAGCAGATGCAAGAGGCCCCTTATGTCTCACTTTGCAATTATATATAGGTTTTCTATGGTAATGAGGTATTTTTGGTTACATTGAGAGGAAAGAAATCCGGGTTTCGATCCTGGGTGCCAAGCAGGGGCAAGGGAGGGCCACCACTATTGGTAACCCAGCTCGACTTCTTATTCTATGTTAAGGATATTTTATCTTAAAATACGAATATCCTTAACATAGAAAAACTCTCTATGAATATATAGCTTTTCTGATCTCGTGATAATTAATCATTGGATTTTCATCCACCGGATCATACCATGTTTCACTGTTGGTGCATAAACTCACTACTGTCATTCCAACTTTGCTTAGAGAGAGAAGGATTTTTAATTACAAGACCATTACATTTGATCTTTAAAAACCCCAACATCTAGTTAATGCACAACAAATCAACTCATATGCTTTGCAATAATCTTGTTTTGCTGTTCCAACCAGAGTCTCTGTTGATGCAAGAGGCTTTCTTGATTCACTAATCCATTACACATAGGTTCACTAGGAGTTGTCACCTTAGAGAAGAACGTCGCAAACGGGTCGTTGTTTTCTACGTTAGGGAATGCTCCTCTTGTCTTCATTGCACTTCTTGCAAAGAAAGTCGGTGCAGCAGTGAACTCGTTAGGCTCATCTGCCTGAAAGGTTGGCGCCATGGCCGTGTCACTACGATTATGTGCACCAAATGTTGGCGCCATGGCCGTATCACTACGATTATGTACACCATATGTCGGCACCACGCTCTCATTATCGTGAGCCACCGCGGTAAAGGTTGGCGCCATGGTCGTGTCATTGCGATTCTGTGCACGAAATGTTGGCGCCGCACTCTCGTTAAAGTTTGGTGGCATTCTGCTCTCTCGGGGATTTTGGGCGCAGAATGTTGGTGATATTACGCTGCCATTCGTATCCCGTGCGTGAAATGTTGGTGGTGGCATCAATATTGTATTCTCTTTTGGACTTCGTTCACCAACCTCATTTGTGCTCCGTACACAAAATGTTGGTGCTATTGTCATCTCTCTCTCGCTCTGTGCACAAAATGCTGGTGCTATTGTCATCTCTCTCTGGCTCTGTGCACAAAATGTTGGTGCCATTGTCGTGCTCTCATTTGCACGCCGTGGCCAGAGTCTTGGTGACATTTCGCTCACTTTTGGACTTTGGGCACTAAATGTTAGTGCCATTGTTGAATTATTTGAATTCTGTGCGGGAAATGTTGTGACATCTGCGCTCTCATTTGAATTATTGGCGCCAAATGTTGTGGTCTCTTTTAAATTTTGTTCGGGAAATGTTGGTGCCATTGCCATCATTGTGGAAGGGAATAAAAACAGGTCGTCTTCTCCGAGATTTCCAAAGCCATTGCTGGCGGTGGCGCTTGGATTCGAAGAGGCTGCAAAGCTGTCAAATGGTATTGGGTCATCAAGAAATGGATTGTAATTGTGTTGGGGCATTGCGGAGTTTTGAAACAAGCTGTCCAAGTTTGATGAATCAATGGGTGGAGTTGGTGAGGATGTTTGCAATGGTGTTTGATTATTTGCAGACTCAAACAGAACAAGCTCCCAGCCCTGTTTTGGACCCTCTTGATCATCGACTCCTACTAGTTCTTCTTGCCTTATCTGATCCAGTTGCGGTTGTGGTTGAGGTTGAGATTGCGGTGGGAAGCCATCAAAGGAAACAAGATCGAAACTTTCCGGCAAAGTTTGGTTCGATCCGTTCTCATTTCTTCCTCTGGCGAGCCCATCCTCTGCCAGCTTCTCTAGTTGCTCCTCCGAGTTATAAAACTCTTGCTCCACCGACCACGACGGGCTCACATTGCCATTCTGATCACAAACGCTCATCAAATCCTCCAACGACGTGCAGGCCGAACCAAACGCAGAACCTTTCTCCGATGCCGTTTCGAATTGCTCCGAAGATGGAAATTCACTCTGTTCCAAGCTCAACCCTTTATTCTTACTACCTTTGGCCGTTAAATGGGTCGGCGGCGACCGACTCGGAAATGAAGCTTGGTCCTTCAAAAACTCCTGCAACGTCTCCAAAAGCTCATCGGAGATCTTCTGCACGCTAGGATACTCAGAGGTCCGACCAACACCCAAGCTCTTGCACGTCCCGTAAAACGCCGACAACTCCTCGAATTGCTTCGAGGCTTTCACGCAGGCATGAAATGCGTTCACGCAAGATTGATACTGCAATTGAAAAAAGCTATCCAGAAGCAGAGCTAGCCCGTCCGAAATGTCCCGGTACAAATCGTACGTCTCCTGAACAATCGCGTAGAGCGAAATCAGAACTAACCGATTCGTCCTGGCGGCCCCGGTCGGCGTCGTCGCCATCGCCCGGTCCAGCAGCTTTTGCCAGTAGTGAATCCGGTCCAGCAGCATCGCCGGCTTCATATCGCGAACCACCGCCATGGGGTCGTTTGACCGGCGGCTCCTCCGACCGCTGTTGTATTCTTGGTCGCGCTGGTACGTGAAGCGCCGCTGGAGCTTCCCAGTGAGGAAGCAATCGAGGCGCTCATCGAGGTAGAGCGCGAAGGTGCGGACGAAGGCGGTGAAGTCCCAGGGGCAGGAGTTGGAGTCGTCGCGGAAGTTATAGAGGTTGAGGATCTTGGCGCCGCGCTTCATGGCGTGGAGGACCTCGATGGGGAAATAGGGGTCCCCGTCCTGGAAGATGCGGAGGACGAGCATGAGGGATTTGAGGGCGACGATCCAGTCGCGGGTTTTGCCAATGCGCCTGGCGATGGCCTGGGCGCAGGAGGATGCGTACGACTTGTTCGACGAAATGAGCGTGAGAATTTCCTGGATGTATTTGTCTTCGATGGGAACGACGTCGTGGGAGGTGGCTTTGAGGACGGTGACCTCAAGGTTGGCGGAGTTGGTGTTGGCGGAGACCTTGGCAAGGCTTATGCTCGTTTGGTCTTTCACTGCCCCAATTGCCTTCTTTAGCTTGCTTGGCATTGTTAATAATTTTGGATCATGAATTAATTTTTGTTTTTTCAATGTGTTTTTGGTGGAGAGGAGGAGGTTTTTTTGTGGGAATTTGTGGGATTCTAATTTTGATTAGTGGAAGGAGTTTTTGGTTTTGAGAGGAGGAATGAGAAGGATGGTGAGGTTTGGAATTATTTTGGGTGGTGGAGGGGAGAGGAGAGGAGGGATAGGCCTTGAGATTCTTTTATTGTTTGTGGACGTGACTGAGACTCGCACTTGTTTAATTGACCAAGTCATCCCTCTTCATATGAACCATATTTTCAGTGTTTACATCTTTGCACTCAAACTCTCCATGAATGATGGGGACAACTAGTTCTAGAAAATAAAATCTCAAATAGAAATGGGATTGGGTCAATTGGAATAATGGTTGCCATTTTTAGAACGTACAATCCTCCATGGGTGGATTATGGTGATCCATGCAACCCTAGATTCTCCTGGTTTGAGAGAGAGAGAGAGAGAGAGAGAGAGAGAGAGAGAGAGAGAGAGAGAGCACTTATTTTATCGTCCGACTTGGAAGGTATGCGTTTACCTCTAGAATGATTTGGAAGGTCTACGTTCGTTTTTAGAATGACCTTAAATTAGTAGAAAGGCCAGCGATATTATTGTTAGTTAACGCAACCGTCCATTTGGCAGTGTTTTTCAAAATTTTAGGAGAAAACGAAAAAACTTGTAGCTATATTTTAGATATGTCTTTCAAGCAAGAAGCAGTTAGATAATTGTGTTGGTTTTGACCAATAAGTACATACTCTATAGACTGTTTGAATTTGAATGTGTAACTTATAACTAAAGAAGTGATTTAGGTACGTAGTTTGGGTAAATTCTATGCATGCACGCATGCGTTGCTAGATTGAGTCTAGAAGCAGTATTGTTCATGTTGTCATGCAAACACGTAAATGAATAAGATTAACTTCTTTACAAGCCTTGTCTGGCCAGTTTTTCTGGTTTTTTCATTTGTGGTTACATTGGTGGTCAAGCGCCCAAAAAACTAGGACACAATCACAAATACCCCTCTGGTCTGGGCCTAGGATTCTGGCTAGATCAGCTCATCAGCTCATCGGCTAGCAAATGCTGATGGATCAAGAGAGGGGTGCCCTGCCTAAAAATTGCAGCCCAAGTTCTGCTATGAAGCCTAATTGACGAGCAAGAATTCTATAGTGAGGGCCTTATATATGGCCTTTATGTGAGGCCATATCTTTTAACCATTGGATCAAATTGATTAGTCTGATCCAACATTTAAGAGATAGAACATCACTAGTATAGAATGACTCAATTGACGAGATCATCAACAATATTGCAAAATAAATTGAAGTATCAATAATCAATCGACCAACTACACCAGATCTTTAATGAAAAAAGGGTACATCTTAATTGCTCATAAGATTCATAAAGTCAGTCCGTATGTATATTATATATATGAGAAAAACAAAGAAGCTAAGCAATAGAAAAAATTTCATGCATCCGCTGCATGGAACATCGAGTATCTCACATTTACTGCATTATATGAATAGTACTATGACTATGAATGTGAGACACCTGTTTCATGCAATGGGTGCATAAAAGTTTTCATAGCTAAGCTATGATGAACACTTAATGAAATGGATAATGCAAGAAGTGAAAAAGTGAAGGGATAGTCATGCATGTGACTATACAGAGCAGCAACAGAGAGCCTGTGCAACATGAACTCATCATGATCCAACGATTAAGAGATAGAACCTCACTTAAGGGTCATATATAAGGCCCTCACTATAGAATTCTCGTAGGAAAGAGAGTTGTTTAAGTAACATGGGCTCATTACATTTCAGCCCAAAAATAAGGACATTATTGGATCAACTGCTCAACCCATCTTTTGAAAGAGCCATAAAAGGTGGTTTCAGACTTTCTAACCTATATAGGAGCAAAATTAAACTCAAATGTCTACCATCACTTTACAAAAGGACATTTCATTTTATTTACGTGGGAAAAAAAGGACATTATTGGTTCATGTTTGGCCAGAGTTGCTTTAGGACATTATTGGTTCATGTTGCACAGAGAGTTTGTGCAACATGAACTCATCATGATCCAACGGTTAAGAGATAGAACCTCACTTAAGGGTCATATATAAGGCCCTCACTATAGAATTCTTGTAGGAAAGAGAGTTGTTTAAGTAACATGGGCTCATTACATTTCAACCCAGAAAAAGGACATTATTGGATCAACTGCTCAACCAATCTTTTGAAAGAGCCATAAAAGGTGGTTTCAGACTTTCTAACCTATATAGGAGCAAAATTAAACTCATATGTCTACCATCACTTTACAAAAGGACATTTCATTTTATTTACGTGGGAAAAAAAGGACATTATTGGTTCATGTTTGGCCAGTGTTGCTTTAGGACTTTACTATGGATAGGAAATATCCCTGGTTTTCATGCTTTTCCAGGTAGGCATCTCTATTTCTTCTAGGGACAAACAATGCATATGGCTAATATGGGTTATAGCCCAGGTGACTTTTTCTTTTTCAGCATAACATAACATTCCTAGCCCACCACATGCTTGGTGAAATGCTCCACTACACTGAAGGTTTGTAGGGGGTCATTTGTTACACAAGACTATCTTGGCATAGAGTATGCTTAGGGACTGTCTTGGCTTGGTCTAAATTGGATAATACTTATCCTGCGTTTGGTGTATGCTTGGACTAGGACTATATATTTTTTATTTTTAAAAAAATAATAATATATATATCTATGTGTGTGTGTGTGTGTGTGTGTAAGGGGCGGATCCGTGGCACCACAAATTTGACATAAGTTTTGACACAAGTTCTTAACGATTAGATTATGCTACAATGAATGGTTAAGATTAAACAAACTAATTCTTTTTGTTTAAATAATTATTTGTTGAAATTAATTTTAATTAACTTGCTATAATATTTTCTCCCCCTTCATTTATGTTTTCCCAACTTCCTAAAAGTATTAACATTTTCTCTCAGGTCTTCTTCTTCTTCATGCCTTTACTTCTGTTTTTCTTCTTCTTCCAATTCTTCTTTCTGCCTTTGACAATTTCTATGTCACTACCAGCACTAAACAACAAGTAGCTCTTCTCCCTCTCATATTTCATATGTTATCCATTAATTTTTTTCCCTAAGATTTCAATCAATATTATAAATAAATAGTATGATCTAATTCTGAGTATGAATTTTTTATCTTCATTCGTTTGGGGTTTGGTTCAACTATTGTCTCTCTCTATCTTGCAGCAAAATTTGGAGAAGTTTATCTTGCAGTTTTGTATGTTGGTTCTTTTGTTATTTTCTTGAGCTTTGAGTCTCTAAATCCTTGGATTACTTTCTATTCGAATTTCTTTTTCCTCTTACATTTGTGGATTTCTTAATGTCTTTTTTACATGACAAAAGATAAACCGAAACCCAATTACAACCATGAGAAGTTCAAGTTCATTCTCAAATATAGTTTAGCATCTAACTGCAACAAAAAGTATCCATAACTTCTTAGAACAATTAACAATTAAGATTTTTCAAACAATCTCCAAAATATTGAGTGAAAATTGCATGATGTGTTGGAGTGGAAAAATCTGGAACAAATCCTTGCATGTTTGGAGATCAACTCATAACTTTGTTTCCAGATAAAGGAAAACAAAATTAAATAATAAAAAAAATTCAAACTCAAAACATGAGAATAAATGAGATTGGAGGAGATGGAGAGATTTTAGCCTATATTTATGTTACCTTGAAAAGTGGTGTGTTTAATATTTTATTTTATATCTTATTGAAATAAAATAAATAAATAATAAAATCACATTTAATCTTAGCCCTTGAAAGTGCTTGCATCTAAAGGCTATAAAATTGTGTCAAAACTTGTGTCAAATTTGTGGTGCCACGGATCTGCCCCATATATATATATATATGAGTATATAATAATAATAATAATAATAATAATAATAATATAATAATAATAATAATAATATACAAGTATTTGTACAATTGCATTGCCTAATTCTTGGGAGGGACCAATTTTTTCCATGAGGCAAATGGATAAGCAATATGTCACTTAGGTTGTTATAGTATAATGTTGCTTACTTCCTTTGCATATTCTCTCGGAGATGCCCTCAGACTTAAACTCAAATTTCTACCATCACTGTACAAAAAAAACAATACAATTTATTTACCTGAAAAAAAAAGTACATTATTGGTTCATGTTCAGCCAGAAACGCGTTAAGATTTGATTATGGATGGGAAATACCTCTGGTTTTCATGCTTTCCAGGCAGGCAGCTCTATTTCTTCTGCGTCTCTGATTGATTGGCTGGTTAAAATTTAATTTTTTAAAAAATAGTATTTTTGTATTAAAGCCAAGCTGACGACACATACGATATAACAATAAAGGCTCCAAAATCTCAGACTTATAAAATCCGAGTTTCAGTAACATGGGCTCATAAAATTTGAGCCAAAAAGTTGGTATAGCTAGCTAGGCAGCCATGGAGAAGAAGGAAAAAGAAGAAGCAGAGGTTGTACCAATGCTAGAGTGGTACTTTTGGTTGGCCAAGTGGCGGGTACAACTTTTTGGGAGGCAATGGAACTTCTTCGATGTGACCTCTGTGATTGTGGTTTCGGTTTTGCATTGCCTGGCTCTTTTAGCACCATTTCATTTCAACTGGGGTGCAGTTTGGGTGGCCATTGCACTCAATTCCATCTCAGGCGTTGGAATAACCCTATCTTATCATAGAAATCTTGCTCACAAAAGCTTTAAGCTCCCCAAATGGCTCGAGTACTTCTTTGCCTATTGCGCGGTTTTGGGACTTCAGGTTTGTGCCTATGTAGAATAAATTTTTAAAAGTTTTGGGACTTCAGGTTTGTAAATAAATTTTTAAAACTTATGCTAGCATCAGTTACTTACACTGCATGAGTCGATTATGAGTCCTTGATCGATGCATTGTGGCAACCACATGCATCAACGTAAAAATGTTTTACAACTTTGTCTTTGATTTGTAGGGCAGTCCACTCGAATGGGTGAGCACACACAGAAATCACCATCAATTTACTGACACGTGGAGCGACCCTCATAGCCCCATTGCTAAGGGATTATGGTTTAGTCATATTGGATGGGTCTTTGATTATCGTTCTCGTTTTGGAAGTGTACGTACTCTCTCTCTCTCTCTCTCTCTCTCTCTATATATATATATATATATATCCCTCACACAGCTAAAACTTTATTGTAACGTCATCGTTGGTTCTTTCTCTTTATATCTTTCATCATGTAACTTAGCATGTGATGACAGATACAGAAAGAAAGAGGTAAGGATCTTGTTACATGTAAGTTTTCTCATCTCTCAAACACTTCCCTCGTGTAAATAGACATACCAATATTAAAATTTAGTTAAACTAATCATAAATCTCAAAATTTTGCAGTACGAAGGACGACTAAATAATGTTGGAGATTTGAAAAAGCAGCCCTATTACATATTTCTTCATTACACATACCTCTTTCACTCAGTGGCTCTTGGAGTTTTACTGTATGTCGTAGGAGGGCTACCGTTTTTAGTTTGGGGAATGGTAAGATTGGTCTTATTTACTAATATTGTCCTTTTAATCAAGTGAAGAAAGAACAAACAAATTAAATGCCTCCTTAATTAAGGAGCAAAATCTCTAATATCAATGGTCAAATAGAAAATTTACATGGTGTGGTGGCTTTGCCTTTTTGTTTTTGTTTTTGTTTTTTAAAAGGACCTCTTTCATTGAGAGAGTCGATAATATGTTATATTCATACAAACTACACATATGCTAGGACTCGAACTCAAAACCTTTCATGGGAGAGCAAATGCTCAAAACCACTATACTAGTCGTACTTTGCTCATTTTCATTTGTTGTCAATCACGGCGATCACTTTGATTAGTCTATGATGCTCTTTTCTTTTTGCAGGGTGTAAGAATGGTCTATATGTTCCACGTTACTTTCTCAATAAATTCAATTTGTCACACATGGGGAACGCAAGTATGGGATACCGGTGATTCATCCAGAAACAATTGGTATATTTTTTTGTAACCTTCTAGATAGATATGTCTGTTGGATTTGGATGGAAGACAATAATCTCCAACTTGGATGGGTATAATAGCAAATGTGTAATGAATTTTAATTTTGTTAATTAGGTTGTTTGGTTTGCTAGCACATGGAGAAGGTTGGCATAACAATCACCATGCATTTGACTATTCAGCTCGACAAGGTCTTGAATGGTGGCAAATTGATACTACTTGGTATTTGATACGATTTCTTCAAGCTCTTGGTTTGGCCACAGAGGTCAAACTTCCAACTGAGGCTCACAAGAAACGAAAAGCTTTGTACAACAAAGTCATCAACAACAAGGAAAAGTTTGGAACCGTAGGCAACAATGGGAAACTCCAAGCAGTGAAATAATGGAGACTCAACGTTTATGCTATCTACATTTTCGTTATTTGTTTTGTAAGAAGACTTATGCACCATAAGTATGAATTTGTGGAGAATGAGTTTTTGTGTATGAATCATCTTAATCATGATGTTTAATTTGTGTTTCTCGTCAAGTGTTTTATTTTTGTCAATGTGGCCCATGTCATGGTGAAGGACCTATAACATTATTGCAAGTTGTCTTTTGAATTCAAAACTAAAATTTTCTGTAATGCAAAAAAAATATATATATATATATTATTGAGAAAAAGCAACTTCCAACATACTTTTTAGCCATTGAATAAAAAAAGATCAAAAGACTAAAATATGGACATTTATAAAATAATACACTGATAAATGTAACATAATGAATAACTGCTATATTATTTGATCAAAAGTTTTTTTTTAGCACAAGTGATAGTTTAAATTAGAGGGAATGAAAATTTCTCACATACACGCATAATGACATGAAATTCAAACCTGAGACCTTCCGTCTACAAATCAAAGTCCTTTTTCATGACGCGTTAGCATTTGATCAAATGTTAATAGAGCAAAATTTATCAATGCGGTGCTACATAATGGCATTCAACAGAGTGCAGACCGAATTGCAGTATCAATGAATGCAATATCAACCATGGCAGATGATTAATAATAAAAAAATTGGGGACATATCTTAATATATATCTCATAAAATCCATGAAGTCAGTGAATATATAATAAATACAGCTGACGAGCAAACTTGTTGGGGTTTTGAACTTATTGGGATGGGCAATGGAGAAGCTGAAGAAGTGAAGCAATAATCATGCATGTATGGCTATGAGATTTTCAGAGATAAGAGAGCTACCCACACGCAAACTATATATTTAACTCTCACTTGGCATGGGGATATTGATAACATTAGGGAGCTGATTTTCCCACTTTTATTTTCTTCACTTACATTTATTTTTATTTTTTACTATTTTTTTAATTAATATTGTTCTTTTTTGTTCTCTCTTTCCTATTATACTTTTATCCTATATTAAGATTTTGATAACTGAAATTAAAAAAAATTAAAAACAAATAAAACAAAAAACAAAAATAAATCTGAAAAATGGATAGAAATGTGAGTATTTGTATGTCAAATTCTTAGTTTTTTTTTTAACCAAGTATGTGAGTAGTACTATTTATCTTTGTTGTAGTTAATAGATAATAAATTTTTTGGGCTAATATATAAATATGGTAGAAGAACCAAAGAATGCTACTAACCAAACTGTCATTAGGAGCTATGCTGAGAGTAAGGTATGTATAATAGTCTCATATTTTTATTCTTTCATAATATTTATTAAAGAGAATTGTAGAGTAAGAGTATAATAGGAAAGATAAAGAATAAAAAAGAACAAAAGTAATTAAAAAGCAAAAAGGAATATAAGTGAAGAAAAGAAGAGTGAAAAAATAAGCTCCCTAACATTATTGAAGACTTTACCATTCTACATCAACACCATGCAGAGTTAAATGCACTGTGGGTGGGTGGAAAATGAGCTACCAAATGCACTGTTTTTCATCTCTGACTGAATGACGTGCTTACCTCACCTCCTTACTTCTTAATGATGGCCTGCAGATATTAAATATTGTTTGGTAAAAAGTCAGGCTGACATATGGATACATGTAATTATGCACACAACAGTAATAATAGAGGCTTCAAATTGTATAAAACAAGCTTAAGTGAAATGAGTTTTCTCATTTTCACTACAATCTCTTTATTCTACAGTGGAGCCATAAGTTTCTATAGCTAGTCAATAGCCATGCAGAAGAAGCAGAAAGAGGGAGCAGAGGCAGCGGGGTACTATTGGTTGGTGAAGTGGAGGGTGCAACTTTTGGGGAGGCAATGGAACTTCATGGACATAGCCTCGGTGGTTGTCATTTTGGGGTTGCATTGCCTTGCTCTTTTAGCACCATTCCATTTCAATTTGAGTGCTGTTTGTTTGGCCATGGCTCTGTATGTTCTCACAGGTCTTGGTGTAACTCTGTCTTACCACAGAAACCTTTCCCACAAAAGTTTTAAGCTTCCCAAATGGCTTGAATACTTTTTTGCCTATTGCGGCACGCTGGCACTTCAGGTCTCTGTGAATTAAGTACATATGATTCTAATTAAGAAAACTTTTTGTAGAGGGATTTTCCTTGGAAAAATGCCCTATGGTTAGTTCGTCTCTCACCATGTTTATATTGTTAAACTGTGAATCTGAACTATTTATAAACCTTACTTGACTTTGTTAACAGGGAAGTCCACTTGAATGGGTGAGCACTCACAGATACCACCACCAATTTACAGACACGTGGAACGATGCTCATAGCCCTATTAAGGGATTCTGGTTTAGTCATATTGGTTGGATCTTCGATTATGGTTCTAGGTTTGGAAGTGTAAGCTTTTTTTTTTTCTCTCTCTCTCTCACTTAAACATTCTAATAGTAATTTTGTTGAAACTAATATATATGAGCTTGTGAAATTTTGCAGACTGAAGGACGACTAAACAACGTTGGAGATTTAAGAAACCAGCCCTACTATATATTTCTTCATTATACATACCCTTTTCACTCACTTGCACTAGGATTTCTACTGTATGCCGTGGGAGGCCTGCCGTTTTTGGTTTGGGGCTTGGTAAAATTGCGCTTACTGTTTTCTTGTTGAACAAATGGTCTTTTTCTTTTTGTTCTTACGATTAATCACTTGGTTTTTCATTCTTTTCAGGGTGTGAGGACAGTACTTTATCTCCACGTTACTTTTGCAATAAATTCAGTTTGCCACACATGGGGAAAGCAAGTATGGGATACTGGTGATTTGTCCAGAAACAATTGGTATTTGCAGCTTCATTGCACTCTAATATACGTATATTGGATGGAAAAACAATTTCTAATTTCATTGGGAAATAGTAAATGTATATTGAATTCCAATTTTTCTGTTTTAGGTTGTTTGGATTGCTAGCACATGGAGAAGGTTGGCATAACAATCATCATGCTTTTGAGTACTCAGCTCGACAAGGCTTCGAATGGTGGCAAATCGATCTTACTTGGTATGTCATAAGAGTTCTTCAAGCTGTTGGTTTGGCAACAGACGTGAAACTCCCAACAGAGACTCAGAAGAAACGGAAGGCTTTGTACAAGAAAAAAATCAGCAAGGACAGGCTTGAAACAATAGTCAACAATGGAAAACTCTAATCTAAACAATTAAATAATGGAGACTCTAATTTCAGCTATGAATATTTTTGCTATTGCTTTGTAAGATGCCTTTATTATAGATTTTTCTAATCAAAATATGCAAGGAATGTAAGTATTTTTAGCATTGTTATTTTTTCACACAAGCAAGAAATGATACAGCTGGGCCTAGAGACACCAAGGAGGTTGTCAACTAATAAAATAAGAACCAGCTCATCAAACGGGCTGTGAAAAAAGTGGCAACCAATAGAGAGCCCAAGCCCAAGAGCAGCCAAGCAAGCTGGAAATTAGATGTGGTGTATCAAAACCTAGAGGGGGCAATAGGTTGGCGCATGCACTTGCTCAATTTGGTTTGAAGGAGGGCACAAGGTTTTTGTGTGAAGATGTTGGCTAGATTCAAGTCTGGATCAAGATAGGGAATGTCCTGGATTGTATTTTTGATATATGTGTAATTGGGAGGGCAGTAGTACTCTTTTTCCTTAACTGAATTTTCAAGTTGGATAAGGCTTTGTAAGGCAATGATTTAATGAGACCATATTTTTGTCCTACGGCCCTTCAAGCTTGTTTCGTTGTATGGTTTCTCACAGTTGAATGAAGTTCTCCTTTGATAAAAAAAATATATATATTGTTGACGCTCAAAAATGGTTCGGCACTTTTGAGCCCAACTTAGTGATGAGGTGTGATGGATGATGGGTGAAGGTGGGGACCTTCACCAAGTGTGTGAGTATTTGAGCAAGCGATAAACATACAGAAGACAAGATATACGTGGTTCACCCTTAATGAATGGGCTACGTCCACGGAAAAGTATATTCTCATTATTATAATATTGTGTATTTACATTTGTACAAGGGGTTGGACCCAAATTTAAATGTAAGAAAGGAGAAGGTCATGACTAAAGATCAAGCCCAGCCCAAGGATCCTTTTCAAGGGGAGAGTGGTCTCCCTTTATAGGTGAGGGAGAGCCTTCACTTCTTGTAATATTCCAATGTGGGACTCTTTCCTTTGCCTAGAGTTGCTTCTAGTTGCTAGGTCAAATATAGTATAAACAGAAGTCCCCCAAGTTCTCAAGCAAGGAGGTACTCCTTTGTTGAGGACTTGCAATTTTCAGTGCATTGACCGAGCAACACCTTAGTCTTCTTCCAAGTAGTGTAGTGTCGATGGTGCCGAATGATGACGGGGTGCCGAAGGCGTCGCTCTAGTCGGATGATGACAGGGTGCCGAAGGTGATGACGGGGTGCCAAAGGCATCGCTCTCGTTGGATGATGACAGGGTGTCGAAGGCATCTCTCTTGTCAAATGATGACAGGGTGCCGAATGCAACTCTCTTTGTCCAACAATGACAGGGTGCCAAAGGCATCGCTTGTCAGATGATGACGGGATGCCGAAGGCATCGCTCTCGTCTAATGATGACAGGGTGCCGAAGGCATCGCTATGTCAAATGATGACGGGATGCCGAAGGCATCGCTCTCGTTGGATGATGGCAGGGTGCCGAAGGCATCTCTCTTGTCAAATGATGACAGGGTGCCGAAGGCAACGCTTGTCAGATGATGACGGGATGCCGAAGGCATCGCTCTCGTCGGATGATGATAGGGTGCCGAAGGAGTCGCTCTCGTCGGATGATGACAGGGTGCCGAAGGCGTTGATGGGGTGCCGAAGGCGTCGCTCGCGTCAGATGATAGCAGGGTGCCGAAGGCGTTGTTTTTGTCTAATGATGGAGGGGTGCGAAGGCATCTCTCACGCCTAATGATGGCGGGGTGCCGAAGGCAACGCTATCGCCTAATGATGGCGGGTGCCGAAGGCATCTTTCGCGCCTAAGGATGGCGGGGTGCCGAAGGCATCACTCTCGCTGAATGATGACGGGGGTGCCGAAGGCATCGCACTCGTCTAATAAGAACATGGTGCCGAAGGCATCGCTTTTGTCGAATGATGACAGGGTGCCGAAGGCATCTCTCTTGTCAAATGATGACGGGGTGCCGAAGACATCGCTCTCGTCTTGTAGAACAACCTTACCAATGTTTATTGCCAATGGCTAATAGTCTTGGGTTTTTTCTTTTGGCGTATATGCCGATGATCTTTTCCAATAATTATTGCTGGCTAATAATCTTGGATTTTTCTTTTGTTTTTTGTTGTGTTGGCATGAATGCCAAGTAAGTGGGCCTCCTTGATGAATGGTTACCTTCGGCAGGTACTTGGCTCGGGAAGTTAAGGTTTTTGAGCCTCCAATCAATTTCGCATGGCTCTTGCCGTTCGGCGAGGGTGGTCCTGGTGAAATTTGCGTGCCTCGTTTGTCTTTTCTAGGGCCTTGCCGTTCGGCAAGGGTGCATTGAACCTTCATCCCCTATGGCAAACCCGTTTGTTTGTGTGTAATTGTCAACAAGTAGGCTAAGCCCATCTTTCTCTTCAAGGCCTGCGTCTGTAGCTTTTGGAGGGCAGACTCGGAAGTCTTGTGCGCACGGGCTGGGTCCTAAGAACTTCGGCAAGGGCCGGACTGTTGGCGAGACCTTAGAACACTTCAGCACGAACCTTGCCTTTCGGCAAGGTTGGCTAAGAAGGATTTTCATTGTTGGAAAGATAGGCTTCGATAGCACGTCATTTGGCAAAGGAGCTTGGGCTTCCGTGTTCGTTGTCGTGACGCCTCCGTGTCTTCTGCACAGCCCTTGCCGTTCGGCAAGGGTGTTTTGGGGGAATTTTTGGAGCTTCTCAAGTCGGGTAGTCTGGGTACCCGAGCTGTCGGCAAGCGCGGGCTGTTTATTTTTGTGAAGCCGAGAGAGTTGCTCACGATCTTTACCGTTCAACAGGAACTATTAGAGCCGTGATTTCGAGGGCCTCTTTTCAATTTCGCAGGACCCTTGCCTTTCGGCAAGGGTGGCCTTAGAGAGTTCTTGAAGTCTTCGGTAAGGCTCGTTCCGAAGGAGAAGGGTCGCCAAGAACGGTCCGCTTTCAGCACACTTGCCGATCCGCACCTTGCTGGTGCGACACCATGGGTGTCTTGAGAGGTTTAGCGAGAGGTGAGAGATGACATCTGTTTTTTTATAGTCTAGGCATTTTCTTTTTCCTTCCATCGTCGACCTACCGATCGGCAAGGGTGTCGCCGATCAGTCTCATGGGCTTGGGGTTGTCCTCTGTTGCTTTGAGCTTGCAACATTCGGTGTTATTTGAACACATGCGTCCTTTTGTATCCTCTTGGGAAGTATGGCGTCTTTAGCATGTCGAATCCTTTTCTTTCCTCTGTTGAAGACACCGTGGGTGTGTTGAGGAAAAAGCCTAATATTGGGTGCCGAACGGTACTCTTGTATCCTCGATATGCATGTTGGGTTGGGTGCCATTTGGCTTGGAGGGGTGTGTCGGGCGGTACCGGCAATCTCTGGTCTTCCCCAATTTTTAAGGTGCCGTTCGGCAGGCTTTGGTTTGCCAGACAGGAGTTTTCCGAAAGCTTTTGCAGAAGTCAAGTCCCCCTGTTAGTTTGGTTGAGAAGGACTGTGGAGTGACAGCTGGGCAGAATTTTTGGAGTCGGATGTGGCTTCTGAGAGCCATTGGCTAGCTGAAGCTAAATGATTGGAGATGTGCACCGGGTGTTGATCGCTCCATATTGCTTCACTGGCTTTCTGAGCTTTTTGAAGCATATGATTTCCTTTTGGTTTGGCCAATCGATTTGTTCGGAGGATGTTATAATCTCTCCTTTGGAGTTTTCCATCATGCTTTTGAACTTGCAGTGCGGTTTGAGTGGCTTCTATCAGCTGGTGATTAAACATCTGAGATGGGTGGGTGCCGTTTGGCATGTCCATTCAAATTGCTCCACACTTTCCTATATGACAAATAGGACAAAATAGTATTTAAAATGAGAAGAATTGAAGGTGTGGCTAGGCTGCCGATTGATCCCATGGTTTATGTCAGCCACTTGAATAATATATGGAACCACTGAATTGCATACTTATAAATATATTAAAATATAAGATAAGATATGCAAATGTGTTTTATCTAATATTGGAAGTATTAGATAATTTGTAAAAATAATGAGTATGCCACTTATTTGATAGAGGCTTCGGCAAGAGTGGTGTTTTTGGCATCTTGGTGCCTTGTGACTCAAAGTTGCCTCACTACGGGTATTGCCAAATGACAATTAGATGATGTTGATTATAAGGGTGCCAAACTTTCTCTTCAAAGGGGGTGCCGAACAGCACTTAGAATTAAGATGGTGGTTTGGTCATGCAAGCCATGCAAAATGGTATCCACATTCTGATTGGTTTTTCCTTGAAATATCATCTTCTGCAATTTGTTGCCTTATCATTCATGGTTGCTCCAGCATGGGATTGCCGAACGGCAACTTAGGAGATGCTGATAGCAGGGGTGCCGAAGGGCACTGTCGAAGGGAACTGCCGAAGGGGAGAATGACATAAGCTTTTTGTGTCGATTCCCACAGACGGCGCCAAACTGTTGACGCTCAAAAATGGTTCGGCACTTTTGAGCCCAACTTAGTGATGAGGTGTGATGGATGATGGGTGAAGGTGAGGACCTTCACCAAGTGTGTGAGTATTTGAGCAAGCGATAAACATACAGAAGACAAGATATACGTGGTTTACCCTTAATGAATGGGCTACGTCCACGGAGAAGTATATTCTCATTATTATAATATTGTGTATTTACATTTGTACAAGGGGTTGGACCCAAATTTAAATGTAAGAAAGGAGAAGGTCATGACTAAAGATCAAGCCCAGCCCAAGGATCCTTTTCAAGGGGAGAGTGGTCTCCCTTTATAGGTGAGGGGGAGCCTTCACTTCTTGTAATATTCCAATGTGGGACTCTTTCCTTTGCCTAGAGTTGCTTCTAGTTGCTTGGTCAAATAAGGTATAAACATATATATATATATATATATATTTAAAAATGACCTCGTTCTAAGTTAAAGTGTTTAGAGATAGGGACCTCCCCTGGATTTATAAGGAGTTGAGGTTTCATCCCAAAATTAATTGGCAATGAGGGGAGAACCTAACTCCTTATAAACCCAGGCTAGGTCCCTTAACATTTCAATATGGGACAAATACTCTTAACAGTTGTTATCAAATGAGAGGGCACGTCAGCATGTTACGTCATCTATAGCCATAAGCCATGTTGTGTCGTGGCCAAATCTTGTCTTTGTTTTCATGGCCAAGTATTGAGAGAGTAATATCCCTGGGCCTAGGGTGCGGTTGGCTAATTCAAAGAACAACTGACAAGTGATGGGCCCTGGAGCTGAAAGGGTGGCGCATGCACTCGCTCAATTTGGTTTGAAGGAGGGCACAAGGTTTTTGTGTGAAGATGTTGGCTAGATTCAAGTCTGGATCAAGATAGGTAAATGTCCTGGATTGTAATTTTGATATATGTGTAATTGGGAGGGCAGTGATACTCTTTTTCCTTAACTGAATTTTCAAGTTGGATAAGGCTTTGTAAAGGTAATGTTTTAACGAGACCATAATTTTGTCCTACAGCCTTTCAAGCTTGTTTCGTTGTATAGTTTCTCACAGTTGAATGAAGTTCTCCTTAGATAAAATATATATATATATATATTTAAAAATGACCTTGTTCTTAATTAAGTTAAAGTGTTTAGAGATAGGGAGAGGGTGAGAGATATGGACCTACCTGGATTCATAAGGAGTTGAGGTTCCACCCCAAAATCAATTGGCAATGAGGGGAGTACCCAACTCCTTATAAACCCAAGGTCGGTCCCTTAACATTTCAATGTGGAACAAATACTCTTAACAGTTGTTATCAAATGAGAGGGCACGTCAACATGTTACATCATCTATAGCCATAAGCCATGTTGTGTCGTGGCCAAATCTTGTCTTTGTTTTCATGGCCAAGTATTGAGAGAGAGTGATATCCCTGGGCCTGGGGTGCGGTTGGCTAATTCAAAGAAAGAAGGTTAAATTTATTTTGTTTAGATGCAGCAGCAGAAGAACAACTAACAAGTGATGGGGCCTGGAGCAAAGACAAACACACAGATGCTAAACAATAGATCAGAATTTATCAATGGTGTAGACCCCATTGAAAATCAATCAAGCATGCATGTGTATCATACACAACGTATGCCAGATCATCAATAAAAAAATAGGGTACATTTCAATTAATACCGTACCGTCAGGCCTCACAACACAAACAAACTCCAAATAGAAATTTACTTTTTATGTACTGATATCAGAGTACACTCTGAGTTTCAGAGTTTCAAGTTCAAATGTTTGTTTTTTTCTTCTATTGATTGTAATCAAAACCTGAAACGACGTGACTTTCTACAGTAAACACAGTACAAACATGAAAAGTAAGACGAAACAGGATATATAATAATGTGTTAAATTAATACCCACAATTAATCTATAAAGCCCTCACAGTTATAAGATTGAACTCAATGTAAGGGTTACTGTTTTTCCGAAAACAATAATGAAGATTTGCTACTAGCTAGGTTACATTAACTTGCTTATTCGATTACGAATTCAACCTTTCAACTGAATGAAGTTGAGGTTCCACCCTAAAATTAATTGGCAATTTGAGGAGTATCTCAACTCCTTAAAGTCATTGCTAAGTTTCTCAACTTTCCAAAATATGAGACATTTCTTCACATTCTCACATCAACTACTGTGAACTCAAATCGGTCTCGATTTTGTATCCTGGTTTGGTAGCTGCTGCCTAAACTTCATGTGTTTCATGGTCGAATGAATTATGCCCATCTAGCCATGCATGCATATGCATTCATGCCCCAGTCTTCGCAGCTTTCATTAAAAAATATATATAAACTACAGCAGAGGTTTTTCCTCTTTAGAATTTTCATTTTTGTAAATTCATGCAGTATTGGAAAAAATAATAATAATAATAATAATAATAATAAGCGAGGAAGGTTGAAATAAATATTTGGAATCTGAATGTCGCTTGGTATGGAACATTCCCCCACCCGTTCTTTATTATCACATGCACGTATGTTATCCTTGACTTTATGATTTTGTTTTTTTCTTTAATGTTGACTTTCATCACTTGGCCCAAAATACAAATTATAAACTCACTTTCTAAAAAGATAATTAAAATTATAGCATTTGACAACGTAAATATTTATCTGATGATATTTTCTCTTCTCAATGTTCAAAGTTACGATATTCATAATGAGTGCGTTGGGGCATAGTGTACTACTTGCATCAAGTATATGTTTTGCCGGGAGGCTATAATGAAGGGTCTTTGTTAATTGTTTTCTTAGCTAGGGGTTTGTGGTTGAATTTATGTTAGTCTGGCCCAAGAAACAAATACAAAAACAAATGCCTAACCGCATCTTAAAGCGAAAGGTGATTTGGAATCCATTCTAAGCTATATATGATTAATGAAATATTACTCTCTTCACCTACAAAAGTATGTTACAATTTATAATTCAGAAAAGGACATTATTAATTTTGCCGAAAAACTCACATTATTTCCCACAACTTGGTAGTTCCAAGACAATGGCTGACTGCAAATAGGCAAAAAATTAACCAACTTTTTTCTTCCCCAATCTATGTGGCAAGCTAGCTATAATATATAGTGTACTGATATTTGTTGAAGAATATGAGTGCCATTTCAGAAATTTAACTAAATAAAATACAAAATATAAAACCGAGGCCTTTTGTGATAAAATTCCACACCTACTGGGTTTTAAGGTGGTTAAGTTGGGGACAATATTAGTATTGCTATTAGTGGGCCGCTGACCCGTCTCTCTAAAAATTAACATTATATATATATATAAAGGACTGATTCTAACATGATATATATTTTTATTTTTATTTTATTCTTGTAATGAGGTGAAATACACGGCAGTTGGAATGAATATACTGTTGCGTTTTAGTTGGTGCTAGCTAGGGCAAAGACTTACGTTTTCCACTTCTTTTCAAACTCATGCTTTTTGTGAATGCTCTTGTAATATTGTTAGGGGCAAAGACTACTCTTCCGTTCTTCAACATCTAACGTAATTATAAAGAAAATAATGAGTGCAGTCATCTGCGAGCTCCACTCTCTTAGAACTCTTTATACATGCATATATCCTCATTACGTACGTAGACCAAAACTTGCTGCGAATTGAAGCACAAGAATAAGAAGAAGAAGAAGCAAAAGAAATATTTGGTGTGGCAATAATGATCGATTGGGATCGTTGGTTGGTGAAGTGGCATGTTGAGTTTATGGGGAGGCAATGGAACTTTGTGGACTTAGCCACCTTGGCTGGCCTCGTCTATTTGCATTACCTTGCGGTTCTAGCACCGTTTTATTTCACCTGGCCGGCGTTTCGGTCGGCCGTGGCACTTTATTTTATCTCCGGCGTTGGTGTGACTCTATCTTTCCACCGGAACCTCTCACACAAGAGTTTCAAGCTTCCAAAATGGCTTGAGTACTTCTTTGCCTATTGTGGGGTTCTCTCTTTTCAGGTGTTAATTTGTTCAAATCTAACATTTCTATATTATTGTTTTTTAATTCATGGTTTTAGCAGACAAATATATATATATACATATATGTTTATTGGTTTGCAGAGAAGTCCACTTGAATGGGTGAGCATACATAGAGCCCACCACCAGTATACTGACACGTGGAATGATCCCCACAGTCCAATAAGGGGACTATGGTTCAGTCACGTTGGTTGGGCCCTTGATTATCGTACTCGCTTTGGAAGTGTATAAAACCCTCTCTCTCTCTCTCTCTCTCTCATCTATTATATATATCTCTCTCTCTCAAGTTATAATAAATCAATAATTAGTTTTGTTGATCTTGATTAAAAATTTAAAATGTTGCAGTATGAAGCAAGATTAAAGAACGTTGCCGATTTAAAAAGCCAAGCATATTATAGATTTCTTCATTATACGTACCCTCTTCACTCAGTTGCTCTTGGAATTTTATTATACGCCAAAGGAGGCATGCCCTTTTTGGTTTGGGGAATGGTAAACTTAATTTGCAAGTGTTAATCTTTTTTTCTTTTCTTTTTTGCATTTATTTAATTGGCCTTTAAAAAAATATATATTTGTAGGGTGTGAGGACAGTACTTTTTCTCCATGCTATTTTCGGAATAAATTCTATTTGCCACACCTGGGGACAACAAGTATGGGATACTGGTGATTTGTCGAAAAACAACTGGTATTTAGCTTCTCCAATATTAATTGCATGAATGAAATTAAAAAATATATAGATTTATAATTTTTATTTACGTGGATAATAGTTGTTGCAATTAATGAACTTAACAACTGTTTAATTAGGTTAATTGGATTGATGGCACACGGAGAGGGTTGGCACAACAACCACCATGCTTTTGAGTACTCAGCTCAACACGGATTTGAATGGTGGCAAATTGATATTACTTGGTATCTGATCAGATTTCTTCAAGCAGTTGGTTTGGCAACGGATGTCAAACTTCCAACTGAGACTCAGAAAAAACGAAGAGCTTTATGCAATAAGATCAATGAGGAGAGCTTGAAGCAAAAGTAGAAAAAAGTACGCAAAAAAGAAAAGGTTGGGGCTCTGTTTTACTGCTAGCTCATTGTTAGAGAATAAAATGTGAAGGTGTGTATATATAATGTATTACATCTCAATTTACTGCTAGCTCGTTGTTGAAGAATGTACGTCCCACATCGGAAATTTACAAAGTAAAAAAACAATATATAATCAAATAATATTTACACTAAACAGCCTGAGCCACCATAAAAATGGCTTCGCATAGCTGATGATAGCTGATACCAGATTGACAACTATGTACAGTCGTCTTTTGACTTTGTGATCACTTGAAGAAGAAAAACCAGAGTTTTAGACTTAGTTGGGCGTTGGTTTAAAGGGTTTGATCGAATACAATGTTTGGGTACTTGGCCGGCCACCTATACATGCATAATGCAACGATTCATTATTTTTCTCACTCATTGGCTCACTTGAAATTTGAGCAGTTTTCCTTTTATTTTTGTTTAATTGTGTTTTTTTCTTTCTTATACAAGTTATATTAGAGAAGAGGAAAATCGAACATAAGATGTAACGCCGTCGGCAGCTTGTTATTTTTATCAAACTTTTGTCAAATTTGGCCTACAATAGTGGATGATTTTGTTGGGGGTTTTGATCAAACCATTAGTCAAAGGCATTAACGGCCTTAGTTGATTTTGATTTTAAATTGTTCTTGTGGGAACTGGGAACTCGGAAATCTGGGAAGTCAGTTTTTTTGGTGCTTCTTGTGGCTGTGAAGGGCAGTCATTAATTAATTAGTTGCCATTGGTTCTTGTTTTCCTGTGGGGCCAATTTTGCTTTGTTTTCTCTCGGGCCTTATGGCTTGCTTTCAATCTCTAGCAGTTGAGTGTCCTTTTCAATCAGCAAGCAAGCAATTTGCTATGACTGAGTTATAGGGCCCAAGCTAGGGATGGCTGAGCCATATTAAAATAAGCGAAAGCGAATCATATAAATACTTTTAACCAATTAAGCTATAAAACTCTTATAATATCTTATTTTTCTAGCGTTGAAAGAGATATACGCATGATATAGAAAGGATAAAAATAAAAAAAAAGGATTTGATAAAGGTACTAAACCAACGCCCAACTAACGCACACCTAATTTGGCACTCTTGGCATTATTGTTCTGAATTAAAAAATATATCGAGAAAGAAATTGCATGGCCCAACCAACTTCAGATCAGACCACGACCACCGTTTAGTCTTTATATAATACGCAAACACCTTCATTCATTCCCATGCAATCTTGTCATAACAACCGTACTGGAACCAAAAGTTGCTGCTCATCACAAAGAAGAAGCAACAGAAGCAGCATCGGTTGTGTCTCCAAATGGGAGATTGGGTGACGCAGTGGAGGGTGGAGTTTTTGGGGAGGGAGTGGAACTTCGTGGACATAGGCTCAGTGGTTGTGGTTTTGAGTCTGCATTGCCTTACACTTTTGGCTCCATTTCATTTCAACTGGCCTGCATTTTGGGCGGCTGTGGCTCTCTACTTTGTCACAGGTGTTAGTGTGAATCTGTCTTACCATAGGCAGCTTTCTCACCGGAGTTTTAAGCTTCCCAAATGGCTTGAATACTTGTTTGCCTATTGCGCTGTTCTATCATTTCAGGTGTGTATTTATCTTTGTAATTTTAGTAGAACAAAACTTTCTTTTTATATATATAGACTCATTCTTCCTGTTGAATCTGTTTGCAGAGAAGTCCACTTGAATGGGTGAGCATACACCGATCTCACCACCAATTTACAGACACATTGAAAGACCCTCATAGTCCCGTTCGGGGATTTTGGTATAGTCACATGGGTTGGATCTTCGATTATCGTTCTCGATTTGGAAGTGTATGAAATTCTTTATCTCTCACCAGTTGTACACAATATTAATGTTCTTAATCATGTGATTAAAATGATCAAAACACAAAGTTGTATACAACCGGTTAACCCAACATGGAAAATATTGACATACTACTTTGAAAATTTGCAGTACGAAGCACGACTAAAGAACGTTGGAGATTTGAAAAGGGAACCGTTCTATATATTTCTTCACTATACGTACCCCCTTCATGCAATTGGTTTTGGTGTTGTGCTGTATGCTGTGGGAGGACTACCCTTTTTGGTTTGGGGACTGGTAAAATAATGGTTCTTGTAAATTATGGGTTTCTTCCACGTACTAATTTGTCAAAAAAGGCTTACACATTTGATGTTTGTAGGGTGTGAGGTCGGTAGTTTTTCTCCACGCTACATTTGGGATCAATTCTATTTGCCACACATGGGGACAAGTGGTGTGGGATACTGGTGATTTTTCCAGAAACAACTGGTATGTATATATAGTAGCTTCTATATTCATTTAGATATGATGTTCTCTTAGTCAATATAATGAATGAATTTAAATGTGTTTTAGGTTAATTGGATTGATGGCACATGGAGAAGGTTGGCACAATAATCACCATGCTTTTGAACAATCAGCTCGGCACGGCCTGGAATGGTGGCAAGTTGATGCTACTTGGTATGTCATAAGATTTCTTGAAGCTATTGGTTTGGCAACAGACGTAAAGCTCCCTACTGAGACTCAGATGAAACGAAGAGCTTTAACCGTCAACTACAACATCAGTGAGGAAAAGATTGAGGCACAAGTGATCAACAATGGAAAGCTCGAATAAATTAAAAATATAATAGAAACTTAAATTTACTAAGCTATGAACATTTGAAGTGATGAATATAAATAAATAAATATTGTCCTCTTGTTAAGGTAAATGTTGCTTCACTTAGGGGCCGACCGTGCATATGGCTAGCCCATCCTAACATAACATTCCTAGCCAACCACATGCTTGGTGAAATGCTCCACTCCATTAATGGCATGTTTACTAATTCGTAATTAGATTAGGAGGAATTGAATTAATGATGTGTTTACTAATCACAAATTGGAATTCTCATATGGAATTGAATTCCACCTATGGAGGATTCCTGCATTTACTTCACATTAAGGAATTGAAAAGTAAGTGGGGTCCACACAAAATTAGGAATTGAATTCCTGATTTTGGAGGAATTCAATTCTTGGGTGGGATGTGGTATTCTAATTCCTGGATAACTGACCTAGGCCTAGGCATAGATCGATTCGGAATGGTAGAAGGCTCTTCCGTTAACCAAACCAAAGACTTTGGTAGACTTCGGATCAGTTAACCTAATATTTGGTTTGGATTGGTTCGATACGCCGGTAGTACCGTTATAAAAACATACTAATAAAAATACAATTTATAATAGTTTCACATAACATAAGTTCTTGAACAAATACACCAAATTATCCTTGTAAAATATAAAATTCCAATAGTCTAATTCATCCAAGTATGAAATCAAATAACTTAGTCACTATATCAATCAATATATACTCAAGATGTACTGGGAGCCACTTGTGTTTGTTGTTTGAACATTTAAGAGCTATTTTTACTTAATTCTCTATATTTATGTAAACGATTTTGACATTTGTTTCATGTTGCATTCTTTAGTTTTTCATTCTGAATCCAACCATATAAAGAACATAAAATTTGGATCAACAGTCGGAAAGTTACAGGTAAAAAACGGGACAAAGGTCGAAATTAGAAAACATAGGAAATTCATAAATGCCTCTCTGACCAAAAAGTGCTACAGTACCCAGGTGATAAAGAAGTGATAGAATGGTGATAAAGCAGTGATACAATGGTGTAAAGAAGTGATACAACAGTGATAAAATAGTGATACAAAATGCTAATTGTATTTATCTTTGGTTTCTTGTTTTGTATTTAAATAATAGAATAAGTATATATATTGGATCGGTACGAGTTTCCGTCGGGTTAGGAATATTGTTTCCATTAACCAAACCAAACATCTCGGTACATAACGGATTGGAATAATTAAAATTAAAAAATAATTATTTAACCAAACCAAGCCAAATTATCGGTACGGTACGGTCAGTACGTGGATCATTCAGATGAGATGCCCACCCCCTAAACTGACCCATTATGCATTCATCTTTTTTACCAATTATCTCTTAACTATTGAATCAAACTAACTAATTTGATCCAACAGTTAAGAAATATTTGTTATAAAATTCTCATATCAAAGTTCAGATAACATTTTAGGATTAAATTTTCAAATAAGATTTTCGGTTGCCACATGTCCATATTTATTATAAAATTCACATCACAAATTTCAGATAATATTTTCGGTTGCCACGTGTCCATATTTATTATAAAATTCACATCTCACTCATCATACAATTGAAATACTTCCGGTCCTCAGAGTCCGACACAATCGAGTACAGGGACAACTCAATCATTGGCGGAGGCGATTCCACCGGATCACGAAGTGAGGGAGTATTTTCCTTCAGATGACGTAATAGTGTCATTATTTTCGACACGAAACACACCACTTGAACCAACTGCAGGTGTTGTTTACTTGAGAAGCCATAAGTAATGGTTTTCCTCTTTTCTGTTTTGCCTTGAATAATCTATTAAAAAAATGAAATTTGAATTGCAAGAAATATATATAAATAAATAAATAAGACATTTAATTGAATACAACTGCAATTAATTTTTTTATCTCGTTGCCAAGATTTGGACAGCTTCGAACGTTTGTCCACGACCATCCGACTTCGACGGAAAAGACCATTTGTATTTTTACACAAATGTAATTTTGTAGTAGAAAATTTGATGTGGAAAGTGAAAAAAAATTTGGAATGAGATGAATTTGTATGAAGATTTGGTGTAGAAAGTGAATAATATTTGTAGGTATTTATAGAAGAAAAAAAGTCCATAATTTTTTGATGTTTTTTACAAAAATTTTCAATTTTTTTTTCGGATTGGATAAGATTTTTGGATCGAGGGCTCCAAGAGAAGCCACGTGACTCGTAGTCGTTGGTTTCTAGTAGCTATGGGTCAACATTGACATCAGCATCCCGAAGCCAAGAAAATGAGCCAAATCTGCCCGCGGGCTTGCCTAGGCTCGTGGGACCCACCCTTTGCCCCAGCTAGACTTGGCATGCTGGAGCTGCTCCCCGGGCCTAGGGCCCCTTCCTACCTGGGATGGCCTCGTGCGCTAAAGATGCTCTTAAGGCCAAAGGTGATTTGGATTCCACTCTAAGCTATACATGATTAATGAAACATTACTATCTTCACCTACAAAAGACGATACAATTTATAATTCAAAAAAAGGACATTATTACTTTTGCGGAAAAACACACATGATTTGCCACAATTTGGTAACTAAATCAAGTTCCAGGCAGGGAAAGTCCTATGACTTGTACAACGTGGACTATAGCCCAAGTGAGTTTTTATTTATTTATTTCTTATAGTTAGTGTTAAAGTTAATCCCATTTATAGCAGAAATATTAATTTGAACTAATTGGATAATTGTAGTGTTACCTTTAGTTGCCGTGTGTCTATCTAACTCTATCTTTGTGATGATAAATTTTTATTTTTGAATTTTCTTATGAATTTTCTTTTCTCTGAATTCATTTTTGTTCATCATGGTAGACCTTAGCTGGCAATGGCATTGTTGATGTAAAATAGGCCCTTTAAACAAATAAAATAAAATTGATATTTTCTTAAATTATATATATATATATATATATATATCAATTCCATAAGCCTAAAATCTAACAGTTCAATAAGGTGAATCTGGCCCAACCCATTTTAAAATCCTGGGTCCGTCCCTAGTTCCAAGACAATGACTAACTGCAAATAGGCCAAAAATTAATCAACTTTTTTCTTCCCCAATCTATCTGGCATAGCTATAATATATAGTGTACTAGTATTTGTTGAAGAATATAAGTTCCATATTAGAAACTTGACTAAACGAAATACAAAATATAATGAATGGTTCTACTACTAATAGCACCGAGACCTTTTGTGATAAAACCCCACACCTACTGGGTTTTAAGGTGGTTAAGTTGGGGATAATATCGGTATTGCTAGTAGTGGACCACTGACCCGTCTCTCTAAAAATTAACATTAAATTTATATAATAAAAAACTTATTATAACATGATATTTTATACAAAAATCCTTCGAGAGTTTATTTTGGATTTTTTTTGTTTTGTTGGTAATGAGGTGAAATACAGCAGTTGGAATGAATATACTCTTGCGTTTTAGTTGGAGCTAGCTAGGGCGCAGACTTCGGTTTTCCACTTCTTTTCAAACTCATGCTTTTTGTGAATGCTCTTGTAATATTGTTAGAGCAGGTCCAGACTGGTGGAAAGGCCCCCCTGGCGAGCCCGAGATGGCTCCAGCACAAGAGATGCAGCCCAGTTTCGTGGTGGGTCCCACTAGCCCGGGCATGCCTAGGGGCAAGTCTCGCCTGGGCTGAAGCCCGAGTTTTGTGACATCAGTGCACGGTAATTCAAAATTTTTTTACTGTTGGCGCGTGAATTACACGCGCCAGACTTCCGCGCGCTGACGTCAGTGTGACACCAGCGCTGACGTCACCCCTGATAGCCTCCAACAGGCATTTGCCACGTGGCACGACAGAGACTCTCCAATCGTTTTTTTTCTAGAAATCCGACGGTAAATTTTGAGTTTTTTATAAAAAAATACCCAAAAATTATGTATTTTTTCCCTATAAATACCTAATCATTTTATTTACTTTCCACACCAAATCTTCATACAATTTCTTCTCCATCCAATATTTTTACTCTCCACTCACATTATTCACTTTCCACACCAATTCTCCATACAAACTCTTCTCCTTCCAATATTTTTTACTCTCCACTCACATTTTTCTACTACTTTCCATTATAAAAAAAAAAAAAAAAAAAAAAAAAAAGGCATCTTCTGTCGAAGTCGGAGGCTCGTGGTCAACTCATGAAGATATTGCGTTGTGTCAATCTTGGGTGAACGTTAGTCATGACCTTATCACGGGCAATGAGATGAAGTTTCATCATATGTGGAGCAAAATTCATGGAGAATTTTGTCAAAGATCGGGTTCTATTCGGACCGAAATGGTCTTGTCTAGTAGATGGAAACTTCTGAATAAAGAGTTAGGGAAATGGAGAAATGACTTGACAAAATCAAAGGCGAACATTCGAAGCGGTCAAAATTTGACTGATGAGGTAAAATATTTATAATTGTCATTTTAATGAATTCAATGTCACTTTTCTTTTTCTTTTTTTATTGCATATTCTATTTCTTTTTCTTGCATAATCTTTTTTTTTTCTTGGTGCTCCTTTAATTTGTCTATATTTTCTTGCATAATCAATTTTTGTTTCTTGCACTTCCAATTATTTATTTTTAATATATCATACAAGCACAAATGTGGTTCAGTGCCATGGGGCAAGGCAAAAAAAGTTTCGTGCATTTCCAACGTTTGGAAGTTGTGTAGAATTGTTCGAGATTCAAAATTATTCCCACCGGTCCAGAAGTTGTGATGAATGAGACACCGCTCAACGATTTGCCATCAACCAATTCGCCATTGGACTCCCCAATGGAAACGGAGTCACCATTTGTGCCACGTCCGCCGAGACCTATTGGGAGAAAGGCGGCAAAGGCCAAGAGAGGGGGCACTTCGACCAATGAATGTGTACAATTATTGGAGCAAGTAGCTAAGAACACCTCACTAAGAATGGAGAGAGACTTGAAAAGAGATGAAATGGACGTGGCACGAGAGGAAGCATTTGTTATTCAACAGCAGAAGGCACAAGAAAAAGACATAGATGATAGAGAGATGAAAATCATGGCCATGGATACGAGTCATATGTCTCCCGAAACAAAGGCATATTGGAAGCTAAGACGAAGGGATGTGATGAGAAAAAAACTTTTCCATGACGACGGACCTAGCAATACGGATTGGTTAAATGATGAAAACCATTAGGTTGTATTGAAACACCTTTACAATATGTTGTATTGTTGTATTATCCTTTAATTTGTTGTATTGTTTCCTTTTTATTCAATAAAAAAAACATTAAATAAAATGACTATTTATTAAAAACATTTTAGCATCAAAACAAATATTAATTAAAAACAAACCTTAATTTATTGCAAACAACACACAAAACAAACCATACATAAAAGCATAATAATAATAAAAAGCATAATTCCAAAAAACACCACACAAAATAAAGCATAATTAAAAACAAATCATAATTCCAAACAAAGCACTAATCTTGACTTCATCCATTGTGATTGCCTTTCATCTCCTACAAGTGCTCGACCAAGTCACCTTGACGTATCTCGTGAACATATGAAGATTGCATTTCTTGATATCGATCAATCATGGGGTTGTTGAATCGACCATCCCGAAGTAACGGTTCCAATCGAACTTTCATATATTCTTGTCAACGCCGTGTTCATTGGATCGGGTTCAAACACCTCTGGATCATCGTAGTCATACTCATCCTCCTCATCTAGCATCCAAGCAGCACCCCTAATAATTGCCCAACGAGCTTGCAAGATATCGGAACACCTCTCCACGTCTTTCCTGTAACCTTCTTGAAAGGAAGCAAAGCTTCTTTCCTTCTCGGATTGGGGATTCGGAATTGTTTTCACGAATGTCGTCCACCTAGGATAAATTCCGTCGGCAAGGTAGTATGCACTAGAGTATACAGTATTGTTGATTTGTTACGTGACTTGGGGGGAATGACCTCGCAATACCTCGTCGAACACAAGGGATTGACCAAGGACATTAAGGTCATTCTGAGATCTGGCAACCCCGAAGAAGGCATGCCAAACCCAACAGTCGAATAAAGCTACGGCCTCCAAAATTATACTTTTTTGGCCCTTCCGATTCCCGTACTCTCCTTGCCAAGCAGTAGGACAATTCTTCCACTGCCAGTGCATGCAATCGATGCTTCCAATCATTCCTGGGAAACCTCGAGCCTCGCCTTTTTGTAAAAGTCGTTGCAGGTCCCTTGGCGTGGGTTTGCGAAGGTACTCCATCGTGTACAAATTTTCCACTGCATCACAGAATCTCACCAAGCACTATAGGATAGTAGATTTTCCCATCCTTGCAATCTCATCCACCTGCTCTGCAGATGCCCCATAAGCAAGCATCCGCAAAGCAGCTGTAAGTTTTTGCTCCGGGATAAGACTCAAAGCTCCAACAACATCATGCTTTTGAATGAAGTGTGTGTCGTAATTACAAATATCATGCATGATTTTTTGGAACAAATGTGGATATATTCTATATCTCTCTCGAAACTTAGAAGCAGGATATAACGAATTTGGGATAAAATAATCCTCCATGAGATTCTTACCCCGAGACTCCCTACGTCTTTCCACATTCGGGGCACGACGACGACGATGTTGCCTTGATTGATCCATCATACACACCGCTGCTGCAAGCATTTGTTCATCTTCTTCATCGGCGTCCTGATCTTCTTGAGCACGTTTATGCCGAATTTCTTCCCTTTGTTTCTGTTGCCTCTCCAACACCCTCGACAAGTTTGACATTGAGAGTAGAATGTGTTTTGTAAAATCTGAGAAATGAAGGAATAGATAAGAGATGGTGTGAGAGGTATGAGTTGATGGTATAGTTTTATAGAGGGATTTAGAATATAGAGATGACACGTGGCACAATTTTAGAGGATGAAAATCTTATCTGAAATCTGATATTATAATTTTTTTAAAATATCTTAAAATCTTATCTGACATGGGACACGTGTGTCACACCCCAACCCTCGGATTTACAAAACCTTGGGTTAAGACGTGATTCACACCTTAATTATAGAATTTAATAAAAACTATAACTAAAATGTGAAGAAGACATTTAAATAAATAAAATAGATATTTCACATAAAATATTCAGCAGAAACGTGGAAACGATAACATTTGAAGCCATAAAATTTTTACATTATTTTACAAGTTAGAACTACTCGAGAGTTCAGTTAAAGAGTAGCTCGTTATTCAACCACAAGCTATGTTACATTCTATAGACATGCCAAAAATCATCACAAACTCTAGATTTCAGGTTCGGTACTTGCAAAATCTATTAGGGGGTGAGCGAAACCACAGCTCAGTAGGGACATAAACCTTTTCACAATAAATTGATATAATTAAATTAAGTGACAAATAATCAATCAGTCAAATTTCACATTATTAGTAACAATGCATGAATGCTATTCATCTAAATCCCGTTAATTCATATAACTGGACAAGTAGACATGCACGTCCCATATCATGCTTTTACCACTTAGTCCCGAATGCCCATTTATATGAACTAACACTCATTTCAATCATCCCATAAATTCCCTTTTGTTAGTCATCATCTTGTCTAACTCCCTTTCATCAGTCCCGAATCACCCAATAAAAATCATGTGCACTGTGGGATCCCTGAGACCTGGTACCTGCCAAGAGTTAGACTCAACTACACAAAAGACCATTTCCATTACCCTCTTTTCCACCATTATTTTCTCAACACAAGAACTCCAAATAATTTACATGACATTATATAGTTCACATATTTCATAAAAACAATGTAATTATTTAAATATTACCAATGTACATATAATCATGCCCACATTATTCAAACAGTTAAGATTACGTAAACACCCAATACAAGTACCACGCATAATATAATGCTCACAAAATTTAATTAAATCAATCTTTGAAAAAGGCCCCCAAGAAACCCCTACCTTGATACCAAAGCTTTTGCTAGAAATGTAATGTGCTTTCCCAAATTTCTACCACCTTCACAAACTTAGTCTTCCTCTCTATCTTCTTTTCTTTCTCACTTTCTCCTCTTTCGATTTCTTTTTCTCTTCTCATGCACAACTATGCATGACAATTAGTAGTGAAGGGTCCTATTTATACTAAGCAGAGGCGGCAACTATCCTATACTTTCATTGGCTGCATGTTGATTTGCTTCAGTTGTGGATAACTATTTCTAAAATCATAACAGTTCATGGTTAAGTTGCTTAGTCACAAAGACAGATGTGAGCCTTAGTGTGCAGCAAGCAAGTGTAAATGAGTTCACGTTTGCTTAGCTAATATGCAATGCAATGTAAACTTGCCAACTATAACAATTAAAGTTAAGAGGTGTTGCATGCAAAAGGTTACGTTTTCTATTGCCCAACTCTAACAAAATCATGAACTAATAGTGAAAATTTGCACAAATGCTAACTACGTGGAGTGTAAAATAACTCTTATGCATGAATTATTATTATTATTATTATTATTATTTTAGATAGCTATAGCACAAGATGCTATTTAAAAGCAATTGTTTAATAACATCATCAAAATTATTGAATTTGCATTAAAAGCAAATAAAACATAGACTTCCATAAATAATTATAATTATAATTTAATACTTACTAAAAAATAAAATATTAACATTTTTAAGAATAAGGGTTTAGGGTTTATGGACACGTGGCACAATTTTAGAGGGTGAAAATCTCTCTCTCTCTCTCTCTCTCTCTCTCTCTCTCTCTCTCTCTCTCTCTCTCTCTCCTATTATATATATATATTATAATCTCCCTCTCAAACTATAATAACTCAATAATTAATTTTGTTGATCTTGATTAAAAACTTAAAATGTTGCAGTACGAAGCAAGATTAAAGAACGTTGCCGATTTAAAAAGCCAAGCATACTATAGATTTCTTCATTATACGTACCCTATTCACTCAGTTGCTCTTGGAATTTTATTGTACGCCAAGGGAGGCATGCCCTTTTTGGTTTGGCTGAGCCGGGCTGTCATAGCCCACGAGACTTCCCTCACTCCTTTGCATATCAAATTAAAAAGAAAAAAAAAAAATACTAGTACGTAATTACATATGTGGCTCATTAAGATCTTGTGTCCCATCTCCCCTATAAAATTCTCACTTTTTCTCGGTTGATATAAGAGATATTAGAATAGGAGAAATCGAAACATATAAATACCTTTAACCAATTAAGCTACAAAAACCCCTTGCAATATCTCATTTTTCTAGCGTTCAAAGAGAAATAGGCATGATATAGAAAGGAGAAAAAACAAAAGGATTTGATAAAGGTACTAAACCAACGCCCAACTAACGATGCACACCTAATTTGGCGCTCTTGGCATTATTGTTCTGAATTAAAAAATATATCGAGAAAGAAATTGCATGGCCCACCCAACTTCAGATCAGACCACGACCACCGTTTAGTCTTTATATAATACGCAAACACCTTCATTCATTCCCATGCAATCTTGTCATAACAACCGTATTGGAACCAAAAGTTGCTGCTCATCACAAAGAAGAAGCAACAGAAGCAGCATCGGTTGTGTCTCCAAATGGGAGATTGGGTGACGCAGTGGAGGGTGGAGTTTTTGGGGAGGGAGTGGAACTTCGTGGACATAGGCTCAGTGGTTGTGGTTTTGAGTCTGCATTGCCTTACACTTTTGGCTCCATTTCATTTCAACTGGCCTGCATTTTGGGCGGCTGTGGCTCTCTACTTTGTCACAGGTGTTAGTGTGAATCTGTCTTACCATAGGCAGCTTTCTCACCGGAGTTTTAAGCTTCCCAAATGGCTTGAATACTTGTTTGCCTATTGTGCTGTTCTATCATTTCAGGTGTGTATTTATCTTTGTAATTTTAGTAGAACAAAACTTTCTTTTATATATATAGACTCATTCTTCCTGTTGAATCTGTTTGCAGAGAAGTCCACTTGAATGGGTGAGCATACACCGATCTCACCACCAATTTACAGACACATTGAAAGACCCTCATAGTCCCGTTCGGGGATTTTGGTATAGTCACATGGGTTGGATCTTCGATTATCGTTCTCGATTTGGAAGTGTATGAAATTCTTTATCTCTCACCAGTTGTACACAATATTAATGTTCTTAATCATGTGATTAAAATGATCAAAACACAAAGTTGTATACAACCGGTTAACCCAACATGGAAAATATTGACATACTACTTTGAAAATTTGCAGTACGAAGCACGACTAAAGAACGTTGGAGATTTGAAAAGGGAACCGTTCTATATATTTCTTCACTATACGTACCCCCTTCATGCAATTGGTTTTGGTGTTGTGCTGTATGCTGTGGGAGGACTACCCTTTTTGGTTTGGGGACTGGTAAAATAATGGTTCTTGTAAATTATGGGTTTCTTCCACGTACTAATTTGTCAAAAAAGGCTTACACATTTGATGTTTGTAGGGTGTGAGGTCGGTAGTTTTTCTCCACGCTACATTTGGGATCAATTCTATTTGCCACACATGGGGACAAGTGGTGTGGGATACTGGTGATTTTTCCAGAAACAACTGGTATGTATATATAGTAGCTTCTATATTCATTTAGATATGATGTTCTCTTAGTCAATATAATGAATGAATTTAAATGTGTTTTAGGTTAATTGGATTGATGGCACATGGAGAAGGTTGGCACAATAATCACCATGCTTTTGAACAATCAGCTCGGCACGGCCTGGAATGGTGGCAAGTTGATGCTACTTGGTATGTCATAAGATTTCTTGAAGCTATTGGTTTGGCAACAGACGTAAAGCTCCCTACTGAGACTCAGATGAAACGAAGAGCTTTAACCGTCAACTACAACATCAGTGAGGAAAAGATTGAGGCACAAGTGATCAACAATGGAAAGCTCGAATAAATTAAAAATATAATAGAAACTTAAATTTACTAAGCTATGAACATTTGAAGTGATGAATATAAATAAATAAATATTGTCCTCTTGTTAAGGTAAATGTTGCTTCAGTTAGTGGTGTCACTGTATCATTCAATATATACTCAAGATGTACTGAGATCCACTTGTGTTTGTTGTTTGAACATATGAGTGCTATTTTTACTGAATTCTCTACATTTATGTAAATGATTTTAACTTTTATTTTGTGTTGGGTTCTTTAGTTTTTCATATTGAATCCAACCATATAAAGAACATAAAATCTGGATCAACGGTTGGAAAGTTACAGGTAAAAAACCGGACAAATGTCGAAACTAGAAAACATAGGAAATTCATAAATTCCTCTTTGACCAAAAAGTGCTACAGTACCTGGGTGATAAAGAAATGATAGAGTGGTGATAAGGAAGTGATACAGCAGTGATAAAATAGTGATACAAAATGCTGATTGTATTTATCTTTGATTTTTTGTTTTGTATTTAAATAATATAATAAGTATAAATATCGGATCGGTATGGGTTTCCTTCGGGTTAGGAATATTGTTTCCGTTAATCAAACCAAACATCTCGGTAAAAATTGGATCGAAATAATTAAAATTAAAAAAATAATTATTTAACCAAACCCAGCCAAACCATCGGTATGGTACGGTCGGTACACGGATAATTCAAATGAGATGCCCCACTCATAAACTGATCCATAATGAATTCGTCTTTTTTAACCATTATATCTCTTAACTGTTGGATCAGACTAACCAATTTAATCCAACGGTTAAGAAATAGGGCATCACCTAAGAGTCATATATAAGTCCCTCACTATAGAGTTGTAGATCAAACCACCTCCTCAAGAAGTACGTTTTTGGGCATCATGAAGAACACAAGCACATACCCACCAAACCAAGTTCATATGGACTCAAGACACTTGGTCTTCTTCATGGCGATCCAGTAAGCCCAGTAAATGAGCTCAGCAAAAAGCCCAAACACATTGATATCAGAAGTGAGACCGCATGAGTGGTTCAAATTGCCCAAATCAAACCAATTCGAGCGATTTACAAAATATATAAAAAAAAGTGTAATCTTAATCCGGAAAATTAAACCAATCCCAGTTACATAGAAAGAATCTTAAACCGAGCTGAACTAAATGATAATTTGTTTGGTTTAGGTTTTTTTTTGGTCTGACATATATATATATATATATATATAATTCAACCCTAAATAATGTTAAGAGGAGGAAGAGAATACAATGTACCGTAGTGGGTAGCGCGATGAAACGTGAAAATAGAGAGGGGTGGTCCCTATATCACATGGGAGAAGCAGAAGTTGCAAGAAAAATCGGGACACCTTTTGGGTAGTCGTGAAAGGCCTTCGTCGATTGGGAGTAAAATAAGAAAATTGTACCTACTTTTCAGTAACATGCATCGTACAAATTTGTTGTCACTTGTCTCATAGCCAGCTACACACACAAAGCACCATCACCATATTATTACTCCTAATTTATTTTTACTTGTAACGTTTAGGGTGATGACGCCCCTTGCACTAAAATACCACGCCACTGATTTGAGTACTGCACCGCCATGCACATTGCCCCAACTAATCTAATCTTATATAAGTTAGGCATGTTCAGGATTAATTGTCATTACTTAGTAACACCACGTGAAGGTGATGGGCACGGGCACACTCGAAAATGTGCAAGGGTTTCAGAGAGTTGAGTTTGTGGCATTCCCTTCACTTATCCAACCAAAAAATGTCCAATAAAACTTTCCTACAAGACAAGGCTATACAGCTATATGCATCCACGGATGACCCTCTCTTGGCAGCCATCATCATCCCAATTGTTTTTCGCGTGCCCCGTTCAGACTCAAGAGTCTCCATCATCTTGTTTTGTCACCGTGCAAACAATCATTGTCCCCGTCTCCTCCACACAACCCAAACTCATCCAATTATCTAAATACAACTCATAAAAATAACAGAGATTAAGTATAAAGTTATTAACATAAGAGTCAAAGTTAAATAGTCTGAAATACAAAGTAGCATACTAAACTACCCAACAATACATACAAAACGAAACCACCACAAAGAATTTCATTTTAACCCACTAAACCCTACTTCAGCAAAATTAGGCTAAAACCCCTTTGCCCCCAAAATTACTAAATAAAACCCTCCTCCGGCCTGCCTGCCTGCCTCAGTATCCAGTGGGCAGCTCACATTTCCCATACTCTGCAACCAAAAACATAAAAACAACATCATTATATTTTACCCAAAAAAGCAGATCAATATAAAGCAAAATCAATGCTCTTTTCTCCAATCTACCCTCGGTAACACCGATGTGTAAACAGTAAAAGACAACACACAACCCCAAATAAATCATGATCACGTGACGTCATTTGACCTCGCGTGCACCATCTTCCCAACATCTCGTGTACCAAGAGTCAAATTTTCACACGGCAGCGCATTTTAGTAATCATAACCATATTATTTCACTAACATGCACCAGTGCGTAATGAGAATAAATGACTGTAAAGTACTTACTGGGTGGTTGAGAGACCACGTAGGCCGCCCCGCCAAAATAACACGTGCCGACCCCACGTGCCTTCTTTTGGTAGTAACTGTTGAAAGCGTACGACGCGTGGGCCTCCAGTGTGTTAGGATCGTAACACGCGGAGCCTGGCTGGATCTGATGGCAGTCTGCCCCACCCTCACCGCAAGCGTAGTCTAGAGCCGCCTGCAGCTTCTCCTTCCCCGCCTCACCATTCGCCACGCACCACGTGTTCCCGGTCAAACTCTTCGACACGTCACCACCCCCGTTGACCGGTGCGGTCATGTGTTGGTTTCCAGCGACAGGCGACCGGTGGTCGTGGTAGTTCTTCAACCCTTCAACAGTAAACGGTATGTCGTAAACTTTGCGTTCGTTGGGGAAGAAGAGGCCGTAGTTTCTCTCCGATGTGGGCCCGTTTTTCCTGTCCTCATTAAACAGAGCGAAGAGATAGACGGTCAAATCTGCCTTTGGCCTCAGGGGGGTCCCACCGCCCGCCAAGATCCGGCGGACGAGGTTGCCGTTGTACGCAGCTGCGTTCTCCAAGCTAGCACCTACCTCGTTCTCATCACCCTTGGAAGGCCAGCCGGTTTCGGATACGACCATGCTAATGTCGTCGTATTTTAAAGCCGACATGGCAGCAAAAACGGCATCTATCTGAGCATCGAAGAGGCTGAAGTAACGGAGACCGTTACCGGCGTCAACTACACCAGGGTTTTGACGGAAGAGAGCATAGTCTAGTGAGATGACGTCGGCGTTTGACTCGTAAGCGAAATAAGGGTAGGCGTTGACCATAAGGTAGGACCCGGTTTGACGGAGGAACTCGAGCATGGGCTTGAAAACGGTTTCGACGAGTTCAGGTCGGAACGAACCGGCGGAAGCAGGGTAGGAGTTTTGAAGGGCGCTCAGGGCAATGGGGGAGGAGATTTTGATGGCGGAGTGGATGTCGAAGTGGATGAGAGCTGTGTGGATGTTTTTCATGGCGGGGATGAGGAACTTGGTGGTGTTGTGGGTGTCGACGAAGACCTCGTTGCCGACCGCAATGGCTTCGATTTGAGTGTTGGGGTGGTAAGCGACGACGTTTCGCTGGACCCAGTTGGTGGCGAAGGACTGGGACTTGGCGACGGAGGAAAGGAGCTCGTTAGGGACGTCGACGGTGACCTTGATGTTGGATCCGGCGAGAGCTCGGAGCACGGCCGGGTCGGAGTCGAAGACCTTGACCCGCTCCAAGCCCTGGGACTTAAGAAGCTGCGCCACCCTATACGCCGACGGAAGATTGTCGGCGATTCTGCCGTAGTTCACTCCTACAGAAGCTGCATCTGCAAAATGTAGCACAAAACGACAAAATATTAATAACAAAAATAACTATTTCAAGATACAGAGAGTTTAATTTGTTCAGCATTTTAGTTACCTGCGTGAGATGATAAGACGGAGAGAAGGAGGAGAGATAGAGTGAGGAGGTGGCGGTCCATGCTCTGGTTTTTGGAGAAACAGAGCATTGCAGAGAGCTGCTTCTTCTTCTTTGTTGTTGCAGGTTTGTTTGCAGGTAATGGGAGAGTGGAGTGAGGCAGAGGAAGAAGAGAGGGATGGTGCTTTTATGGGGTTAAAGGAATAACGTGGGGATCGAGATGGCGGGACCCACGTGCATGACAGGGACAGGAAAAAAAGACTCCCAACGGACCAGTCGACTATCATCTTCTTTTCTCCACTAGGCCTTGTGGGCCCGACCTCACGTTCCCCCACAAAATCGACCGTTTTATTTTATGATTCACTTCACCTATAGAACATAACATGGATTAATGACACTGCTACGCTCCTAGGGTTCATCGAAATTGTGGTTTTATTTTTTGTTTTTTATTTTTTATTTTTATGGGTATTTGGGTTAATGAATATTCATTTTCTACTGTTGAGTGTTTGGCTTGGATTGCTTCCACCTGTCCAATCAAATGAGCTGGAAGAATGCAACGGCTCTAATTAATTGTACGGTGATGTTTGTGCATAGTATGCTATGGGGTCCATTGACTATGGAGGTTCGAGGAATAATCATGAATTTAATTACACCATCATATTATATATATATATATAAATAAATAAATATCTGATGTTCTATTATTATTATTAATCATTTAACTGGTTTTCGAACGTTGGCTACTACTACAAGCAATGGAAGTGGCTTTAGTCTTAACGGGAAATCGACCAAAAAAGTCTTCACGGGAAAGTCAAGTAACAATTGGAAATAATCATAGGGAGATTTTTGCTCATCACTCTTCCAAACACTTGAAACGTGTATTCGGACATAATCATAGAAAAGTCAAGTAACAAGTCAACAAATGGAGATAATGATATCCAAAATAATGTGTGTTTATGGGCTAATGGCATGATGAAAAATGTTTTTGAAGAGAAACCACTTAACTTTAGGCATTCGTTATGTCAAGTTTAGGACATTTGAGATCAGCAATTTACGCAAACGTTGAATCCAAAACTTTCGTTAAAGTCTTGATCTTCAAAGTTATCCATTAGGTCATAACACCACTACTACACCCAAAAAGCCAACTTATGCATATCTATAGAGAAGTTGCTTTCACTCCCTTGGCTACATCCAAAACTTTTTTTGATCTTGTCCATGAGAGGGACATTACATGCATGTTAGCACATCTAACAAATTGTCATCAATCAATAAATAAAGCAAAAAAAAAAAACAAATAGCCTTTGGAATATAAATTTATAACATGAGGAGGACTTTTTCCTTTGTTTGTTTCTCAAAGCATTGATGAAAGAATGTAACCCTAGACTAGACAAAATGTTGTTGTAATTTACCTGACATTGACCCAAAAGCTTATCTTTGGGCCTAGAGGGACCTTGAAGGCCCTATTTATGTAATGGGCTTATTCTAATTTACCAATATTTTTAGGGGGTTTTTTTTGGGACAAAACTTTGAGTGGGTTATATGACTTTTTGCACTTTAGCCCAGACCCATGATTTTACGAATGAGACTGTGACACGTGTTCAAGCTCTATTGCGCTGTGGCTCTCAAAAGGCCGTCGGTGGTAGCGCCGTGGTGGTACAACCAATAAATTAAAAACCAATAGGAGAGAGAGAAGAGAACCCTAATTTCATTCGTTTTACAAAGACCATAGAGAGACCGAGAGACAGAGACAGAGACTCAGAGCCAGAAGACGAACATGTCGACTCCGCAGCAAGAAGAGGACAAGAAGCCCAACGATCAAGCTGCCCACATCAACCTCAAAGTGAAAGGCCAGGTCCTTATTTCTTATCCCGAACTTCACCCATCTGTGTTCTTTGGTTGTTTTTTCTTTTTAAAATTTAAAATTTTATTTTTCTTGTGTTGATTGTAATTTTGGCCTCTCATGGGTTCTTCAAGTTTTTATTTTTAAGAATTATTTGAAGTTAATATGTTGTATGTTCTTTTTGCCTTTTAGGGGTTTTTGGCAAGATGCCTGCTTATGTTTTTCTTTCCTTATTCTTTTATTCATAAAGACTATCAGTTTAATTTTAATATGATTCAGATTGTATGATTTCTGAGAAAGCTGACCGCGGGAAAAAAAATGCATAAGATGGTTGTTTTTCAGTTCTCACAGCCTAGTTTTTATTTGGCTTAAGCTATTTAGATTGATATCATGATTAGGCTGTGTTTGGTTGCTGTTTTATGCTTATATCTATAATCTCTTCTTGTAATTCTGGCTGTATTTCATTTACCCTTTTATTATTTTGTAATACTATTGTTTTTATTATTCCTCATTCTGATGCTTTTGCGTCCTAAGTAATTGAATTGTGTGTGTTCTTATCTGCTTGCAGTATGCTTGGCATTGTTCTATATTGTCTTTTGTCATGATAATAAGATAGTGGGTGATTTGTTTGGTGAGTTGCATTTAGTTCCATTTATTTATGTCTCCATCCCATAACCTTACTGTCTTGTGTTCATTTAATTCTATTTTTGCAATATAGTTTGAGATTTTCTTCTTGGTGATTCCAAAAGTATTGAATCATAATCTACGAATTTGTTTGTGAGTGTTATGCTCTCAAGATAGAGATTTTGTCATGAAAACTTTGGTGAGCAGATGAATGATGATTTTGTATTTCATTTGCAGGATGGGAATGAAGTGTTTTTCAGGATCAAACGAAGCACTCAACTGAAGAAGCTTATGAACGCATATTGTGATCGCCAGTCTGTGGAGCTTAACTCAATTGCCTTCTTGTTTGATGGTCGCCGTCTACGAGCAGAGCAGACGCCTGATGAGGTCCCTCTCTCTTCTATCACATTTACATAATTTACATGTGTCTCCTCATACACACACGGCCATTCACTTGGAACCACGTGTACACAGTCACTCATGTTTTCTGCAGGATGATGAATTGTTTGTATTGTTTCCTTGTTTCAGCTGGAAATGGAGGATGGTGATGAGATTGATGCAATGCTTCATCAAACTGGAGGAGCCGTACAGATTTGATACTATATGCTCTTATTGGAAGGAAGCTGTTATTATGATGAAGACCACTGTGTTCTATGGATCTAGGGTATTGAGCATTAGGTTTTTTAGTTTTGTACAAGACCTTTTGTAGTAGTATTTTGATTAAGTAAATTGATGTGGAACTTGGCATCTGAGTATGGTTTTCCTTTCAATTTCGTAGTCTTGTGTAGCAAGGCTGTATTTTAATCCAATTAGAATTTGATATATAATTTCTATTCATAGTGTTTCCATTGTCATCCCTTTTGCTCTCCTGTTTTTTCATTCATCGTAAAAAAATTGACTGCTTAAACGATTACCAGAATTTAATGTAATCTTTTGTTACTATCAATGGATTGCAGTTGTTTAACATATGCATACAAATTGAAAGATTAGCTATGAACCTGAATCTAATCAGATTAATAAAAAATAAAAAATAATGATGATTTGAATTTTATAGTCCAATTATGATGCAAATCAGATTCAGATTAGTATTTGTCATCTTTCTTTATTAACTGAAACGAACGGTCTGTTCTGAACTCGTCACTTACAAACTTTTTGAAAGAAACAAAAAAGTAGAACTAAGCTGAAGTTCCTTATGATACATTATGTACAAATGTAAAGATTGTCTGCCCCAACAATTAACAAGTGGAAACAAAACTGAAAAGAATGAAAGAAAAAAAAAACGAAGCTCTTCCAGTGGTATTAACATGTCGCTGTCGCTACATCTCTTACATATTCTTCTTTGGCCAAATGCATCTCTTAGATTGTTCAAGTCAAGGTTGTGATTTTACACGGTGTCGCCAGCACTTCTCAAACAAAGTACTCTCTTGACTGTGTTCCTCCAAAAACTATCCAAACCCTACTCAAGGTTGATTTTCCTTCTTAATTCTGACTGCAAAGCCAAAACCAAAATATAATAGGTTTATGTTTAGGAGCATGCAGACCCAGGAATAAGAAAAGAAAAAGTGAAAACACGTGTTAACTTATGTTAATAGCAACCATGAAACACATATTGTGTGTGTAAAATGACTGTATATGTGCCTAGCAAGTGTATTTCTGTGCTGCAATCTTGTGCAGGGAAGTGAAATCCATAATCTAAAATTCACACATTAGACTGCTAACCAGATTCCGTTTCTCAACGGTCGGCTTGCTACGTCTTGAATCTTCACACCGTGATCTCCGGGTTCGACCCAGTGTTCTTTGGATAAACTCTTGTATATGATTATAAATGCTGTAACCATCGCATAAAATAACCATCAGCAAGGCAAAGGAATTTATTTGCATGCAGACTGAAAGAAATGGATTATTATTCGTCATGCTATAAGCAGGAAGCCAGCAATAGAAGTTCAAAACAATAAGTTTAAAAAGTATATATATAAAAAAAAAAAAAAAAAAAAAGGTTAATAGTATTTTCCAAGGCCACCACTGACCACCATTTTTCCATTATAAGAGAAATCTCCCCTTATGATCTCCCAAGATTCTGCAGTTGCCCCAACACTACTGCACAAGTCAAAAACCCTTCAAATCTTACATATCTTCCAAAGCAAATGTCCAGCACAACCCCCACAATCAGGGAGGACAGCTACAATGAGGCTGTTCTGAGTTCTATGGTCTGATAAACCCAATTCTGAACAACTTTATTTATCCTTTTTCTTTTTCTTTTTAGTTGCTATTTTCAGATTTCCACTTCGGCCTAAATATCCAATTGAATATGTACATTATCACAGTGGTATAGTGCAAGATATTACCATGAAACTTTGTAATGATGTCGAAATTAGCCATCAGCATATATTGTCCTAGCTATCAAATAAAGTTTAACAATGGCTTAAGCAACCATGACAAACGTCTATGCATAAAAATAAAAATAAAAAGCTAGCGAGCAGAAAAATGCAGATCACTAAACAAGATGTAAGTAGTGCTAAAGAAAAGAATAAGCATACCTAAGGCGATGCCTGTTACAAGCTATGAAGAATGCAACAAAACCATTTAAGATACTCCTGATCGCACGGAAAACCTGAAACCCAAAAAGAAAAGAATGGTGATCAATAAAACCATCTACCTGACATTGTCAAAAGGCATAACTGCAATTATATACTTTTATCTTCCAAACCTGAGAAAAAAGGTCATTCCAAAGTGAACGCCATATGGAAACTTCAACCGTTCTCACAGTTGCCTGAGAGGCTGAAGCAAACTGGAATATGCTGCTAGTAAACTGCCATATGTCTCGAAGCATGTCATATATACAGGCACAAATAAAAGCTAGGAAATTGGCTACTGCAACAACCATGCGAACCGGAGCATAGACTATTTCCCATAGCATCATCAACATAGGGTATACAATGGAAGTTCCTGCAACACAATGCAAACAAGACTACACGCAATTAATACAAGATTTTTTGTCAATTGTATGACGCCATTGATAATATAACTTAAGAAAAATGGGTGATCCAAAAAATTTGATGACCTACCAATGCTCCAGATGGCCGATAGGAGAAACCATACTGGAACTAATAAAATCTGTACTAGGTTCCCCACTAGACTGCATGAAGATCCAACCAGAATCCAAATGATTGAACAGAGGCTTTCTATTACTTCAATAAGCACATTCCATACTGGAATGAGGAATCCAAAACACTCCAGAAGAGGTTCTGCCAATGGCTGAGCGAGAACTGAAATAAAGGATCGAGTGGTGCTTCTGATTGTCAGAAACCACTGAACAGCTTTCTGAGAGTTGTGTAGAAATAGCATTGTTCCCAAGTATTTGATCCTTGATATCATCGACCAGGTCTCTATCCAATCAAATAGAGGCCCACAAAGACGAGATGCAGTTACCTTGAGAACTGGAACATTTTTGTATAGGTCATAAAATCCTATTAGAACAGTGACAACTGAGATCAGCACATATAATGCTCTTGCAAGAGGGCACATCCACGGGCGATAGATATGGCAAAACCCTGGGTATGACTGAAGGAAGATAACCCAAGATGGAAGCCCAGCCTCAAGCAACGTCAGTAACCGAAGATCAGACATTATTATTTCTCTTAGTTTAAATGGGAGGTCGCGGTCATTGAACCTGAACAAAATAAGTACGTCCCTGTACTGGGTAGCTTCAACAGCATCTACAGAGTCACTGGTATAGGTATCCGCAGTTACTGGTATAGCATCTTCCCTGAACTGGGTAGCTTTAAAAGCATCATCACAGGTTGTCTTTACAGTCTCTGGTATAGCGTCTTCACAGTCGCTGGTAAAGGTCTCAGAGTTTTGCATTTCATCTTCACAGTCCCGGGTATAGACGTCAGAGTTTTGCATTTCATCTTGACAGTAACAGGAATAAGCCTCAGAGTTCTGCATTTCATCTTCACTGTAACAGGTATAGGTCTCAGAATCTTCAGAGTCACTGATATAGGTCTCAGGATTTTGCATTTCCTCGGAATAAGTATCTAGTTCAACTCCAGTGCTGATGGACGTGGTTATTTTCCGCCTCTTATAAGGCCCAGTAGGTGGAGGTGATGTATGTGCAACACTGGTCCCATTTTCACTGGTTTCCGGATGTACACTATAGTTGCTACTAAGGCAGTGGAGAGAGTTTTCCTCCATAGACAGGTTATTATCCGACAGATTTTCTTCAACAACCGGCATCGTTTCTGGATATTCTTCGGCATCTGGATATTCTTTGGCATCAAAGAAGACCTCTCCTAGAAAAGTTTAAAAACAAAAGACCATTGCATACTCATTTTCATTGGCATTAGAGAAATACAGTAGTGTCAGCAGCCATCATGTAGCATAGTGGCACCTATGAAAATCTAACACTTTTTCCAGACAAAGAAATTCTCCGATTATATGTTTATCCAAATTTTCTAATAAACCAACAAAGGAAAAATTTTCAAAAGGAAATTCTCGTTCTGAGCTTCATGAATTTACCTTCTGAGTCCTGTGCAACAGAAACACCCTTGTGGAGACTACCTATGGCAGAATTCAGATACTCTTTCAACTGTAGCTGCTCAGAGATTGTTCCTGAGAACCATGAAGATATACAACTTGCAGCTTGAGCAATACTGTCAAATTCCCATCTTTGCATGAATTTAGCCTCTACAGCCAGTGATGTATCAGTCTGCACGTGACATCAAAACCATATAACACAACAACACTTACAAAGAACTGCAAACAACTATTGAAGGATATAGAAAGGGGGTGATACCTGAAGCTCATTGACGTAATTAATACCTCGAACATTGCTCCACGCAACTTCAAACACAATAAAACCATACAAGGTCCTATGCAACTCCTGGCTTAGAAGCAAAGAAGTCCTTAGTTTCTTTACAGGTAGCAATACCTTCTTCTGAGACTTAATCAACGAGAACCACCTAGCAAACTTCTTTGGTTTTGCAGTCTTGGGTAAGGAGCAAGCATCCTTTCCTTCTGTTCTCAACTTCCGTGCTTTAGAGTTGGCAAAAGGAGATAACCTTGACTGAAAATCAAACAAATATAAACTCTATTCCTCCATAAAATTGAATAAAATAAATCATAAGTTGAACATTATGGGGGGTGTAGTGACTAGTGAGTGACCTTGGTAACCATCAATTGCCACAAGTGTGCTGACCGTGAGCCTAGCCATGGCCGATTGTCAACCAAGATATAGAATTTCTTGCTTTCAGGGGCCAGGAAAAGGCTAAGATCCGAAAGGTAAGACTGCAAGTCTCTGCAATCAAATAGCACAAAACACATCACTTCATAATTACACAAAAAAGAAAATAAGCAAAAACAGCAGCACATAATATGTTTCCAGAGGTGAAAAAGCACAAGGTTTTCTCTGCATTTAGCAATACTAAATCACTATCACAACAAAATACACATACATACACAAGAGCTGAAAATTAGAAACCAGCATCAACTTCACTTGTAAATTGACCTGGTTGTGAGTGTCAAGCAAATTAAAATTTATGACATAAAACTCAGAATCAAGGCTGCTAAACCACTTCTGGCACAGACTAAAACATGCTTGTTGCCTCAAAACGAGAATAAATTAAGCAAATTAATAACAAATATAATTAGAATTTAAGAAGTACAAATAAGAAATTTAAGATTGTTACCCAATTTGCAAACTGGTGAGGGGGAAAATGCAGCGACCAGCGTCACCTTTCCCCATCACAATCAAGCTTTGCGCCCAATTTGTCAACAATCACTGCTTCACAGAATTCACAAATGCAATTAATACAATACACAATCCAACATATATTTACTATGTGTATGTCATGCATGCATATGTTGTATGTATGTATGCATTTACTAGAGAGAGAGAGAGAGAGAGAGAGAGAGAGAGAGAGAAAGACCTTGTTGTTGATGAAGAAGAAGGAAATTCCATAGAAAGAAGAGAAAGCAATCACCGGCGAACTTCATAACAGAGACAAAGGCACGCCGAGAGAGACAGAGAGAATGGGGAGTCCACGTGGACGAATCAAGGGCGGGGATTGGAGGACGGCAGAGGAGGGAAGCGTTCACATTTCACAGCAAAGCTTTCATCATCTCTTTTTTTGGGGGCTTTTGTTTAATTAATTCTGAAAAATTCGGTATTTATGAATTGCTTTGCTTGGATTGGAAGGCGAGACGAGAGAGAGAGAGGTGTCGCGTCCGGAGGGAGACCCAGGGACACGTATCTTGGGAATTTATGAGGAAGATTGAGGAAGGGGGAGGAGGGCAAAATGGTAAATTCGAATATACGGATCTCATATGGTTGCTTCCCGCCACCACTATTCTCCTCTAGATTGTCGTTTTGCGTTGCGTGGATGGATAATAAAGTCCGAAATTTCCATACGGAAGGCGAAGACATGCCGGAAACCTCAACGAAACCGAAACCGAAACCTGGGGAAATAACCGCGCCACTTGTGTGAACAATCTCCACAGGCTATCCCCTACGCTCGTCCGCACGCTCTTTACCGTATGATCCAATCATCTACCGTTCTTTCTTTTTTTAATTATTAATAAAAAAACGGGGTATTAATTAGGAAGTTGGGAGGCAATTGGGAAAAGGCGGCAATCGGTGGATAAAGTCAGAGTCACAGAGAAATAGGTGACCAGTGAATGATTAGGGATAGGGAGGGGAGAGTTAAAGCGCGTAGAGTGGTCCTATATTTTGTCTAGAAAAAGAATCCACTAGACTAACCCAGAAAACGCTTTAGGTTAGTTAACTACACTATCTCACTAATTATCAGAAAATACTAGATGAAGAAGCTTCTCACTTTCCAGGACAAAAGTTTCAACTAATTGCTATGAATTATATTCCGGTGTGGTGTGAGCCAAAAACTCTTGTATAATTTTATGAATGGAATTAGTTATAGTGATTACTATGCCTTGTTGGTTGAGAATTGTATGGTGTAGAAGTTGTTTCTATATAAAACTTGAATTTTGCCCATTATTGAATTCACTTGGTTTGATATCAAGATTTTTATAATCAATTTTGTCGTTTGAAATTATTATATATATCCGTAGTTGATACGAATTGTAATCTCATAATTAATGAGATTTTTTGTTGAGTCCACAGCAAGAATGAATTTTCAGGCTAAAAGAAACATATATATAAATATCTTTGGCTAATTAAACTCCTTTAACTTTTGTAACTTGTTAGACCATAATGTATTTTGGCTAGACATGCGGCGTCTGTTGTTAGCTACCCTATGGGTCGCCGCACCCAAACCCTACGCTCTCTAATGGTGCAAGGACCCACCACGATCAGGAATTACAATGATTAACAGTGGGACCCTCGATGTCATTGGCCTCATCTGAGCCGAACAATCTATGATTTGGCGTGGGGCCCAAGGAGCTGTTGGAACGGAACCTTTTATTTAGCAAGGGGCTAAAACTAAAAGGCTGTCCATAAAAATAAGAGAAGAGGACAGTGAAGCAACGTATGTACCACGATGTGCATCATGTTCATAATTTTGAGTTTACATCTGCCTCTCTGGAAAATAAAATACCCAAAAGGGCATGCATGATGCATGTTACTGGAGTTGGATGATAATTCATCTTTATTCTTGTAATTTTCAACCTCATCTGTCACTGTGGGGCCCAATAAAAAACGCCTTGAATTTTTCATCGTTATCAGGATAGACTCGTGACAAAATACTATGTTCATATTTGCGTAAATGATTAACAGTCGTTGATTAAAAGAGTTGAAGTAATTGATTGAGGGTCAATTTGTCTAGCTCCTCATGTTGCCAAAAAGATGTTATGTTACAATAGAAAAATGACATGAATCATTAATAACATTGAAAAGCAATTGAAACATATCCCACTATTTTTAGCCTTTATAGGGACTCTAAGCAAAGTTTGATGATGTTTTTAGAAATTTTGAATGGTATTATAAATGTAAATTCCCTTTCTATGGGCATGACAGGCTGTTTCGATTGTAATTTGTAGTAAACTTGGTTATTATTAGGATGTTAGGTAGTTCGTTCCTTAGCCGAGAAGGTAACATAACATTGATTGATGGTTTGATGTTGAAATAAAATATGGTTTTTCTTAAATTGATGTCTTTTATTTTCATCTAGAGGTTGACTTTTGAGATCATAACTGCAGCTTGAATTGGTTTGGTGAATTTCTTGATTGTCTTAGCTCCTTCCCTCTCCTCGTTTGAGAACGTATCCTACATATGAGAGAAACTTTCATGTAATTGGGATATCACTTTTTGCTATCTTTGATCAATAGTGCAATGATAAGCGGGATAAATTTTCTATAAGCCTTTGCATTATTAGTCGGGAATAACTAAACAGTATATCCCCGTTACAAGAAAAAAATTCTGCGTATGTACACCTTATAAGTCTCGTAGATGTGAAAGGTGCATGGAAATTTGCAAGTTGTTTCCCATAGAGAGCATATTGAGATGGGTGCATACGCATATGACCTTTCATTTTCACATTGAAGCTCTATGTATACATACTACTATGCAGCTCCTCCTCTCCCTTCAATGCAACTCAAGGCCCACTTCAAAATAGTTGAAATCAAAAGGAAAAATTGTTGCATATGATATTAGGTGGTAAGATAACAATCAATTATCAGACGACAAATGTTTATGTTGTCAGACTCGGAAGTTATACAACAACGAATAAATGGGTCCAAAAAGTGAAAAAAATTGACTATCATCAACATTTGACCCAAAAAAATAAAGAGACTATCATCAACATGCAAATCAGAAGCTGCTGGTGTCTTCTTGAAGTCCTATAGGAAAAGGCCTAAAGCATAACAAAATCTGGTCGTGATGGGAAAATCCCATCAAATCCACTTCCATCGTACTCGATAAAACCAAGCATGTTTTTTTTTTTTTTTTTTTTTTTTTTTTTTTTTGGGGTCATAAGCATGAGCTGCCTTAACATTCAAGCATACATTTCAATCTGATGTACCAAGCCCAGCAGTTATCTGACGTACAGGCCCAGAAAGATTAAAATGGGAAAAGTCAGATGGCATCACTGAAACATTTCGACATAATAGAATACATGTATAGATAGCTGCACAAACTAATGAGTGTCTCAATGTGTATAATTGTATTGGAATTTTTTTTGCACACTTCTACTATTACAATGACTATTTCACACAAAAGCATACATTGAGTAACATGCAACGAAATTCAGCAAATTGACTAAACACCACTCTTTTTAACTGAAGGAGGCCATGATAATCTCCTGTGGCTAGTTCCATCCCCCTCACTGTTTTCATCGTCTGCTTCTCGGTGCTCGACTTCTGGCCTCCTTGAGCTTCTGATAGCTAAGTCATCAAAGCTTGGTTCAGTTCTCCAAGGCGGTGGAGTTACACATTCGGAATCCCCTGGTACTCTTCGGGAGGAATCCTTGCCTGGTGTTATCGGTGAAGATGCGTCACTATGACCGACTCTGAGATGCTGAAGTGTTGAAAATGATTCCCTCATAGCAGACATTGCTTCAAAGAACCGAGTGCATGATGCTAAGGCAACAGGAATTGGACGAAGCATTTCCTGCATCAGTTAAACAAAATGAGGATCATATCATGCAGAAGTAGCTTCCCATGCAATCTAACAAATTTCTTGAATCAACGAGACAGTGGAAATTTTATTGGGATGAAATTATTTGACCTATACCATGCCAGGAAACTAAAAGTTCTACAACATTAATGAGTCAGCAGGGCAATACTTCATGGGAGATCATATAATCTCATGAACCCCTTAATGAGATCTTTGATATTTGGCTTCTGTATCTTCATGGAAAGAAATTTTATATGATGAATAATTCCTTTAATGCTATTATCAGCAAGGATTAAAATATCGGCCGTGCAGATAATATCGGGCCTCCAATTTACGGATATTTCGAGGGATATATCGTTATCGTTTTGGATATCGGGAAAAAATCAACAAAAATGACAGATATAGGCATTGAAATACATAATTTTGGTGTAAAACTTTCATAGATGTTATATACATTGTCAATGAATGTATTGAACAAATAAAACTCAAAATTTACTAATAATAAGAGATATATATATATATGATGAAAAATATAAGTGGTATGTAATACGCGTTAATGAAAAGTTTGAAAATAAAAAGTTGATTAAAATGAATAAACCATGCATAAATCCATAGTTTATTTGAACATTGGATTACAATTTAGATGAGTGTCCAACTACATAAATGAAGAGCTTCTATGAGGTTCAAACAATGTGGAACAACCATCTAGATTCATACAATAATCATACCAAGTCATGTAACCCGAGTAGTTTGTAAGCCATGTTTGAACATGGTGCACATATGTCTCTCTTGAGCTCCCTACTGTCCTCCCATATATGGGATAGTTAGGATTAACCCAACTAGTAGGTCCATAATCTGTTTCATCATCTTGAGTTCCATATCTAGTTCTACTATAATCAGACATGACATAACCATAGCCACTATAAGATTCATTTGAGTTAGTACTAGGTCTAGATTCTTTTGATGCATACTCTAAAACATGCATACTCCAAAACATCTTTTGAATTGAATATTGCCAAAAGCCTTCACACATATATATCTAATCACTGCACATATACCTCCAAAAAATCTTTTCAATTTCAATTTGCTTCAAAACTTTTGAATTTTTTTGGGTTTTGTTATGGGTATCGGGAAATATCGGGAATATCGGCAAAATATCGGGGATATCGCACTTATCGGGGATATATCGTCGATATCAGGGAAGATATGGCCTTACCCCCCAATATCGGTGTCGACAGTTCAAAATATCGATATATCGGCAGATATATCGGTGTATCGGCCGATATTTCAATCCTTGATTATCAGCAAAATGCAAAAGTAACATACTCATGCAGTTGCCAAAAATCAAATTTGGTCTAAACCAAACAACATCATGCAACTGGAAAACATAGAAGAACCAAATGCGCAACATGCATGGTCAGTTAATTTGGAAACAAATGAAAAGCTTTGGCATGCATACCCCCCAAACTGAAGGAGGTTCCTTAAATGTCTGACTCCACTGAAAATCTGCAACTGATGCTGTCAAGGCCCCATAATCACTAGCAGCCTTCATCAGTAATTCAGAGAATTGTTTCTGCACAGGCCCAAGCAAAAGATACCATAAGCATTAAGAAAACAGTCTTCACTTGATGAGATATCCACATAATCCCTTAAGTTTGTCAAAACAGTTGTTTGATGAATCCACACTCTTACAATTCAATAATATGAATTGGATTTAGTTAAAAACACTCTTTAGACTTGTCAAAATAAGATGGCTCTGTTATAATCATAGCCTAGAATCTTTAATACAAGTCGGCTAAACAAATTCACAAACTTTGAATAAGAATAAAAATTAGACAGAGATTTACACTGCTGAACACAAAGTGCAACTGACCTGATACTCTGCTTCCACTGGAATGCAATCGAGTGAATATGGTTGTTGAAGACGGGCTATGATACGATCCTGCCAGTGATTAGAAGAAAAAAAATATAAATGAGGTATTATTGAGAGACAAAGATACATGTGAATGAATTCAACTATTTATGCCATAACATACACATATCTATGTGGTACCAAAGAGGAAACCCAGTTTGTAAATTTGTTCTTCTATGTCCACCAGAATTCAATTTTCAAAGAGCATGATAACCAAAGCATCAGTTCACTATATTACTAGCCTTGACATTTCTAGAGCATAATCTTGAAAAGAAACGCAGCAACTGTTTTTTCTCCTAACTGGTGTTTATGTGCAAAAGGGACAGCGAGACTCTGGATCATCTGTTTTTGCTTTGTCCTGTTGCCTCTTCCTTGTGGGCTAACTTATTTCAGGTGGCAGGACTAACGTGGGGTAGCTTCACATCGTGTAGTGCGGTGCTTGAAGCTAGATTGAACTTCTTTGGTGGTAAGAGGAACGGTTCAGTGTTGGGAAATTGTGCCATGGTGGCAGTTTTTTGGGTAATTTGGGGGAAAAGGAATAGGAGAATTTTTGAGGATGTGGTAGGGGATTAGGTCGAGCAGCTTTGGGATTGTATCCGATTCTGGGCATTGCTATGGGCGTCTGTTTCAGCAGAATTTAGGGAGATTAGCTTTCAGCTCATCCATCTAGATTGGAAAGCCGTAGTTTTGTAATGTAGAGTTTTTTTTAGCCTTTCTGTTTTGTGTGGCAGCCTTCTTGGCCACCTCTTGTTCCGTTGGTGCCTTGTTCTTTTCTGAAATAAAATCATATCTTTAAAAAAAAAAAAAGAAACGCAGCAATTCAAAAGAGATGTTATAGTCCATTTCATTATTCTCCAGGATGACTTTGTTAGGAACTATTACAGATATCGAAGAATGCACAATGTACAGAATATGCAAATGATACTTAATGTTAAATCATTATATGGTTCGACAAAGACAATGGAAATCTAACATACAAAATAAGAGACTTCAGCAAATCCATTTCAAGAACGCAACAACGTACCACATAAAATTTACCTTATTCTGAATCACATCTTTCAATATGGTTGTAATCCTCGCTAAAGTTTCACACTTCTTTTCCATTTCACTCGCATGTGTCAAATGTGCTACGTTTTTATCATCCTAAGGATAATATAATTACCAAGTCAGTTCAACGATAAGATTACGCAGTAAACTGAAAACAGGAAAGAAGAGACTCTAATAGCTCACTTTTCTCCCTTGAAGTTCAACTTGCAGATCTGCTATTTTTCTTTGTACAGAGGTAAGTTCCCTCAAAACCTTTATCAAGTCATCACCCTTCTCACCAGTAGTACTGGATAGGTTCTGAAGCTCTTCCTACATCAAAAATATGATTGAGCTTAAGTGAAATTCGGAGCATGAAGTGTCCACATTGTAATTGACCAAATGATCGGCTTTGCTCTGGAACAAACATGAAACATTTGACAAAATAATTCATCTATACCCTCTACTGGCTCCAGTAAGAGCTTTAGAAAAACTCATTTCCACCTACATGCCCATACCAACACCACCCTACTTGGTTCTTTCATTTTATTTCAACTGGGTGTCTAAAATTAAGCTTAAATATCAAAAGAAGTAGGAAAAGCTAAACTGGGTGGAGCTGATTATAAGCCAAAGTGAGCAAAAAAGTGAAATTGGACATGGAAGACATAGAGACATAGAGAAAGGAGACTGAGGCTGTACCTGGGTAGGAGGAGCGGCAACAGAAAAGCCAAGATCCGAAGCAATGGAGAGAGCGTCGGACATGCCTCCGATGCGTCTCAGAGGCTTCTTCCCAACCCAAGTGCTGTCACTCCCCATCGACATTCCCACACACCCAAACACGCCCTTCCAGCAACAACAGCAATTGCTCTGGCCTTCCAACCACCACTTTCTTCTTCTTGCTTTCAGAGACGGCAATGCGCTGAAAAAATTCAAACCATTGCAAGGTGAGCTCTGGCCGGCCGAGTGGACCGAACTGTAAGACCCGTTCTTAAGGCCCAATTTACAAGGCCCATTATATTGAGCCGAAATATAGCCCATATTCGGAATTAGGGTTTACAAAAGATCGTTACTTTTCCTATATAAAGCCTCCTCTCATTGTATCTTCCATGAATTGGCGACTCCTCGCTCTATTGGTTAAACTTGTTCCCTCCGTTGGCCTCTATTCTCAATTTGGGGTTTCAGGGCTTTATGGTTATAGTGTTTTAGGGTTAATGTTTCTGTAGTTGCAGCCTGATTGATACCAATGAGGAAGAATGCCCAAAGTGATAGGAAGTGCCGTATGACACTTTAAACAGCGGCGGCAACACGGAAAGAGCCGCTTCGTTCCCATCCGCCGATGATTTGTTCATTGGTCGGGAACAGGTGGCTCCGGTGTACCGCCGTGTGTGTGATTTGGAACGGGATTCTGAGGGTCGAAATTATCTTTCTTGAAATTATTAATTTCCATTTTTTCCTTCTTTTCCCGATAATTTGAAGGTTCGATGCCACGTCGCCGGTAGCTGAAATAGCCTTGACCGACGATGCTACATTGAACCAACAGAGATCCCTTTCGCATTCTGATAGGAACCTGTGGATCCTATAACACTCTGGTCCACGGAGCCGATTTACTGCGATTACATTTTATTTTTATTTTTGTTTATTGAGTAATTGAAGCCAATGAGGATTTATGTTTTAGTTGGAATTACCGACTGAATATTCTTTGATGAAAAACGACTGGCTTTCTGAGGCTTCAGAAAATTTAATTTTACTATTTTCATTTTTCAAAACAAAAATATTGCTTTGATTTTTTACGAAAAGATTTTTTTTGATTTTGGGTTGATTTGTTTTGCCATTTTCACAAGGTTTGTACAGAAATGGCTTTTTCGGCTAAAAACTTTATTCATATCCAAGGATTGATATAATCATTTAATACGTTCTTATAAAAAATTAATCTTTTAAAATGTAAAATTGGATTAACTACATTTTACTCTCCGGGGTTAGAAAATCATTATCAAAATGGAATGGGCCTCGAGGGTTCAATTTCATTAATGTAAAACTTAATGCTTAATATGACCAAATAATGCACTACGTTAATGAATTGGTTAAATTGATTGGCATCGTGAAATAGAGTGGCAAGGTGAAATCAAAATTGACCCTTTCACCAGGAAGTACAAACTAGTTGTGATGATGGCAGATCAGAAGTTTTAGTTCAGTCTTCCTCTGAATCAAACTAAATCAATTTTACTTGGGACACAAATCAAATATAAAATCATTTGATGATCAAGCTATGGTGTTTCTAAAATGCCACTTCAGAACTATTTCCAAATCTTTTCTTATTGAGAGAGTAATAAAATAATGTACTAAATTCACATACACTATACCGGATTGGACCTTGAATCCAGCCTGAGGTAGCAATTGCTCCAAACGGTGTAATGGGTACTTTGCAAATTTTCAAAACTTCGGTTAGAGAAAGAAATAAATTATATTCCTTCATTATTTTGGGCTACAAAAAGAAGACATGGATGAAATTGCTCTACAATCTCCTATTCTGGACCTAATGACAGAGGCCCCCAAAAAAAATAGTGAAGCAGAAGAAAAATTCGCATTTGCTAAGATAATCCTTGGATTGGATATATACTACTACTAGACTAATGGAGATGAACAATCATTGTTAGAATATTGGAATTGGATAGCTTGGCTCGAGTGTTGGTCTCAACTTTCATCCAAATCCTGCCTGCTACGTAGGTGGGAAGAATCTGTTGAGATTAAATGGCAAAGTGTAGAACTCTTCATTTCTGTTGTCTCCTCTGAATGTTCTGAACTTAATCCACCATGGCATCCCTCTATCTTTCTTTGATTTTTCCACCTCTAAGGTGTTGTCGAGAAACACCGCAACGATCAACCCCACCGTCGGAGGAGAGGAGAATATGGTATTCAAAAATGCATTGAACTGCAAAGACACAAGATTAATGTATCAATGGCCAAAGAGTTGCAAAAGCCATTCTGTGAATGTGTCCCATAGCTTATTTTAGTTCAAGCAAGATGAACATGTGCTTCATTTGCAGATATCCAGTTACATCGTAGACCTTAACCGGAATGAATACTAGAGTTTTGTTAGGATATTACTTACCCATCCAGCGTTGGTATGGACGAGACCATGGTGCGAAGGATTCCAATATTCGTTGAAGAACCGAGGGACAGATATCCCAAGGAACAAGGAAAGCCCAGTGATAATGAGGTTTCTCATAGAGTTCATGTTTGTGAACTGAAGAAATGACAATCCTACTGAACCTGCAAACAGGCACGGAATATTTGTGAAGAGAGTGAAAGAAGAAAATAATAAGTAATCTTACTTAAGCTTGTGCTGTGACATACCCACGAGGCCAAAGACAACACAGTATAGTGCTGCATATATTGGGAAGGGTATAGATGCAAATACAGCCCCAAATTTACCTGCAGAAGGATTAGAGAGGGAAATGAATCATGGACTATCTTTTGAATTCCAAATGAGAAACCATTAAGGCTGACTACTATATGTAACTTTAGCTTTACTAAAATCCTACACTTGAATGCTATAGCTAAAATCGAAAGGGAAGAGAAAATGCAATGGCAAAGACTTGATTTCTCTTCAGACCCTCAACTTTTAAATGGAAAAGAACATGACATTCTTTCTTAGATTTCTTTCAAGACCAAGCCATTAGATGTGGAAGTTCCATATAAAAGGAGATCCGTTGAGCAGCTAATAATTGCATTGCTCCCAATTAGGACCTGGACTTCCTTGAGTCTCATAAAGTTAATAATACTGACCTAATATTGAGAAGAATATCATGAATCCAGCAGAAATTTGAACAACTCTACGACTTCCAACTCGGGTCAGTCCAAGAAGTCCTACATTTTCCCTGGTACAGATGATCAAGATCTTAGTCAAAAAAAACTTTAAATGGGAGAGAAGACCACAGAACAAGCTTTGCAGAACTCTATTGTGGTGTCTTACACAGAAACAGTAGAACCAGTGCCTGTACCAAAAAGTCCATCAAGCAAAATGCCAATTCCCTGAAAATGATATATATAAAAAACCAGTCAGCTTTTAAGCAATGCACATAGTGATTTAGAAGTCAACATATTAGAATCACCATTAGATCCCCAGAAAAAAATTTGTTATAATGAGAGTTGCCTAAACAATATTCTATATCTTCAATCTTTGTATTATATTCATGATGCTAGCCTGATGTATGCCACAAAAGTCACAAGTGTTTGAGACTAGTTCACCTGCCAGCCAATACCCCGGCTCAATACATAAGCAGGAGGAGGAGTGGCAATCGCCAATCTTGATGCTGCCTTGTATGCACCTGTTGACTGCAATATATAAGTAACTGTCAGGACTCAAAAAGTGCTTTTGATGAGGCAGTCAGTCCTATTACAGAGACATGTAAAAAGAGGAAGCTGACATAGTCCCAACTCTTAAGTCACATAACAAAGATGGCAGACTAAGGCTTGTCGTTGATTAGTGAAGCAATGTAGCAAATCATAAATATAATAAAGAACAATAATAAATACCTCAACCATTGAAACAAGAACAGCTGACATCATTGCAAATGAGTGACCAGCTGAAAATGTAGGAGGACCCCACTGCAGAGGATATGGGAACTTGAACCTGATATGGCATAAGAAGAAAAGATCTCAAGACCAGAAAATATTCAGAAGGCACATTATGAGAAGGCAAATTCTTCTTTGGCATACCATGGGGCAGTAGATATGAGATTTTCCCTGTCTGTACGGCAACTGATTTGAGTTCTAACAGGTTTGTCACGGTAAGCCCCACCGGCAGTTAAGAGAAGGGAATAGATCCAAATGATTGCGACACAAAACAATACTGGAAACCGCTCAAAAATAGGGACACCTCTAAATGGTCTCACATGCTTCAGATACTGAGAATAAACAAACCAAAACTCTCATGAAGGAAAGAAATGATTAATACAAGCGTCAATAAAATGATAATGCAAAATGCAAAAGCACTTACTTGGGACAAACCAATGACCAACAACAGCATTGGAATTCCAATTTCCACACAATTTCCCAACTGAAACAAATATTGAAATTATATACTAGCATAATTTCCAAAGAGAAGGAACTACAAAATTTGCAAAAGTGGAATGTAAGGTTTCCATCAGATATATGGTAAAAAGAACAAACTACATGAAGTGTATGCTTATCTAGAAAGTCACAATGTTCAGTTCTCATTAGGTTTTAATAATTCAGTCAAAAATAAAAATACTACGTAGAGATTCTGCAGGAAAAGATGGGATGTTCAAAGTTTCATTGAAAAATTGATTGAGAGGGTAAATACTCTATGGAAAAAGGTGAAAATTTTATATGCCAAAATCCTCAGATTGGCCCTCTTGAAGTTAGCTTCCGGAATTGTACAATATTCTAGAACAAATCAATGGTGATTGTCCAGAAAAAGAAATGCTGCTCATAAAGAGGCACTAACCACACAACATGGAAGCTCATTTGGGGTCAACTGAATGGAACAATACATTGTCATAGAAAAACTTACCGCAGGAAACCCCCGCTCAAACAATCCCAAGCCAACCAATCCAACTACAGGTGCCATGCCAAGTGGACTGAAAAACCTGCAAAATAACCCATATGATGCTGTTAATCTATTATGATTTAGAAGCTTAAACTTTTCACTATATCTTCTACTATTAGCATACCTTGAGAAGAGACCCCAAACTTGGCTGTAACCCAGAATGATTTGTATGCTTGAAGCTACAATTAGAGCTCCTTGGATAGCACGCATTGTTTGAATAAATCTCTGCAAACCAATGACATGGGAAGATCTCTTTCAATACCCTACCAAATCAGAAAGGTGCTTAAGTACAATTGCTGAATAGGAAATAAATGCAGAAATATCTGATGGGATTGAGGTTTACATTTTACATGAATTGTAATATCAGAGTCACAAAACTTATGAATCAAATGAACTTATCTGACCTCCTATTCAGTCTTGAAATGACTGATATACATGTAAAAAGAAAAAAGAAAGGCCAACGGCT